CAGGGAGTTAACATTAGGGGAGGACCTGAGAGCATAACATCATCGGGGGAGGACCAGTGAATGTAACATCATCAGGGGAGGACCAGGGAGTTGACATCAGGGGAGGACCAGGGAGTGTAACATCAGGATGACATAAGGATGCATGAAAAGTTAAATACCAGGTGCAAGGGGTAATAGTGAAGTGGATGTGACAGGATTCTTGCTGAGGATTCAATATGGCCTGGAGAATGGTGGAGGGTGAGGGCCCAGATCTGATATTGGTGATGATGAGCGCTCAAGAATGGGGACTGTTCCTAACCTCTTAGCAGAGTTCCTGCTACAGTTAAATTTTGTAAAGACCTATGTGGATGAATCTAAAAGAAAGTTCCAGAGCCCTGCTGAAGTTTGATCAGCTAAGGATTCTTTTATTTCTGATTGCTCTCAGCATCCGAAGCTCCAGCTGGAGGCACAAGGAGCTAGTGGGTAGACACTGACAGCAATCCCAGGCAGTACACTTAGGTTTCAAGTCCAATAAAGATGTGTTGGCTTCATCAAACAGGGAGAGTTGTATGTAGATGCAGGTTTAGGTCAGGCATTTCTTGACATTCACCCTTTCCTGAATGGCAGCTGCCTCCATCACACCATCACATACATGATTCATCCCTACCTTCCTCCAAACACCTGCCTGGAAAGACATTAACCAGCGCAGCACCATAAAACGACTCAAAGCAAGTCAACTTTTGGCCGAGCTCCCAGAATCTTCCATCGTCTCTGGTTAGACCCAGGCCACAAGAATCCTCTGGTTTAACTGATGCATTTCCCTAAACACCTTCATATAAATAAGAATAAGGCAACTGTACATTAAGCTTCTGTTCTTACCTCAGCAGACCAGACCAACCATGCTCAGCTTTCATGCTAAATGCTACATAATTGAACAGAATTTTGTTCCCACTGTTGAGTGTTAAACCTAGAGCCCTACATAATCCATGTCAGCCAAGCACTTTGTCATTAACCTACATTCATAGCCTGATATTTTACTTCTTATTTTGAGACAGAGTCTCATTAAGTTGTCCAGGCTGATCCTGAACTCACTATGTAACTCACGGAGGCCTTGAACTTGTGACTACCCAGCCTCAGCCTCCCAAGTAGCTGAGATTACAGACCTGCCAACTAGGGTCCAGCTAGAAGTTAAATTTCAGGGAAGCAGATCTCTAGCGTGGCTGCTCTTTCCTGCTAATAGAGAATTCTAATGGATGGAGTTGATATAGTAAGAAAAGCCCTTCTGCTTCACTCTTACAAAAGAAAAGGAACCCAAAGTGTTGATTCACTGTTCTTGGCACCTGTCTCCCCATTGTCTGTTTCCTTGTTCTACTATAAGACTGTGGGCGGTGGGGGCAGAAGGGGGCAGTTGAGGTGGTGACAGTGGAGTTGGGGGGGGGTCTTTCTAGGATAGAAGCTGCCCACATTCATGAATCCCAAATAAAAGTCAGTTAGATCTAAACTAAGTGTGTGTGTGTGTGTGTGTGTGTGTGTAGGCCAGAGGTCATCTTCAGGTGTCATTCTTCATGTTACACATACCTTATTTTTGGAACTAGGATCTCTCTCCTGCCTAGGACATCTACTTGGGTTGTGCCCACTGCCCAGGGAGACTCAGGTCTGGGGTTACAAGTGGACACCACCACACTCATCTTCTCAGTGTGCTCTGGGGTGGAATTCGGGTTCTCCAGCTCTTTATGGATTGAATTTTCTCCTGGTAGTTCTGTCTTTTAAGGCCGCCTATTGTATAGCTATTTCCTTGGACTTAAAACCTTCCCTCTTGAAGAGAAAGTTTTGAAGACTCAAGAAGCAAATGAAACTTAAAAGGTTCACAAGGGCTCAAGGTTACATGAGTAGCAGCGTTTCAATTATATTTTAATAAATAAGGCTCGCCTGAAGATTTGAGAGTAAAACAGCCCCACTGGTCAGCCTTACATACCAGGTAATCATAACACATATCTTTAATCCCAGTAGCCACACTGTTGCCATAGAAACCAGGTAGTGCATGCCTTTAATCCCAGTGGTGCACACCTTTAATCTCAGAACTAAAGAGGAATATAAAATGGGAAGAGATAGCTCTCAGACACAGTCTCATTCTGAGATTCCTGGAGGCAGGATCACCATTTCAGACTGAAGTTGAGGTAAGAGCCAATGGGTGACTGTTTTGCTTTTTGAATCTTCATGTTGAACCCTGATTTCTCTCTCTGAGTTTTTATTAATCGTGCTTCATACATGAACAGTCAGACATTGCTCAGGGAAAGGAGCCCCCCAGCGACTGTGCTCAGCCTGTGAAGATGCCCAGAGCCTGGGATGTAGCTTTTGCGTCATCACTCAGCCTGGAATGGGCTGTTCGGTGATGCAGTTCCTCGGAGTCACTCACTCTCCTGTGATTTATGCCTGGCCCATGATGCTATAATAATCCCCAATAAACACAGTGGCTCACCACGCTGGACTGGAGAAAAAGAGCCTCTCTGTTTTTGTTGGTTGTGTCCATCTGGGGTAAATACATGTTTGTCTCACCTCCCTGGGAAAAGTCACACATCACACTTTACCACAAATTTTTTTTTCCTATCTGGAAGACATTTGTATTTTTATATTTTACCTTACATGTTTTTAAATTTTGTGAGACAGGGTTTCTCTGTGTAGCCCTTGATGTCCTGAACTGCTTCTGTAGACCAGGCTGGCCTCAAACACAGAAATCTGCTGCCTCTGCTTCTAATGCTAGAATTAAAGGTGTGTGCCACCACACCTGGCTTAATTTTTGAGATTATAATATAATTTCATCATTTCCCCCTTCCCTTTCCTCCCTCCAAACTCTCCCATACACTTCTCTTTGCCCTCTTCCAAATTCATAGCCTCTTTTCTCATTGTTATCACACACATATTTCTAAATACATAAATATTACACACATGTTTCTAAATACATAAATACAACCTACCTAGTCTGTTTAAGGTTCTTTGTATGTATGTTTTCAGAACTGACCATTTGGAATTGTATAATCAACTAGCTCATACAAAATTCTTTTGTTGCTGGTTGTTTTTTAGGTTTTGTTTTGTTTTATTTTTATATTTTTTATTTCATTTATTTATTTTACATCCCAACCTCAGTTTCCCCTCCCTCCTCTCTTCCCAATCCTTCCCCCCACCCCATTGTTTTGTTTTTTTGAGACAGGTTCTTTCTACATAGCCCTGGCTGTCCTAGAACTCATTCTGTAGACCAGGCTGGCCTCAAACTCACAGAGATCCACCTGCTTCTGCCTCCCCAGTGCTGGGATTAAAGGCGTGTACTGCCATGCTCAGCCACAAAATTGGTTTTTTTTTATTTTACATACCAACCACAGTTTCCCTTTTTTCCCTTCCTCCCCCTCCTACCCACCTACTCCCAACCCACCCTCATCCGTTCCTCAGAAGGGGTAAGGCCTCCCATGGGGAATCAAAAGACCTGGCTCATTCAGTTGAGGCAGGACCAACACCCCCATCCCCTGCATCAAGGCTGAGCAAGGCATTTCACCATATGGAATGGGTTTCAAAAAGTCAGCTCACACACTAGGGATAGATCCTGGTCCCACTGCCAGGGGTTCCAGAAACAACCCAGCCTACAGAACTGTCACCCACACACAGGATCCCCAGCTGTCATCGGTCTAGAGTCTGTAAGCTCCCACGAGTTTGGGTCAACTGACACTGTGGGTTTGCCCATCATGACCTTGACCCCCCCCCCCCCATTGCTCATATAATCCCTGTTCCCTCTCTTCGACTTGACTCCTGTAGCTCAGTTTGGTGCTTGGATGTGGATCTCTGCATCTGCTTCCATCAGAACTGAATGAAGGTTCTGTGATGACAGTTAGGGTAGTCACCACTCTGCAGGAGCTTGAGGCGGAGGGCCACATTGCAAACATAGCCAGGAAGCAGAGGGAGAGGAATACTTATTCTTGCTCCTTTCCATGCTGTCGGAACGGGACGCTAGCCTCGGGAATGGAGCTGCCTACTTTCAGGGTGGACCTGCCCAGCTCAATTCATCTAATCTAGATAAACCCTCCCAGGAAAGCCTGGAGGAGCTTTGTCTGCTAGGTGATGCTACATCCTCTCAAGCTGGCATTCAGTATTAACTATCACACCTTCCCTTCTCTTTATTAATTCCTAAATTCAGTTCTCTTCCAAAATGTCATGAAGCTGCCTACCATAGTCTGGGAACAGAGTGAAAGAGGCAAAGTCTTTCTTGGGCCTGACCTCTGAGAAAGAAGGGGGCTAGATAATGCTTGTAGAACAAATTTGGGAACTTGTACCAGGCTGCTGGAGAAATACAGGGTGACTGACACCTCCTGGGCATCCCATCTGGAGCTGGCTGGGCTTCCTTAGCCACAAGCTAGCTGTCTGTAAAGGAGCCCAGCTCCAGGCAGAAGACACAGGCAGATGCTGAAGGCCCTGGAAAATGGGATCTGATTGCATAGCTGGGAAAAGTTTATCGTTTTTGTTGTTGTTGTTATTTTGTTTTTTGAGACACGATTTCTCTGTGTTGCTCTGAATCCTACCCTGGAACTCAATCTGTAGACCAGGTTGGCCTCCAACTCACAGAGATCCACCTGCCTCGGCCTCCCAAGTGCTGGGATTAAAGGCGTGCGCTAGAACAGTTCATTTCTGAGCAGGAACCTGGATGGCGCACCTCTGTTTATTGTGGCCATGAGTATTTCTTAGCAAAGAAATGCAGAAGTTCTCTAGCGGTCCCATCAGCAATCCCCAGCCACGCCTTCACTGGCCAGCCTATCCACTTCATGTTGTGCTGTGTAAATTCCCCTCCACCAGCTACAGAGGGCGAAGCCTCTGGTCCTGTGTAGGGAAGAGGCAGCTCTTCATGCCACCACGCACTTATCTGCACACACAAAGGGCCTCCAGAGACTACTGAAGGAACTGCGTGGACAAATGGATTTCTGTCCTATTCAGTGGGTTTGTACTTACTAACGGGGTTTTATTCCTTTCTTGGCTACCAGGATGGCAAAGCGACGTTGTGACATTACCTTCTGCTAAAAGGACTCGTCTGCTCGTCTGCGTAGGCTTCTCCATCATGTCTGATGACAGTTCACCATCAGAGTCCTCAGGCTCGAGCCCTCCTGTGGCTCCTAAACATCCCACGCTGGCAGCTTCCTTGGACGGAGAGGACAGCGAAGAACTGGACGAAGAGAGTTCACTGGAGGAATCTGTGGGTAGTCTGGAGGATGGTTCGGAGGGGTACGTGGATAACGAAGAGTCTCTGGAGGATGAGGAATCTATGGATGAGGATGAATCTCTGGAGGAGGAGGAGTACCTGGAGGAGGAGGAGTATCTGGAGGAGGAGGATTATCTGGATGAGAAAACATTTCTACAGAGAGAAGCGTATCTGTTTAAAGAAGCATTTGTAGAGGAGAAAACGTACTTAAAAGGAAAAGTGTTTCAGAAACGTAGGAAAAAGGGTGAGTATCTGCAGGGAAGGGTGTCTAGAGAAGCATCTGGAAGGGGGAGAGTATCTGCAGGGAAAGGTTCTAGAGAAGCATCTGGAAGGGACTGCTTAGAATGTCTGCAGCCCAGCCCCTATCTAGAGAGCGTCAGGGAGACTTCAACAGTGTGAAGCGCTTACCTGGCTTGTTTGTCCATCCCTTCTTTTGCTCCTTTGTCTATTGAAACAGGGCTTCAATTATTCCCAAATGACCTCAAATTCACCCTGTAGCCCAGGAGGACCTTGAACATCTATCTGACCCTTCTGCCTCGACCTCCCAAGTGTTGGGGTTACAGCCTGTACATCTGTGTACATGTTCTGAAAAAAACATTCTGCCAACTGAGCAAAGTTCAGTCTATTCACTATAACAGCAACAACATGCACACATGCATGTGCATACAGTTCACATGTGGGTGGATACTGAAGGGCAGCCTTGAGTGTTATCCTTATGAATCTGCTTCCTTTTCCTTTTCTTATATTGTGTATGGTTTCTAAAACACCTGTGATAAAACTTCATCCTCATTCAAAAAGGACAATGTTGTTGCAAAATTTACCACCAAAGATGACGACCATTTCTCATACTCAGTTCTATGCTCCTTAGGCTTACACACACATACATGTGCACATGTAATATACAGACTAATTGTAAGTACATACTTTACTAATAAGATCTTATCCTGTATTGGTTACCAGGATTATAGGTCTTGCCTTTTGGAAAAGGATCTTGCTCTCTGTAATAATTGCTTTCAAGGTACACTTATTTAGGTATTTGTAACTTGTGGTTACAAGTATTATGTTTCATGAATATAATTCTGTATTTTAAAATTTGAAAGCATTGATTTTTCTTTCTAATATTTTTATTTTAACTGACACAACAATTGCACACATTATTGAGTGTGGCATTACAATGCCAGTGTGTAATAATCCGAAGAGGGAGCTGAGAAATCTGCCCTTCATACATGTGTCTCTTCCTTATGGTGGGAATGTTCAAAATCCTCTGCTATCTCTGAAATATCCACCTAATTGCTGTCATTGAAGTTCTCCTACTCGTCTACAGAACATCCAAAGTCATTCCTCTTGTCCACTTGTGCCCATTAACCATCCTCTCCCCGTGGCCTCCACTCACCCATTCACATTCGTCCCAGCTAAACCACAATATTGCTATTCAGTCCCTATTATTGATTGTTCATTGATTCCAATTTTAGTGTTACCTTCTGTCTTATTTTGTTTTGTTGACAGGGTCTGCCTAGTGAGTATAACATTCACTATGTAACTGAGGTTGGCCTCGACTTCAGGGCATCCTGATGCCTCGACTGTCTGAGTCCTGGGATTACAGGTCTATCACCCCTCATTTATTATTACTTTTATAAACAGCCATTTGAGACTGGGAAGTAGTTCCTTTGGTAGAGTGCTTGTCTAGCACCCATGAGCCTTAGATTTGATCCCCTACATCACCTAAACTGGATGTGGTGGCACATGCCTGTAATCACAGCCCTTGATTACATAATAGGGCTATGTATATAGCCTAGGGCAGCATAATCAGAAATTCAAGGTCATCCTCAGCTGCATAATGAGCGTTTTCCAGAACATAGACCTATAATCTAACACTAGGCCCCCAGACTGCTTCCCAAGTCACCTGCTCTGCCCCCTAGAAGGAATAATCTTCCAGTGCTACTGAGTGATGGCTCTCAGCCAAGGACTGATATTTTTCTACAGCACTGCTCCTGTGATGGGCAGCATTGCCTTGAGTCAGGTTCTATTCTGGCAGCAGTAGCCACTGTGCTGTTTGCTAGCTCTGGCTAATGTGTCCTGGCACAGAGACCCATGTGGCCTCTTCCCATGATGTTGTGACTGTATAAGATCTAGTCAAGTACAGAAATGTAAAACCTAGGTCATCTGCAACATCTTGATGTGGATCTATGTAACATGAGGGGCCAGCTTGTTGGGGTTTATGTCCCGCCCGGTACCCCACAGCCAACAAGCCCCAAAGAAAATCACACAGAGATCTCCATAAGTTATAAAACTGATTGGCCAATTAGCTCAGGCTACTTTTTAGCTCTTTTAGCTTACATTAACCCATTGTTCTTATCTATGTTAGCCACATGGCTCAGTACCTTTCACAGCTGGGCAGGTCACATGTTGCTTCTTCAGTAGTCTGGGCTGGACTGTAGAGGGAGCTTCCTGCTTCCCAGAATACTCCTGTTCTCATCCGCCCCACTCTACTTCCTGTCTGGTTGACCCACCTATACTTCCTGCCTGGCCAATCAGCGTTTATTTAAAACATGATTGACAGAATACAGACAATTCTCCCACATCAGATCTAAATTGAGGACTAAACTATTTTTCTGGATCCAGCTTTGTTACCTTCAGCTTTTATCTTCACATCCTCCTGCATCTCATCAGACATAACATCGTGGATTCCAACTACCCTCACAGAAGTTGAGCTGCTGCATTGCAGTAATAACTGCCCTGTGGCTGGGAAAGCCTTCTCTGTGTGTCTCTACCATCAAGCTTCCTCTTGGGATCGAATATCCCTGCTGTCCAAATGCCAGGCGTAATGTTAATACTGAAAAATAGCAACTCGTGCTTTTCTTCTGCACAGTATGGATCAAGCATTCTTAGCACGTCCCCTCTGTGTGCTGGATCTTTGTAAATATCTGACTCGCTGGAGCAGGACAAATACAATGCTGTCAAGTGAATAGAACTGTGTATAAAGCACAGGCTTTGAAAATAAACAACCTGCTAGCAAAAAATCGAAAAAGCACTGAAACACTTGCAGGGGAAGGTTAGAACAGCTCTAATGCCCCGGGAAGAGCTTCTGAGCTATGTATGCAAACCCCAATACCACTCTAGATTATGTAAAACAGGTTGGGGGGGTTGAAAAGAGAATTCTTAGTTTTTTAAAAAGAATTTATATCAAGGGTTTTTAATGTAGACTATTCTTCAACTATCTTTAAGAAATAACTATTGGGGAACACAGTATTAAACAAGAATGCCATCCTGTCCCATAGCAGACATGCAGCAAATTGAATCGACCGATCAGATTTATTTTCTAAAGATACATACATACTCGCACACACACACACACACACACACATACTTATTTTTAATAAAGTAATTGGCATTTAAAAAAAAACCTTAGAAAGAACATCTGAACTACCATCGCTCCTTCTGATTGGCTACTAGGGGTTAGAGGTGGGTCACTAACTTCAAGCAGATTGAGGGGCCCTATCTAGGCCCAGCAGGAAAGAGAACTATTATCAGCTAGTAATGCCTGCCCCTGAATCAGGTGGTAAAGATGAAGTATGAATGCCATTTGTTTATTAGTGGCAGACTGACATCAAGAAGGTTTTTCTTTCTTAGTGGCGTGACTTCTTAGGCCTGGATGACAGCCCTGTCCCACTTATGAGTTACATGAACTTGGACAAGTCCCCTAATCTCTTGTCTTGGTTGGTTTCTTCTCTTGGGGAATAACAATAGCCTCCCTTACAGGATGCATCAGACACACAGTATTCTGAGACAATGTGAAAGTTAGCCATAATCATATTTTATGCTAGTCCCCTGCCACTGACTTATGTGTGACTGATCTTCCAGGGCCACATTTTCCTGCTTTGTGAAATGGATATAGCCAAAAGACAAGGGATCATGAGGCAGGGCAAAAAGAATTGGGAGACGTCTACCCAGGGGCAAGTCACTGTCAGCAATGCCCCTGGACACCATGCCAGGCTCTGGCAATTCTTCATCACTTGAGTTAATGATGACTGTACTTGAAATTCTTGATGTCATATGGTTAAAGACAATCAGACTATTAAGTGACCCCAGTGGTTAAAATTCTGATATATTTCTTGAATCCCAGCACCCTGGAGGAAGAGGCGTGTGGGTGAATCTCTGAGTTTGAGTCTGGTCTACATAGTGAGCTCCAGAACAACCAGGGCTATGTTGAGAGACCCTGGATCCAAAAAGAAAAAAAAATATTCCTAAGCTTAAATATCCACGCCCCTGCTCCACCAGGCACCTTTGCTGCAGGGCCATCCTTTCATCCTGTGGCAGAGGGGCGCTGTGAATACCTACGATTATCAGAGCAAACCTGGATCCTTGTCTGCTTGACAGTTTAAACATCCTAATGTTTAAAGAGAACCATTAAGAGAGAGAACGCTGAGGTGAGACAGAAGCAGAACATTTCTATAACCCAAGTCATCTCGTCCTCACCCTTGGGGACTTAACAAGATATGTTTAATGTAAAGAAAAAAAATGCTGTGTCAGGACCAATAATTCCTTTCTGTTCTCTCCCCGTTTAGAACTCAAGGCAGTTGGTGCAGCAGCAGGCCAGTCCAGTCTTAAAGCAAGGTAATAATCTTTTGCATAAGCCAGGTGAAAAACTCCTTTTCAAAGATGGAGAGAAGTGGAGCAGGTCCCTGAGGAAGGACATTGAGTAAGGAGCTCCTGGAAGTCACCACAGAGCCCACTTGTGCCACAGAGCTCACAGGGGAGGGTTCCAAAGTTGAGCGTCTGAATGCCCAGGATGTCCAGCAATGACAGGACAGGACCTTCTGAGTTTGGATCAAAGTCTAGATCAGGAACAGGTACGAACCAGAGACAGGCGGTAACTAAGGTAATCAGCAAAAGGCTGATAGGCAATGCTCTCCCTGGATAGAAGAGCGGACGGCCAAGGAGAAGTTGCAAGCTATACAGAGGAAGAATCAGCTTGAGCATATTCCCAAGTCTTACTTGAAGAGTGGCTGAAATACTGCAACAGAGGCCGGCACGCCCCAAATGATGAAAACAGAAATGTCTATGGAATAAGCACGTTCTCCTATGTGCCCAGCTCTACCCAAGTGTCCTGGCATGCTATCCTTGTCTTTTGTCATATACCCTGTAATCCCCCCACGAGTGTGCTTACAGAGGCCGGAATGGGCGGTCACCTTCTCCACTGATGAGCTGAATGGACATGAGATTATGAAAACTCACAAGCCCTTTGTGGTGGGGGGCGGTGAGAAGTTGGGGTGAAATCCCTGCTTTACCACAAGTTATAGCTCAGAGCAGCAGGCTGATCCTGACAAGGGAGCCCCCCATTTCTGTTCCGCACTGACCCCTCTGGTCTATATTCCACACCTCTAGGGCCCAGGCAGGGTGGATCTTATGAGACAACACACACACCCCACAGGCCATACACAAACACACCCACAAGGAGTGGCTTGTCAAAGGCACCTCTCCTTCACTTGTTTTGGGAATCGGCTGCAAAGGGGACAGACAGACTGCCTGTCAAGTCTGTCTCACAGCTCCAGCCAGCCAGGCAGGCAGGCACTACAGAGCACCTGCTTTGTCTCCTGGCAGTTGGGTCTTCACCTGGGAGCACTGGCCCAGATGAAGTACTCCACTCACAGGACCAGTTTGGCAAGTATGAAGGGTCTTCTTCCTTCTGATCCTCGCGGGCCACTAGGAAGATGCTTCGCAGGTCGAGAGCATGAGTCATGACCCCAGGTCATTAGGTTCCAAGAGCACAGACCCATCCCATCTTTACCCATATTCCATTGAGAAAATGTTCGATTTCTGGGACCCTACAGAGAACTCTGAGGACCAGAGATGCCTGTGCGGGGTGGGGGGGTGCTTAGGTATCCAGATGTCATTAGGACTGAGTCCCTCAGAGAAGTACCCTACAATTTCTTACCAGACATAGTCACCAATATTTATTGGACCTGTCTCTTTGGGCCTGTCTCTGCCAAGTAGGACAGTGGATATTAAATAATTTCCATGTGGACTCTCCCTTTGAACTTCAGTCTGGACCCAGGGAAAATCCAGATATTCCTGAGAAAGGACATAGCACATTAGAATCGTCCTTCTTGGCCCACAGCTGTGGGGAACCCACACCTTACCCCTTACCAGCCATCTCCCTCTCTAGAGCTTCAGACAGTAGTAAGCCACCTACGGGACACACCTCCATGCTTGATTTTAAACCCCTGGGAAACCGTGGCATGCTAGCCTAGTCTTTCGACATGTTATGACGTGTATTTCTGTGGGTTTCCCACTCCTAAAGCAACTGTGAGGCAGGAGGAGACTCTAAAGACAATAAGCAGGGTTCAGAACCAGGATTGACAGGGAATGTTCTAGAATATTCTGTTGTCAGTGAAGCCATCCACGGGTTTCAGTGAAACAGCAGCTGGCTACATGGAAGGGCACACAGGTCTATTCTCTGTGATCCATAAGCCGGGGCCTCCTCATCTTCTATACTCTGCCACCTGAAACTGGTAGAAGTCGATAGAAGACAAAGAGTAGCTACTGTCTTCCCGACCCCACGGGGCTATACACCTGGGATCCTAACCTGACTTCTGAGTGGAAATTAACCAACCCTTTTGCTTCCCTTTGACAGGAGCCCAGCTCCCAGTAAGGTTCAAGACATCAATCTTCTACCTACCACTTCTTCCATGTCTGACCATAGCTTGAAGTTCGCCACATCGTCTTACTACAGTTTGGCAGGAGCGGGTATCTCTCTGAGAGACAACAGCAGTCAGACGGAATGGCCCTACTATAAGAGCAAGATGGGTAAGGGAAGCTACACCCTACCAGAACCCCAGGGCCAGGTTCCTAGGCCTGAGATGGGAGGAATGGCCTTGAAGTGCACAGGCGCGCGCATGTGCGTGCAGGTGGCTGAGGCTTGAGTGCTGTCCTCTGTCCTTATAACATGACACAGTTCTACGTGATAAGATGCCAAGCCAGACATATTTGTGTAGAAAGTGAACCTCCCTGGCAGTCCTATCGCCCACCATTACACATCCCAGACCCTCTAGGAAGTATCTGCAAAGAGCTGATACAGGCACTGCCTCCGGCCTCCTCTTTGCCCCTGTCAATCTTCCTGTCCTTTGCCCTACAAGCCCAGGCAGCATTTCCCTCAGGGACAAAGGTGCTCCCTTCACAGGTTGCGCTCTGGTTCTTTGAGGCAATAGACCGTGTCCAGATAATTATATGGAGACTAGTCAACAGGGCGAAAGCCACCTCGGACTGTGTCTTGGAATGCAGTTGAGGCTAACGCTAACACAGACCAAACCATCATACAATAAAACACACAGAAGAGATTTCAGGGAGATGGCATCAATGGTCTCAGTTCTCTACCCAACTGAGGTCAAAGGTCCTACCCTCTGGGTCCTAGGGGTGAAAAGCTAAACAGCATCTCTTACCATTTTTAATCCTTAAAGTCCAGCCTTGGTAGGATCGACCCATGGCTGACTCACGGGGTTCCTTCCCATCTGTAACCAAGACAGCAGTAAATTGGATTCCCCGTTTCCTCATCTCCCTGCCTAACCCCTGTCTGCTAAATTTTGTGGCTCAAAGGTGACTAAACAAAATCAGAACCCATTCCAGAAATGGTGGGGACATAGAGGACAGGCCCACACCAGCCACTGGACGCTGGACGTGTTTCCCCAGGCTTAAGGGACTCATTTGGCCCACACATGGATTCTCACAGACTCCCTGAAAACAGGAACTGTGCATAGTTAGTGACCTCTGCAGGAGAACACCGAGCTTTGATCTAAATATGCACAAGCAAGACTCCAAAGGGACTTACCAACTTCCTACTTGTCAACACTAAGCCTGAAAGAATGTGGGAGAGATGGGGACAGAGAGACCGTGTGGGAAGGAAAGACCCAGGATCCGACCATACCATGTGGACACACACCAGAAAGGCCCTCTAAGACCCTTGTGCCTCCTTCACCCACAATGGTTTTAGTATGCATGCTTAACAGATACCGCTCTTGCGTCCGCATTTAGGAGGAAAGCATCATGCTCCTCTGCTCTGTGTGGGCATCTTTTGCAGCTGTGCCTCTTCCCACGGCTGAGTCCTTACAACCATCAGAGGCTGAGCGAACGTTTATGAAGAGCCAGGCATTCCACAGCAAATGTCTACAGGTCAAACACTAATGACATCAGCAGCCACGGGTGCAGACTGTTCGGCAGCCTCCGATAACGGCACACCCAAATTCCTACAGTTGCTCGGAAAGAGAGTCACGAACAAGTCCTCGGGCTGTGGACTCACATATGGTGCCCTGGTTTTAAATCGAAATATCCGAAGCGCTAACAAGGACTGGCAAAGGTCCACACCCACTGCAGAAGAAAGCAATTACCTCTCATGCTTCCTCTGCATTTCCAGTCCCTACAGGAAAAGGGACCGCAACCTGTTGACAGGACGGAACAGGCTTCTGTTGCACACTCTTGTCTTCCAATTCTGTCTCTCTCGGCATTCCAAACAGAATCACTTGCCATCCCTTTTCCGTGCTGCACAAGCAGAGGACATTGTCCCGGGTCTGTCTAAGCCTCTGGGATACCCTGAAACCGCACGGTACTACTGTTCTTATAAACCAGTCTGTATTTCCAATTCTGCTCCAACCCACCCCAGCCCCACGACCATGGAAATGGGTCTAGACATTTCTGAAGTGATAACTCTTTGTGGTTGCCTCCAAGCACCAGACGTTTGTGTATCAGCTCTATTTAGTTGGTCTCTTGTCTGTTCATTCCTAAGCAAACCTTAGGAAGAGGAAGCATCTCTGTTTTCCCAGTAGTCCTGGCAGCAGACAGAGACCGAAACACAAGGAAGAACAAGCAACTGCTGAAAATTCATGGGCATTTTCTTTTCCCTTCTGTCGGTGGATTGTAATCTTTCTGGAGGACTCTGATGGTAGCAGGTCCATGATTAAAAGGTCAACGGATGGAGCAAGTAGAACAGGGCACGGTGGGGAGATTTAGCATCTCTCAGGGCTTCGTGTCCCTGCCAAATACCAGGAGCACATTTATGTCCTAAAAGGCCAAGCTGGCTGAAGAAGGCTGCCCTCTCCAGGGGAAGTCTCTTAGGCCAGGGAAACAAGATCATGTGACCAAGCTAAGCCACGGAGGCAACTTCCAGAGGCAAGCCCATTGTTCCTCCTCCCACACCATCCTGTGAAACAATTTTGAATTACTTTCCATTCTCAGCTTCATCAGAGGTTGTGCACGGACTAAAGTCCCAAATGACACAGAGATGCCCACCAGTGGCATTCCAGGCTGGTTCCATGCTAGAGAGAGAGGCTAGTGAAAGAGCTGTGGCTTCTCCAAGGCAGACGTGTGAGGACACATAGGAACCGGAAGCACAGGTCCAGGACGGTGGGGGCGTGTAAAGTGGAGGAGAGACACACAGGAAGACACCCTGGGGAGAGAAAGACCCCTGATGCCATGGTACACTTCACTGAAGGTTGCTCCACAGTACAGGGGCAGATAAGGACCCGCTTTTTTGGAAGAAAACACTTTCCACTTAATGCAGAAACATAGCAACTGGCAGAAGCAGACCATAGGGTCGAGAGCTTGGGACTGAAAGCCGGCAGTGTAGGTGGAGGTGAGTCCAGGCACAACCCCAGTGTCCTCCACACCAGGCTCAGCAAAGATGCTTATTTCTAGCCCTTATCTGAACCCTTGCCTGAGACGACCTGAAGTCTGCATTCTTAACACAATCCCTGGAAGAGTTAGCAACACGAACAGGGAGAACTGAGGACCTTTTCATTCAACTCAGAATAAATCTCCTGGGGCCAAGGGTCTTGTGTGTGAGGAACTCTTTGTTATAAGATTGTCTGGAACACAAAGGGTCAGAAACAGTACCTTGTATGGCACAGATTTCACTCACAAAACTGTTCAGATAAATCCTTGAAACTTGTTCTCCAGAGGGTGGCAAGTCTGACATGGAAAGAATACTAAAAAGTAGAAAATGCCTCCCGGTCCAGAAGGGAGGACCAGAAAGATGTTTCCATCCCCGAGAGACTGTCTATCTAGACATCCTGCAGGTCGTCAACAAAGGAGACCAGAAATCTAAACAGTGAAGGTAACATCTGTGCTCGGAGAAATCGACTTAGCGCCTGGCACATAGCTGGCAACTGTACATTTGTTAAATGCTTTGGAGAATGTGACTGAACACCACCCCTCTCCCTGGTTTAAGATTAGGTTGTGCTGGTGAAAGAGCCCACCCTACTCCAAAGAAACAGAAGTATATGCAAAGGCACTGTGTTTGAAAATGCGGATGAGCAGGGGAGTGATTCTCTAAGCCACCTGGCAAGAGAGAGGTGGCCAGGGTTGAAAGGCTCCCCAGAGCGAGAACCAGTATGTGTTCGCACAGTGTGCCCTTTGATAGACATGAACTTGAATTCTGTTTTCAGGGCTGGAAATGAAATCCAATAACTTGATCATACTGGATGTGCTCCCCCTAAGTCACTTCCCTGGTCCCTAGTCCTGGATTCCAGAGAGTCACGTGCAGAGGTTAAAAAAACAAATGACGATGTTCCTAGACTTGAACAAACAAAAGTAAATGGTTCTGAACTTGAAGAATGTGGGCAGGCAACTGGATGGAGCTAGAAAACATCATGTTGAGTGAAGTCGCCCAGGCCCAGAAAGACAAATATCATATGTACTCACTCATCAGTGGCTTTTAGACATAAAGCAAAGAAGAAAAAGCCTACTAATCACAATCCCAGAGAATCTAAACAGCAATGAGGACCCTAAGAGAGACATGCGTAGATCAAATCTACATGGTAAGTAGAAAAAGACAAGATCTCCTGAGTAAATTGGGAGCATGAGGACCTTGGGAGACTGTTGAAGGGAAAGGGAGAAGAAGAGAGGGGAGCAGAGAAGAATGTAGAACTCAATAAAAACAATTAAAAAAAAATAATGTGGCCGGGGAAACTAAAACCCAGAAGAAGCATTCCTGTCAAATAATGACAATAATAATAAAATTAAAAACAGGAACTTATGTTGGCCTATCCCAATGTCTACCCCATCTGTGATCTGTTGGAGCACAGGGTAGGGGGATCAGTCCAGCAGACCCAGGGCTGCGAGATCTCCACAACAAAGGGCAGCAATGAGATGTCCAGGAAAAGAATCCCAGTGAGGGCCCAGCATCGTCAATGGTGTCACAGAGACCAGGGACCTCGAAGCAGACCAGTGATTCTTTGAGGTGAATGCCTGAGTGTAAAGATGTATGGAAAAAGGAGTTTACTGCGTGACTCACTGTGTCACTCTGCAGCTTCCATGACAAGAGTTTTCACTTCTTCCTTTTTTTTTCTTAAATTTTATTTTGTTTTATTACGGGGGGGGTAGATGGGTAGATGCAGGCATGATGTGAAAGACACAAGGAATAAACAAAAAATTAAGAAAACAACAACGACAAAAAACAGGAGCTCTGCCTGTCTGTCTGTACACCATGTGTATGCAGTACCCACGGAAGTCAGAGGAGGGCACTGAACCCCTGGAAGAAGACAGACTGAAAGAGTAACCAGTGCTGTGGACCACTCTCCAGACCCAGGGGCTCTGTTAAAATGTAAACTAGACAACAAAGAAGGTTCTAACAGACCTGGCTACACTCCTCTGTGCTAGGGAATGGCAAAGTCAAGTTCCACATCCAGTCTTTCATTTTTACTTCACTGGGAAAGGAAATAAACTTCAGATTAGAAAAAGCACAACAAACCGAAAAAGAAGTGGCAGAAACCAAAGTTGTTCAAAAAGTCAGAAGAGAATGATCCCTGCCACCTTCCAATCTAAACAAAACAGCCCCTAAATATAGGGAGAACAAGAATGGCTCAACCATCTTTCTGGGATCTAAGGGACTTTAAGAAATTGAGGACATGAGCTCATGGCCAATTTAGAACAGATATTGAGAGTAAAATAGCCTCCACAAACCAGTACATAGCAGGGACAATCATTTAGCGTTGGTTGTCATTTTTTGACAAAATGGCCATTGGCAAATAACAATCCCACAGAGTTAAATGCCACCAGGCCTTTAACGCCCAAAGGCTTCTCAGTGTTTGGGGACAAGACAGAGCAAAGTGAGGTGGGCGCTAAAGCAAGACGATGACACGGTGACAGAGCAGTCTCCAGAGAACTGTTGAGGAATTCAAAGCGAGGGGGCTCTTCCCAGGGCACTCTTTGCAAATGTGGAAGGGATATTTCTATTTGTAGGTGACCCAAATTTGATAATATAATCATAGTCTAGATTTCAACAGACAGAAACATAGGCCAGGAGTGAGTTCAGAAAAATACACACTATTAATTTATATCAAATCCTGCTCTGTTAAATCCCCCAACAACACACTAGGGAGGTACGGGTGGAAAGATGTTAGTTCTCTCATTCAACCATATCCCAGTGAGTAAATGGGACAAGAAAAATTACCATAACCACGTGTAACTGGAGGCCCAGCCCAGGATGGTGTGTTCACTTTGGGGGAACACTACATTCTACAAGGGATAAAAGTGTATTAGCTAGGGCTCAGAGGAAAGCTGGGGTTAGGTGAACTTGGAGACACGGTAAGCCACAGAACTGTTGAAGCAAAGCAAAGTGTGCAGTCTGGAAGGTGGTAATTGCTGACAAGCGTTTGGTGGGACACTGCACAAAGATCCAGGGAAACTCCTTACTGTCGTCCCTGTAGAGCTGAGACAGACCTGCTCGAGGCAGAGGAAAGATAACCCCTGTCAATCAAGGCAACTCTGTGGTAGGATGCTTTGCTGGCTAGTTCCATATCAGCTTGACAGGGGCTAGAGTCATTTGTGAAATGGGAACCTCAGTGGAGGAAAAGCCTCTTTAAGATCAGGTCGTGGCCCAGACTATGGAATATTTTCTTAATCAGTGATCAGAGGCAGAGGGCCCAGACCATTGTGGGTGGTTCCATCCCTGAGCTGACGGTCCTGGATTCTTTAAGAAATCAGGCTGAGCAAACCATGAGGAACAAAGCAGTAAGCGGCACCCCTCCCTGGCCTCTGCATCTACTTCTGCCTCCGGGGTCCTGCTTGGTCTGAGTTCCTGTCATGACTTCCTTCAGTGGGCTCGAGTTATGTAAGCCAAAGAAACCCTTTCCTCCCCAAGTTGCTTTTGATCATGATGTTTCACCGTAGCAATAGTAACCCTAACCGAGACAGGTGTGTTTTCTGAACTTAGTGACCTTTGTTTATGGGGGTGTTGGGGCTCATGATAAAAACTAGTAGGTGCTGGCAGTGCGCAGGTCTGAGTCTCCCATCTAAACCCTGAGAGCCTAATGCAAACCCAACCCTCCCATAAATGATGGAGCTATGTGCTTTCTTTCCCTCGTGGGCCTGTTCCTCTTCTGTTGCACGGATGGAATGCAGAGTGTGAGTGTGTATGTGAGGGAGAAAAAGCGTGTGTGTGTGTGTGTGTGTGTGTGTGTGTGTGTGTAAGAGAGATTTGTGTGTTATATGCAAATGTGTGGGTAAGAGGGAGTGTGTATATGTATAAGAGTGTTTGTGTGTGTGTGTGAGAGAGAGAGACAGAGTGTGTGTTATGTGTGCATGTGTGGGTAAGGAGTGTGTGTGTATGTATCTGTGTGTACTTGAGTGCACACCTATTTAGGAATAGGAAGAAGACATAATAGCACAAAACCCAAAGGGAGCAGAAACGGGAGTGACATAGTGTGTTTAAAGTCTAAGGAAAAGGCAGTAGAGACAGTGCGAGCTCAGCAGGTCTGCGCTGGCTGGGGTTCCTTCCCTTTATGTTTCTCCCGTGGAGCTCGGAGCATGAGAAAAGCACAGAGGTTTCCTTGCTTTGGTGACAAGAATGCCCCACTGTGCATCCCCACAGCCTGGGAGCCACCTGGCTCTCTGATTCCCACAATAGGATTTAGACCTGTGAGGCCTCCACAGCCTCCACCCGTGTGAGCCCTGTGGTGATGATAAGGGATGGCCAGGGGAGCCCACCGATTTACTGCAGTCTTAAAGCAAGTCACCAAAGCAGTCAAGCAACTATACCCTGCAGCCTCCACCCTTCCCCTCCCTCAAGCAGCCCTTGGGTGCCAAGAACAGCCGTGTACAGACTCCGTGTGTACAACATGGACCCGTTGTGATGACCAAGCCTAAAGTCAGAATGACCACTCTCTCATCTTTTCACAGGAACACCTTTAAGATCAAGATCCATCCTAGATCAAGACTCCTCCTCTGTGCTAACACATAAGAAATCTGGTTTGGAAGGTAATGATTGTTGTGGCTCTAAGCGACTGTAGAAGTTACTAGCCCAGCCACAAGAAGGGTAAGAAGTGCAAAAGTAGCCTGACCCCTGCTGAGGAGTCCTTACTTAGGGCCCAGGGCCAAGGCGTCATCCCAGGAATAGAGCACCAAAGAAAGACACTGAATCCGAGGCAGGGGCATGGATGTTTTGAAAGGAGAGTCAGGTAGGAAGATAATGGTCATCATACATAGCTCATCCAATGCCATCTTTTGTTAACTGAGCAGGACATTGTGAAATGCATAAAAACCCTCTCCAAATTCTAATGAGAAAGAAGAACTAGGGACAAGGGGAAGGGGGCAATGCTTACAGAGTGTCCACTACAGGCCCCAGACCGCGGTGGGCCGAGCGCCTCTCTGCGTGTGCGATCTCACTCTCCATCACCTCCTCTTACCCCCCAGCTTAAGAGGTGATTTTTAAAATTGATTCCCTCGGGGATTAAAAGGTCCACACACGGCAGTAATAATCTCTCCGACTCTTTTCGACATGTGAGGCCAGTAAAACAGAGGAAGGTTAGAGTAAGAGTCCAACTTAACCTATCATTTAGGGATTCCTGCAGAGTGCTGTGGGCTGGGACGGCGGCCCCGGCGAGGGTGAGCGTTTCCCTTGCTAATGAAGCTTATGTCAAGTCCTGGAGGGGAGCCTGGGGACATGCTGGCCCTCAAGCCGCAAACCTCCTGCAGAAGGAGAATTAAGCAGAAGCTAAGACTCTGCAGAGGAAGGCAGAGTGGCCGTGTGGGAAAGGCCAGAAGTCTGTCTCCATCTCCAGAAGCCTTGGTGCAGGGAGGAGCCCCACATTTAAAGTGGGCCCCGGCTGTCACTGTGTCCCTGAGGTCATGGAAGCAGCTTTTCTGAGATGTGCTGTGTCCCCTCATAGACTGACCCAGTGCCACCTTGGTGGAGGAAAGACCTGGCACATCTACATATGAGTCCTTTGTTGCTTTCCGGGTTTATTAGCGAGGGCTAAGCTGACTCCCGTGAGAGACAAAGACAGGAGAAAATCCCAACCTGCACAGCATCCCTTCATCACTTAGCCTGAACGGTGACCCGGAGCCAGGCCCACCAGAAGACAGTTTAGAGACAAAACTGAAGGGAAAGGGTTGAGGCCTGCTGATCTGAAATATGTACCCGTGTCCTGTTCAACACCCATCCACACCTGGTAGCGTGTCCAACAAACTAGTTCAGACTCTCGATGATGCACCCCACCCGCCTCTCTGCAACTCCACATTTAAACTGTTAAATGAGGTTCTTCTCCATCTTTAGTCCGCGGCCACAGCTGTTTCGGAGGAATCTGTTCAAATGTTAATGTGAGACACAATTGTGTTGGAAACAGACTCCCGGGGGAGAGTTCTTCCCTAGTAGCGAGAGTCCTGTTTGAATACAGATTCCGAACGGCTAGGACTGGGAAGGCTGGCTTTCTAACGAGCTCTCTGCGTCTTCTGATGGTCTGCGGATCACAGTCTGGGTGGTCCGACTTTCAGACAGCTTGTAGATCTGTGTCACAGTGGCCCGTCCAGCCTAGCCCTTGCCTCACCTACTTAAGCCATCAAGAAGAGCGGAAGGGTGAAAACAGATCTAAGTTTCCTCTGGGTGTTCCTTAGTTCCTGGGGCAGGGCTGCCCATTGCTCAGAGCTGGCTCTGGGCTAGATGCTGATTTTTCTCCTCCCTCCCCTCATCCGCTGTCAAACAAAACCTTCAGCAACACACCAGAGGGGCCTTACTGGGGACCAGTGCAAGGACCTTGGCAATGGGGTTTTGTGATAGGAGAGAGAGATGGGGTTCAATTGAAAACACACAGCCTTGATGAGCCAGATTCACATCCCGGAAGCAGGCAGAGGTGAGCGGATGGAAACTGTGAAGGAGGCATCAGGGGAAGTGGGGTTCTCACGGAAAGCAAGCCAGAGTAATGAAATCCCTAGCTTGGTAGATTTCCTGAACCCGTGAAGAATCAGGTCCAGGACTGAGATGCTCAGGTCTCAGGGTGTGGAGCTCCCGCCAAACAGACTCAGCGGAGCATTAGCTACAACTAGGTTTCAGAAAGAAGTCAGCAGATGGGTCAAGGAGACGGCTCAGGAGGTAAGTAAACTTTGGCCAAGCTAAGGTTTCTGTCATTGGAATATGGGAATTACTGTTTCTATTCTGTGTGGGAAATGTGGCTGCTCAACCATTTATCACATATTCAAGTGTGCAGCTCTACCAAGAAGAACCTTAATAGAGATGCCCCAAAACAAGGAGGAATCAAAATTCATTCTTAATCAGATGAGAAGGAAAACATGCTATCAGGAACTGTGTGTTGTTGGGCGTTTGGGCTATGTCAGTCCTGGCTTCCGAGCCACCTAAAGACCAGCCTTCCCTGTCCTCACGGCACAGGTGAAGGGTCAGGATGTGAGTGTCATTGCAAGTGGCACAGGTCTTCTGAGACAGGTCCACCTCTTGCTCCTGGCCTGGCACACCCCTCTCCCCACTCTCCATGGGACAGATAATGATCTCATTAGAATGGAAGCAGAGGCCACAGGAAACCCCCAAAGGAACCATTAACTAGAAACAGATTCTGTTGCTCAGTTAAGTCTCAGCCCCGCCACTGCTGTTGACGGTGCTCGGCCAGCACATTAATGAGCTTAATGACCATGCTGGACCCAGCCCTGCTGAGCATCACTGCTTGGTATTCACCTCCTCCTTGCCATAAACGTTCACATCTCCTTCAGTTAGCTCTGGATCATCCAGTAAAGCCTGTTAAAAACAAGCAGCCACTGGTGATGAGGTTTTGCTGAGCTGTCAGGCCCCGGCCAGGCTCACTCCATCTCCAGTGGCCACAGGAGTCAGTGGTGTCCCAGTACAGAGCGTCTTACCCTAGCCGCCTGCCTCGCAGTCTCTGTGTCCGTTCACTCACCTTCCCTCTTGGATGTTTGCCCCAAGGAACTCCTGAATGCTGGTTTGAACCCTGAGGGGTTCTTGTTGGGTGTTCCTAAGTGGTTTTTCAAAACGATTGTAGGAACATGCCATGTTTTTAGTACCCCAGTGCGGGTGGCATGTATGTCCCTGTAAGAGTAATGTGGAAAATGTCTGCCTGTAATTTCTCAGCCACCACAAGCTTGTCTGGATCAAACCACAGGTATGCATTAAGGTCTGCAGACAGAAGGAACCTAGTCAGTCACCCTGTCAGGAGTTTGAAAGAGTAGGAACTTTTTCTACTGAATCCAAAATTAACAGGTGGGAACCGCAAGGAATACCCATGACCCTAAAGGCATAATAAGGGGACAGAATTAAACAAACTAAGACATGCCACTGTCACTTCCCTGGAGACCTAGTTATCCATCTAGAGTCTCTTCCTCCAAGCCACGCCTTAAGAGCCACACCCTCTCAGGAGTGGGGGAGAAAGAGACCAGAGTTATGAATGTCAATTCCACAATTCAATTTGCGCCCCCATCATCCTGAAGGCTTGAAACCCTTCTCCATTTCCTAAACCTCCAGGCTAGGGTTGACCCTGAAATGCAAAAGTACATGCTTTCCAGCTTTTTGGACTGGGGAGCCTTCTTCTAGATTAGCAATGGTGAGCCATAGGCAAGTCTAGAAACCAGCAAATCTCAGAGAACCAGTGGGAGACAGATACGTTCTTGGAACGTCTGAGATAAAACCATTCAGACTAAGTCTCCCTTGCGAATCCACAAGAACCTCTGCAGCTAGCCCCTGCCCTCCATCTCCTCCGCTGGCTCCCCAGTCGCCTTTCTCATGTTCCACACCAGGTACGCAATGCTGTTGCAGTTTTTCAATATGTGTATACACACCTCTTCAGTCCCACGACTGGGCAGCCATTGGGCGGAAGGAGGTGGATAGTACCACCCAGTCCCTAGCCACCTGCCTGCTCTCCACTTTGTCAAACTGACAACATTCACCAGACACCAGGACCACAGCAGCTCCCTGAAGTCGGCCAGTGAAATTACTCATTCCATGCCTATTTTATTATGACCCCCATGGTGAATCTTATGTAATTCGATGAATTTGCATCCTTGGTGATGCTGGTGGTTCTTTTATTGAAACAAGGGTGAGATAATAAATCTATTTCTTTTCTCTCTTTTTTTTTTTTCCTCTTTTCTCTCTGGTTTGGTTTTCCCTCCAAATTTGCTTCCTTTCGGCGTTCCTTCCCAAACTGAAAGCCTCGGAGACCTTCCCTCAAGGGTCCTTTTGGGACACTATAATGAATGGGCCCTTCGACAGGCAAGATGAGGAAAGCTTGGATGTAAGTGGGCAAAACGCAATAGCGCCCTCCCTGGGAGGAGACACCGTTTTCATGTGCTCGGGCAGAGCGGGCCACACTTGGCCGCCTTCCAGAGCATTCCTTGGGACAAGTGGGCTGAGCAGGGAACTCCCATCACAAGCACCTCACCATCTCTGAGCTTTGCCACCAGAGGACATGAAACACAGCCAGACTGACTTGTTTATTGCCTTATGTAGGCTGATTCAGTCTAGATTTTTGAATACTGAAGCTACCTTGTGCACATGATTTTTAAATATTGAAATGGCAAAACAATAAGGCTGGGAAATAATTTTTCAACTCTCCTCCTTCCCTCCCAGAAATAGCTAGTATATAGTGTGCTCTCTGGGCATGTCTGGAAATTTTAATCCATATGAAATATACTTTATTACAATAACACAACTAGCCACTATGAGACCAGAATTACATTCTGTTTCTCACTTTTCCCTTGATAATATATTTTGGAAATCTGTATTTCATTACCTTTTTTTTTTTTTTCAAAACAGGGTTTCTCTGTGTAGCACTGACTGTTCTGGAACTTGCTTTGTAGACTAGGCTGGGCTCGAATTCACAGAGATTTGCCTGTCTCTGCCTTCTGAGTGCTGGGATTAAAGGTGTGCACTGCTGCCGCCCGGCTTCATTACATAGCTTAAACCTCTATTTAACTGGTACCCCATCCCCATCAATCATTGGGTACTTTCTGATATATACACTATATAATACACGTGCACAAGGTGGGGGGCGAGCGCGCATCTGCATCCTTGACTCAAAGAATAATGATAGTTGTGTGTGATAGCCCACACTTGCAACCCCAGCAGCACTGGGGAGGCCGAAGTAGGATAATGAGTTTGGATCAGTCTGGGCTACACTATAAAACCCTATGACCGAAACAAAACAAACAAACAAAACTGGCAAGTTTCCATCCAAATCATTTGTGCCGTTTTGCTTTTCCCAAGAGACTGTGAGAGAGCCCCTCCCCGAGGGTCATCGCCAGGATCCACCTGGTGGAGTAGAAATGGTAGTGTGTTGCTCCTTGCACTTAGCCAGCATGATAATGGGGGCTTTTCCCACTCATGGGCCTCATGTGTCCCTTTTGAGCACCCGGCCGATGTCTCTCGGCTGTCCTTCTCGTCTGCTGCTTACATCTTTCCCTTCCTGGTTTGTAGGGACTTCTTTAATTTATTTCAAGTATCTGGGTGTTTTGTCTGCATGTATGTCTTCATGCCTGATGCTTACAGAGGCCAGACTGAGTGAGATCCACAGGGACTGGAGTTACAGATGGTTGTGAGCCACCATGTGAGTGCTGGGAACCACACCTAGGTCCTCTGGACCTAGCCAGCACTCTTAACCACTGAGTCATCCCTCCAGTCCTGTGGGAACCTTTTAATGCCTGAAAGAATCTAATGCTTTTCTGACATCTGTGTTGTAAAGGTTTTTTTCAGTCTTTGTATTTCAAATCCTTTATGGTATTCTCCATAAAATGGTCATTTTTCATTTTTATGTAGTCTCATTGATCAATATTTTCTCTTATGACTACTAGCTATTATTATATGTTTATTAAAAGGTCTTTTCATGCTCAAAAAGTATTTCATAAATCATTTGGATGTTTCCCTACTTTTATAAGGAATCTTTTTAAAAAAGTATAACTGAGATGTATTTGAATATATATATATATATATAATTTAGGGGATTCAGCCAGAGCCAGAATGCCCCGAAATGTTGAGAGCCAATTTTGCATTTTTAAAGTCACTCCAGCAGTTTGTAGATGGTGAGTTGCAATGGAGAACCTAAGCACAGGGAGAAAAGCAACTTCACAATTAGTCTAGATGAATAGTAATGATGTCTGGTTGCTTAGGAACATGACATAAGATGCAGTGACACTCAGTAGACAGTAAAGAGGAGAAAATCAGGCTTGCAGATTAAAGAGAACATTTCCACTTGACCCACAGTGAGTGCTAAGCGCCTGTAGGACATCCAGAGAAAGTCCAGATAAAGCGAAGGAGAAAGCTCTTGGTTGGAGAGTTTGGTGTGGAGTCTTGATTAGTTTACTACAGTTCTATAGCAAAGCTCCAAGGAGTGATTGGCTTAAACAGTAGAAGTGTGTTGCCTTTCAGGTCCAGAGGCCAGAAGCCCAAAGTCTCTGAGGGACAGCTGTGCCCCAGGCCTCTCCCCTAGGTTTACAGATGGCATCTTCTCCGGAGTCACTTCACATCTTCTTCTCTCCGTGTCTGTCCTTTAGTGTCTGTCCACCATCCACTTAGATGAGGATCTAAGTCATGTTGGAAGAAGGTTGTAGTTAATGTGGATGTCAACTTGACAGGATCTAGAATGACCTAGAAGACACACCTCAGGCTCTGTCTGTGAGGGATGCTCTCTCCCTAACTGTGAGTGGCTTAATCCGTGGGCTAGGATCCTAGCCTGAAGAAAAGGGAGAGGAGGAGGTGGGCGGCAGTGCTGTATGCCACTCTGCTGCTCAAGGACTGGACTCAGAAGCAGCACCAGGGCACAGACCCCCAAACCCTCCTGACAGGCGGGGTCTTCGGCAGCTCTGTAGCACTGTGACAAAATACCTGAAATGGAGGTTTATTTTGGTTCACTGTTCTGGAGGCTCACATCTAAGAACATCAGGCTTCTGCCATATCCTGAGCCAGAAGCAAGACGTAGAAGAAGACATAGGTCATGCAACCCCTTTAGGTGGCGTGCCTCCAACTGTCTAACCCCTCACTAAGTCCCATATCTTAAAGGTTCCATAATCACTATGGAGCATACAGCCTTAACATGTGGACCTTTCCACGTGCATTCAACTTCCAAAGTGTGACTCCCAACAATATAACCTGGCAAAACAGGACTTCTCCAAGCAACCCGGTAGAAAGCATGTACGGGCAAGTTTAGCCAGTCTAGGAGAAGGAACCTTTTGAGGGGCTTAAACAGAGAGTGAGTTGAGTCCTAGTGGCATCCAGACACCTCAATTCACTTGTCATTTCTAGTTACTATTGCTTGTTTTTTAATTCTAAGATATGTGCATGTCCCCACAAGTTTTCCTGTGCAAGCTTTTTTTTTTGTTAATTCTAACAACCAGAGATTTACCTAAGAGGGTCTCTGGGCATAGGAGACCTCACCCTGGGGTGCCAAATAAACTTACCATCGCAGAGAGAATAAATAGCTTTGCCCATACGCGGTCACATGCCAGCTTAAATAGAGTGAAGCATCACAGCCTAGATAAGACAAGACCCTTGAGTGAGCCCATTCGCTTGGGTCCAGTACCTGGGAGATGACAGTGGACACTTAGTAAGTACAACTTGGAACATAAAGTGTGCTGAGAGACCACTGACAAGGCAAATGGTCATCCCATCCCTCAGGAAAGACCACGAACCACAAACCATAGTCTTGTAACTGCCCCACATTGTATGTAACTTTGAAAAGTTATATCAGGTTAGTTATTCACTGTAGGAGGCTAGCAAGTTAACCAATAACGTCCATAACGACCTCAGCTTGGAGATGCTCTGGGCACAGGCATGCTCAGTCCCTACCTGCTCTCCAAAAAGTCCACCTTCATCTCTATCAAAACAGTGTGAGAAAGAAACACTGTGAGGAATCACCTGTGGGTCAGCCATAGCAGCACAGCCCTGGGACAGAACAGTCCCTTCAATGAACACATACACAGAGTAAGACCACAACGAAAGCCCCTTCGGATGCCACACTACCCCATACATCGGTGGTTACAAAGCCTTGACCTTGAGTAAATCAGCCATCCCTGGGAGCTTGGTCATGGGTTGGATGCATACTTCAAACATAGAAGTGGGTCTATAACCATCTCCACAGTCAAACCATGAGTTTATGTTCCCAAAAGATTTCTTAGCCTGCAGATACTAATCACATTTCTTCAGGGAATTGGCAGCAGGCAGGAAGAGGGTCCAATAGTAGTGGGAGATTTCTTTATCCTTTGAATTTTTATGTAGTGATGGTGTGTGTGTGTGTGTGTGTGTGTGTGTGTGTGTGTGTGTACCACAGCATGTGTGTACAGGTCAGAGGACACGTCTTGGGAGTTGGTTCTTGCCTTTCTCTTATTGAAGCAGAGTCTTCCTTGCTTTTTCTGCTGTCGTTCTGCAGACTCCATGCTAGTTACCACAAGCTTCTGAGTAATTGTCCTCTTCTCCCATATGAATGCTGGGATTACAGATGCAGGCCACTACATCTGGTTCTTAATATGGGTTTCAAGAATCAAAATAGGGCCATCAGGCTTGGGTGGCCATCATCCTGGCCCTGGAAGATTTTTTTAAGAGAATCCTCCTAGCCCTTCAGCAGCCTCACACACACAATTGGTATTTCTTGGCAATATATTAAAATGCTACCTGGCACAAGAGTCAGAAAAATTATTAGCTGACAAAGCATCAATCTCCACATCCGGGCTATGTCATCTGGTGATCCTTTTGTAGTCTCTTCCCAGCGCCTATCAGTCTGTGTTCAGGGAGCTCCTCAGTGAGCTGGCGTCTCAGAATGAGCTGGCGTCTCAGAATGAGCTGGAAAATGACATGGATAAGCCCCTGAGCAACCTGCTGGAAGGTGAAAACAGGAAGAAGCTGGGACTCTTGTAAGTAACGAATGAGGGGAGCCAGTCAGTGTGTTCCAGGAAACCAGATGTGGCAAACAGGACAAGTATAAACTGTGCAACCTGAGGAAAAGACCTGAACTAGGGTCAGGCTGAAGGCGGGAGTCAGGAAGCAAGCCCACGCCAGGCACAAGGACATGGGTAACACCCAGGAGTCAGATGTGCACAAGATCTGGTCGCCAGACTCAAAGTTCACAAGGAAGGAAATCATAAGGATGAGGGGCGCAAAGTAGAAGCAAAGGCAGGCAGTGTCTTTGATGTGTACATTGACGCGAGCACGGGTAAAAGGCCTTGATCGTCGCAGAAGGTGGTGCCTGGTCTGTCTTTAAAGATAAGTCACACACTGAAATTGTCCTACCAGGACTGTTCTTAGTCTGTTTGCCACGGATATCGGTGTCATTTCGATTTGGTTGGTATGTTGGTTTTTTTGTGTTTCAAGGGCTTTCGAATGGCTCTGGTCAGTTCGTGGACCGGGCTGTTTTTCCAAGCCATGTCCAGATGTAACCCCCATGTGATTCAGATAAGTCACAGAAAAGCAGGCTGCAGGAACTTAACTCATATAGCTACCCTGGCACCCGAACCTCCATGTCTGCCTCTGACCCCTACATGAACCCCACTGGATTCATTTTGAAAGATCAATTGAAGTCGCAGGCCATGGGGGAAGAACTGAGTAGATGCCACAGGACAACCCTTAATATTTGAGGTCACTGAGCAGAAGGGAATCAGACAGCCCAGCCCTCCATTTAGCGTTCCCTGACTCTGCAGCCTCTAGGCCTGCAGCACTGTATACTGTGTTATGCCAACACAGACCAAACTTGATGTTTGATGATTGTTTACATTCCTTTCAGGCTGAAGAAAAATTTTGAAAAATACAAAAAAATAATTATGTGGATTAAAGACTACCATAAAGGTAAGCAGCCTCCACCCATGTCTGGCCTTTGTTCGCTTATTTGCTTGCTCTCCACTAGGTCTCTCCTCTCTAATACTATTCAAGACTGCCGAGCCACCCCCACACCCCCACCCCTGGGAATGGTGCCACCCACAATGGCCTGTGTCTGCCTAGATCAATTAACAATTAAGACAAGTCCCAGAACCAGGATTGACCCACAGACCTGGGGCAGGCCAACCTGATCTAGATAATTCCTCATTAAAACTCTCTTCCTGCGCGATCCTGGGCTGTGTCAAGTTGACAGTTAGAACCAACAAGCACAGCTTCTAATCTGAAAACAAAACAATGAGGCTGGGTTCACCGTCGTGCGGTCGTACACCACCATAGTGTGCCACTGTCGTGTGCCACTATCGTGCCTGTCTACGTCCTGCTGCTCTGGACACCTGAAGCCTAAAATGTTTGAGCAGCCTACACAGAAGAGCAATGGTTTTAGTTGGAGAATGACTTCCCCTTCATAGTCCTGATCTAGCCAGTCACAAGGAAACCTCTAGGCACCTTTGAAATGCTAGTCACTTGCTTCCTCTGCCTGCCCTAATGTCCCGTAGTATTGCTTCCTCTGCCTGCCCTAATGTCCCGTAGTACTGATATGTCACCCCACATTTCTGAACACTCTAATTTCCAAGCTAAGGGTGAGTTAACACACCATCATACAGGGAACCACTTCAAGAAGAGCTCCGTGCTTATTATAAAGCCCTGCTGGCATTGTCTTGAAATTCTTAGTCATTTCAGAACAAGGGTCCTGGTGTTTTTATTTTGCATAATTAAATGAGATAGCATCTCCTATCTAGAACGATCCATTCCAATGAAAAGTCACACAGTAACTAGGCGGTGGTGATGCACATCTTTAATCCCAGCACTCAGGAGGCAGGGGCAGGCGGATCTCTGAGTTCGAGACCAGTGTGGTCTGTAGAGTGAGTTCCAGGACAGCCAGAGCCACACAGAGAAACCCTGTCTCAAAAACAAAACAAAAAGGAGAAGGAAGGAGGAGAAGGAGAAGAATAAGAACAAAAACAAGAATAAGAAGGAGGAGGCGACATGTGAGAACATGATACAGCTTTACAACTTAAATTATAAACCATCAAAATGCAAGGCTCTTGGTTTTCCTGCGGCACTGGGGCTTAACCCCAAGGTCTTGTGCATCTGCCACTGAGCTACACACCTAATCAGTTCGCAAAGCTGACCTTCCACTGGGTGGCACCCTGCATGCACGGGCTCATAGCAATGTCATGGTTGTTATAGTCAGAGACAAAGTTTTTCCAGTTTAAGAAATCTGGGATTCAGACACTTTCATCTTTTCCTTGAGATTCAGTTTTCCCTGACTCCTCCCTCTCTTCACACAGTTCCCATACACTAATCTTATAACTTTTCCCTGGACCCTCATGGTCTCCAAGAAGATCTCAAAGAAGATGTCTACATTCTTCCTATACTGTACAAGGTTCTCACATTGCCTCTCCAGCCACACTGGGTTTTTTGGCCCCAGCGTTACCTAGGTCAAAGTCCCCCTGATGTAGAGCCTCAGTATTTCCTGTTACTTCTGCCTGGGACACTCTTGTCTCCAGCATCCCGGGGCTTACTCCCTTACTTCAACCAGGACCCTGTTAAAGTATTAATACTGTCTTTGACTTCCCTCTAAAAAGCAGTGTTGTGCGGGGCTGGAGAGATGGCTCAGTGGTTAAGAGCATTGTCAGCTCTTCCAGAGGTCCTGAGTTCAATTCCCAGCAACCACATGGTGGTTCACAACCCTCTGTAATGAGATCTGGTGCCCTCTTCTGGCCTGCAGGCATACATGCAGACAGAATACTGAGAATACTGTATGCATAATAAATAAATAATAATAATAAAAAAGCAGCATTGTGTGCGTGCCCCTAGGCATCCTCCTCTCTCTGCATTGTAGCTCTTCACAGTACTTGGAACCATTTGGCACCTCACATGAGACACCAAGGACCATAGCTGCCACCACCCCCCACCCCCGCTCCTCCTCAGATGCTTAGGATAGCTCTTTGTGCTCAGGATGTTTACTGAGAACACAAGCAAACTGATGGTCTACAGTACCAGCCTCTACCAAGTCACCTGTCCTAACTAACCCTACCAACCTATTCCTACTCCAACCTTCAGAACCCCCACCCCGGTACTTATGTTTCTTTTGTGTGTGTTTTAAAACCTGGATTCCCTTCTTCCCCTGTGAGCTCTCATGGCAGCCTGGACTGGCCCCAAATGGTGGACACCCAGGGGTTGTTTAACTGACCACCACTGCCCCAGGTATTAGAAGTCAGGCTTCTTTTCCCCACCAAAAACGATGCCAAGCAACAGGTCCTCAATGTGGCTCCTAGGACCACATCCAACTCACAAGGAAGCATGGGAAGGGCGCTCGCTTCTCCAACTCTGCTGTCACCGAAGGACAGAAAGATTAATATAGAAATGTGTTCCCGTGCAAACTAAGTCAAATGCTCTTCGAGATGCTCAGTACAATGGGAACCAAATATGAAAAATGTTTGGAGTATTTTAAAGATCATTAACCCTTTAGAAACTGCCAAAACTGAATAGTAAGAACTAAACTATGGAGCTGAGAATGTGGTTCAGTTGGCAGAGTGCTTGCCTTACGTGTAATAGGTCCTGGGTTCAAACCTTAGCACTGCACAAACTGGGAATAAACAAAGTTTGTGTTTGTAATTCTAGCCCTCCAGAGGTAGTGAGGTAGTGACCTCCAGGAGGTCAATGCCAATCTGAGCTACATGAGATCCCATCTCAGTAAATGAATAAATAATTTAAAACTAGATGCAGTTGAAGTGAACATAATCACAGAGTCCCAGTCATCAGACCGCAAAAGAAGAGCTTTCTCCTATATCTCAAGCAACATGTAAACAGACATTTACATTTTACATTACAATAACATGTTCAAAGTACATTTCCTTTTTTTTTTTTTTTGCAAAGTGAACCCTCGAGGCAGCCCATGTATTTATCCAGCAGCCATGAGAAGTGCAGCACCCTCTGTTGTATAGCGAGCATGCAGCTTCACCCCTGCAGCCTCACGGCTGTGCTGGCTGCACTCTACCCCTGCCCATAGCACCTTGACAGATGGCGTGTAGCTCAGGTCCACCGGACCTGATGCTGTCCCCCAACCGTAAGCCGCAATCATGCCCTCTCTGAACAGATCAGAAGATGCTCGAGGAGAGCACCACGACCATCACGTACTTTATATCAACTCTGCAACAGCCCCAGAAGCCAGGGGCGGAAGAAATCAGAAGGCGTGATTCTTCTTTCAAGAAGAGGTTAAAGCTTGACGCAGAATGGACACGGGCAAAGATGCAGGTAAACATGGTGATGCGTTGGTGTGTTCACTGTGAACAGGCCTTTTGGTTTTGCTTCCAGGTCTGGTGAGGGATGTGAATCGTCAGAGAGCTGTCAGGGCCAATATATAAAGTGGATACAAACAAGAAAAGAAAGTTCTCAATATGTTGAGATCCAGCTGCCTGTGTAGTGTTGTAGGGCGTGTGGGCCTGCTTTTCGTCCTGTCTGCCCGGCTAACTTAACCCCTCAAAATAATCACACGAAATTATATTAATTAAATCACATCACTGCCTGGCCCATTATATCTAGCCTCTTCTTGGCCAACTCTCACATCTTGATCTAACCCATTTCTAATAATCTGTATGTCACCACAAGGTCGTGGCTTACCAGGAAAGATTCAGCAGGTCTGACCTGGCAGCATCATGGCGGCTCTCCCTCTGACTCCTTCTCCCAGAATTCAGTTCTGTCTTCCCCACCTATCTAAGTTCTGCCCCATCAAAAGGTCAAGGCAGTTTCTTTATTCAACCAATGAAAGTGACACATAGTCAGAAGGACCTCCTACACCAGTGTAGTTTAGGCTGTTGGAACATGGACTGGGGTTTTAGTAGGCCTAGTTGAGCATCTTCTCCCTATAAGGCAATGAGATGTAAGGAAATAATCTTTAATAATAAACTATGTGATATAATAGGTAGTTTCCTTGGTAATAAATTGGAGTCAATACTTTAAAAATCATTATGTAGGGAATAGATACCTAAACTATAGTACATGCAGAGAATGGAGCTAGAAGGCTGAGACAGGAGGATCATGAGGTAGACGTCAGTCTGGGTTATATATCAAGACCTGACAGAAAGAAAGAGGAGAGATGGGAGGGAGAGGTGGAAGGAAGGATGGAAGGAAGGGAAGAAGAGATGGAGAAAGAAAGGAGGAAAAGAAAGAAAGGAGGAAAGGAAAAGAGAGAAAAAACAAAAACTTGAGTTGTCATGCTCTGAAGATATGTAAGAAAGCATGAGTTCATCTTACTAAGTGGAGGAAGCCAGTATAGCAAGACAGCATGGTCCAACCGTCCCACATTGTGGGAAGTGACAGACTATGGAGAATATAAAATGAAGAGTAGCTACAGGGACTATTCAGAGCAGGGGGTGGGGGATAGGAAGAGCAGAAGATTTTTAGGGCCATGAAGCTGTTCTGTAATGAACCACAGTGACAGACACATGCTGTTGTACATTTGTCTACACCCCAACAGAGACCCTAGTGTGAACTATGGAAGTGGGGTAGCAATGGTGTGTGAGCATAGGTTCATTTACAGTAACAAGCAAACCACTTCCGGAGAGAGAGTGATGGAGCGGCTGGGGCTTGAGAATGACAAGATGTGGGACTTTTCGTATTTCTACTCTTCTTTGCTTTGGCCTGCTCGACCACATGCAGTGCATTTTTGAAACGGCAGAGGGCGTCTTAATCAGGACTGGCACCGTAAAGCCACGAGTGGAAACTGTGTTTGAAATGTCAGTCACTGAGCATGAGCACAGAAGCTGAAAAAAAAAATGAGGCATCCCAAGCAGAGATCTGAAAGGTGAGGTGAGCTTTACACCTCTAGTGAGCATGTGCTCAAAGCACACATGCGCCCCAGTTGCTGGAGATACTGGAGTACAAAGACAGAAACCCCGCTCCTGTAAGATTATGCCAGTTGAAAGAACCCAAACACAAAACTATTGTTCGGTGCATTGTCACTAAGCTGAAAGAAGGGATGCTCCTGTATCTAGAAGGCAAATGGGAAAGGTTGTTGGACCAAGCACCATGTAGGCAAAAACATGTATGAAGTGGGGAGAGTAACATGGGGATTCCTGGAGGTGGGGTTGCAGCAGCCTTTCCCCAGGACATCTGTAAGGAAGAGTGACAGGGACAGGGAATCAGATGGGTTCATTTCCCAGCACTATGACAAAACACCTGAGATCTTTAACTTAAGAAGAGGGAAGGTTTCTTTTGACTCAGGGTTGCAGTTGTCTCAGCCCCCAGTGGCTTGGCCCTGTGCCTTCAGGCCTGTGGTGAGACGTAATACCACAGGGGAAACTGTAGGCTGAGAAAGCTTCTAGTGCATGTGAGCAGGAAGCAGAAAAGCCAAGGAAAGGGCCAGGGTCTCAATTTAACCTCCAAGGTCATGAGTCCCCAGAACTACTACATCCAATGAAGTCCACACCAACCACCCAGTAGTACCATCTGCTGGGGACCACACCTTCCATATGCAAGCTTCTTTTCTTTTCTTCTGGGGGTTTTCTTTCTTTGTTTGTTTTTTCAAGACAGGGTTTCTCTGTAGGTTTGGATCCTGTCCTGGAACTAGCTCTTGTAGACCAGGCTGGCCTCAAACTCACAGAGATCTGCCTGCCTCTGCCCCTCGAGTGCTGGGATTAGAGACATGCACCACCACAGTCCAACTTCAATGTGTAAACTTTGGAGTAAGATCTGAACCACAGTAGCTGCTGATCGCATAGAGCCACTCTCTCTAGGTTACTGAGGCATTGAAGTCAGGACTCATTCACAACTGCAAGCAAGCAGCTTAACAAACAGACACCCATTTCTTGCCCACGTTACATCCATTTTATCTCAAAGCTCTTTGGACCGGTTTTCCTAGGAGGTGAGTCCCAGAGATCTTGGCCCTTCTATCAGCAGTCTTTATCAACCCAGCATTCTGGTGTCTACTTGCCTTGACAGAATTCCCAAAGCTAGAAGCCACATTTAAATTCCATCAAGGAGGACAACTCACATAAGCCCCACTTAGCTGCAAGGGAGCCGGGCAGGAGACTCCAGCTGGGTATCCAGAATGGAATGTCATGAGTTTGCACTCAGAGCAAAATCAACTAGCAATGTTCATATGATCCTGGTGTCTTTGTTTTTGGTGAAGTGAAGGGGAATGGGAAGGCAGCACTGTCCACCATGGTGTATCTTCTAACCTCCATACATGCCCAAAAACCTCCATCTCTTGGTCCTTCATGCAGAAGGGACATACAGACAACCCAACCCAACTTCTGTGAACAGGGAAGAGGGCTCTCTGCTTACATAGACCACAGTAAGTTTAGAAGCCCACTAGGTTGTGGCTCCCTCACTCCCCTATCCCTGGCCTCACTTCAATAAACATTCTCCAGTTAGCCTAATCAACTCACATAGCCATCCCAAACACCCATGCAATGACTGGGCGCACAATAGTCCACTAAACAAACCTCAGCAAACATCATGTAAACTAGGTACTCTGATGCATTTTAATTAGTAACAATGGTGTCACCAGATGTGTCATATTCGCTGCCATATGTAAGCACACTTACATAACTTTAACATCAAAGACAAAATCATATTGGTCCTTGAAAATATTAAGATGAAATAAAGATGAAATTGAAATGGTTTCCCTCCTGGGAAGCAGGTCCAAACAATATCTGGACCTCATTATGTTAACTGCTCAGAAAATTCAGGAAGAAGGGGAGAGGACCATGAAGAAGAAGGGTAAAAATCCAAACTGCATTCAGATCTAAGAAAGAAACTTACAAACAAAGAACTAGAATAAATAAAACATAAACCAGTGTGGAGAAAAACAAACCTAGTAAAGCCAGCAGGCTTTCAGGCAAGATTGATCCAGAGGAAAAAAATGTTTTTAAGTATAAAAAGAATGAAGACATAAGGACAGAGGAAGTTGAGATTTTTTTCTTTTAGCAAGCAAGCTTTGTATGGCAGTAAATGCAAAGTTTTACATAAAATGATAATTTCCTAGAAAAAATATAATTTACTAAAACGAATTCAAGAGCAAGGTTTTAAAAACTTAAATTTACCAATGTTACCGGTTGAGTTGTGTTCCCTTAAAAAGACATGCTAATGTCCTGACCTCCAGGGTCAGAGTATGGCCTCACCTGAAAAAAAGAGCATCCCTGGGGATGCGATCAGTCAAATAAAGATGAAGGCCTAATGGAGTACGGAATGAGTAGATAGGTCCCTACCCACTTACAAGGAACCGTGAAAGGGCACTGGGGAGATGTGTGCCACAGACGGTGGGATCACCAAACAGGAGATTCCCCAAAGGTTTGAGAGACCTAACCCTCACCTTCATTTCACGCATGTTGCCTCCACAGTGGTGAGAGTATATTTCTTTTTTTTTTAAGACTTATTTACGTGTATGAGTGATTTGCCTGCATGCAAGTATATGTACCATGTACACGTCTGGTGCCTGTGGAGATTAAAAGAGGCTGTTGGATCCCCTGGAACCAGAGCTATAATTAGTTGTGAACACCTTGTGTGTTTTCATTTGAACCTGTGCCTTCTTCAAGAGCAGCCAGTGCTCTTGATGGCTAAGCTACCTTTCTAAGCAAGATAGTAGATGGGTGCTCAGAACAAGAAGATGCAGGAGCTGAGCGTGTTAGTGACCCCACCTCTCTCTGAAGGACAGCTATCACCTGCCTGCTTTCTGTGTCTCTTCTTCCCAGGTACACCAAGGTGAAGGAAAATTAATTACCTACCACAGTGGGAAGATTTTCCATATTCTTTTTCCTAATGGCACGGGCCAGATATAGTATCCACTGGGAAAGAGGGGATGCTCATGTGGACAATGAAAATGTTTGTGATTCTGGCCTAGCATATATGTTTTGACTGAGAACTGTGTCCTCTTTGGTACCTAACCTTTCTCTGGGAGCGAGGGCTTGTCCCAAGACTGTTTGTGCCTTAACCAACTTGCAGCTACCCATCAGGGAACCTGGCTCTGCTTATTACCTGCAAAGAAGTCTCCAGGGTCACATACATTTTCCTGGAAGACTGTGAAGAAATGAAGATCCGAGGCTTTGTCAATAACTCTGGCCATGCCACCTTCTACAATGAGGACGGAGAGATCTGGTAAGTTTGAGACTTCAGTCGCCACCACTTGGGCCATGTGGAAGCCGTATGGTGGAAGTCTGCTCCCTGTCTCTGAACTTGTGCACGTTGGAAACATGAGAAGGGGGTGCCACAAAGGACTAGTGCAGACCCTGCCCGGTGCCACAGCAACCCCCAGAGTGAAAGAGCGACCCTGGCCTCTATGACCACAAGCCATTGACATCATCTCTAAACACCTCCCAAGAGTCCAACCTTGTGGGAACTGCCCCCAGAAGGCCCTGGGGTGCACTATTTTGGGAATCTGGAAGTGAGGCTTAGGGACACACACATCATATAACAAAATCCAGAGTCAAAAGGCATATTCTAAATATTTCATTAAGATCCAACATGTTTCTTTGATTTTTCAAGACAGGGTTTCTTTGTATAACAGTACTTGCTGTCCTAGAACTAGCTCTGTAGACCAGGCTAGCCTCAAACTCACAGAACAAACTTGTGTCTTAACTAGTTCTGGTAATGGTGAAAGTTTTCTCTTTCCAGTTCAAGGTTACAAGGTCCCCTCAAATTATCCCTCTCAACCTTTCTTGGGTGTTGAGTACTTCCTGTTCCAAATGAAGTGATTTCCATGTGGGAGAAACACATTATCTTGGGTTAACTTATTTTCATCAAAAGAAGGTGCACTTTAATTTTTAAAATTCTACTCTCATCCATCTGACCTTGGTTTTCAAATGCCATCTCCTGGTTAGTTTCTTTATTGTCCGCTCTCCTCTGACAGTCACATGTGTAGAACATGCTGTCTGCAAAGTCAGGTCCTGGATACAGGAAGCTCAGGGCTTTGAGGCAAGCCACAAACACAGTTAATGATCGCCTATCTTGTCGGTGACATGCAGTGGGGTCTCTTAACTCTAAAGTTTTAAAGACAGAAGATAACTTGAAGAAATCCAGGATATGGTCACTGTAGGTGAAGAGACTTGGACCCAAAAGATCACAGTCATTTGCCCTGAGTTGTATATAAAATTAGAGGCACGAGATCTTAGGACGTTTACTCCTCCTGATGAAAAGGGGGTCTAAAAGTCATCGAATAGCAGCTATAACCCCAAGGTCTGTCAATACCCAAAGGGCAGAGAGATGGTCAGAGCAGGGGTGAGAGCTGACCCCCATCCTCAAGATTCCATACCATGGGCCTGGGATCCACAGGGTGGAGAACAGTGCTGCAAAGCTCTCAAGGGATTACAGGAGCCAGGAGGGAGGTGCAGGAGGGGAGGCTGTGCTGCATGAGGCCAAGAGAAGTCATGACTGGATCGAAAGACAGAGCCTGGACTTGGGTGCACAATCCTTGTTGGGACCTCTCCAACCTGCTGTCTTAGTTAGGGTTACCACCGCTGCAATGAAGCCACATGACTGAAAAGCAAGTTTGAAAGTCTTTATTCCACTTATACATTGCTGTTCATCAAAGGAAATCAAGACAGGAACTGAAACAGGGCAGGAACCTGGAGGCGGGAGCTGATGCAGAAGCCATTAAGGGGTGCTGCTTACTGCCTTGCTCCCCATGGCTTGCTCAGTCTGTGTTCTGGTAGAACCAGGGACCACCAGTCCAGAGGTGGCAACACCCACAATGGACTAGGCCCTCCCCCATCAACTGTTAATTAAGAATTAATTAAGAAAACTCCCCACAGGCTTGCCTACAATCAAATCTTATGGAGGTATTTTCTCAGTTGAGGGAACCTCTTAGATGACTGTAGATTGTGTCAAGTCGACATAAAACTAGCCAACACACTCACCAAAACCTTATGCGCCCAGGCAGAGAAGAGAGAGTGGAAGGATCAGAGGGGACCAGGGACCCTGATCCAGGAGGGATGGCTCCCAGGACCCAGCAGCAGACATGACTTCTGACCCATCTCCTTCCCCCAGGTTGAGCCTCAGCAAACTCCTGGGCTACTATTTCCCCAAAGGTCAGCATCAGAAGGCATGGAACTGGTGGAACCTGAGCTTCCACGTGCATGCACCCCCTGTCATGTGCATCACGTTGAAACTCAACAAGTATGTCCATATACAAATAAGGAGTCAGGACAAGGTCATCTTCTGCTTCTTTGCTCCCAAACAGAGGAGGATTTGCATAAACATGGGCACCAGGTTCAAGGTAAAGTCTTCACACCCCTGACCAGAAATCAGAGAAGGGGAACACGAGAAAGGATCAGGGCGGGGGGAAAATGTACGGCCCCCAAGAATGCACTCCCGGGGGCCTATTCCTTCAGCTAGATGGCACCTCCTGCTCTTCATCACCCCCATCAATAATGTCATCATATCACAAATCCATCAAGGCATTAATCCCCATCTAAAGACGCCGCCACCCACACAGAAGTGCGCTTTAGTAATCTCCAAGGTGATTCTCAGTCCAATCAAGATGACAAGCCTGTCTTAGTGTTTCTATGGCTGTGACAAAACACCGTGACCAAAGTCACACGGGGAGGACAGGGTTTGTCTGACTTCCACTTCTGTATCACTGCTCATCACTGAGGGAAGTCAGGATAGGAACTCAAGCAGGGCAGGAAGCTGGAGGCAGGAACTGACACAGAGGTCATTTGCACTCAAACTACTACTGCAACCACATATTGCCATCCTCTCCCTTGCACTCGGCCACATTCACATAGCATGCCAACACCTCAGCATTGCAGCACCAGAGAAACCAGCACCCCAAATAGCTCCCTGTGGAGCAGGCTCATGCCGTCAACACACACTGCTTCACTCGTCCATAGCAGCCCTGTTAGAAAATAAGGCCAGATGCAAGAGAGAGATTTATCCTTGTTGGTCCTCCCCAAAATGCACTCTTCTCACATAAACACCCCCAAAATGGCACAGAACAGCACAAATGCAAGAGCTGGCTCCCCTCTAGTTCTGCTGGAAAGCAGCAGCGTCCGTAGGTCACGTGACCACGGGAAAAGGCCAGGTGGACATTTGGGACACAGCAAGAAGGCTACGAGCAGCAGGACTAGGGAATGAGATTGGGCCTCGAGGGCAAAGCTCTAGAGACAATCATCTGGACTAAGGCCTGGGTTGGGGCAGGACATCTGGGCAGCACTGACCCTCACACAGCCTTCTGTGTACCCCCAGTTTATAAACCTGGAACTGCTTCAAGCCATGAAGAACAAGGAGGTCCTGGAGACAGAGCCCGGCCCAACATCGTGGAAGATCCGGGCTCTTCTGGGAAAAATAAGCAGGGGTCTGAATTTCCTGAGCCTGTCTGACTTGGAATACTTCACAGAGGACGTCCAGGTGGCACTCAGCAACCTCAGTGCAAGGAAATCTCAAACCTGGTTTTAGGACAGCCACCAAGTTGTCTCAGGCCTCCACTGCATGTCTTGGGAAATGGAGACCTCAGGAGCTACAGGAGACCCACCAAAACCTGTTTACGTCTTTGCGAGGCAGCTTGTAGTTATGGACCTGTACCAGCTCCTTTGTTTGTGGGGGGGGATGTAAAAGAAGGGGGGGAGATGGTAAACAGAATCTGTGGTTGGGCACAGAGAAGACTGAGTGGTCATCCCCGACCTAACCACTCAGAGACACATCATCTCAGTAAGTAACACTGGTCACCACCTGTCCCCTTGCTCCCGTCCCTGCTGTACAGGAATTCTCCTATGGCTGTCAGTACTTGCTTTCACTGAAGACATAGTCCACTGAAGACCAAGCTCTGTCCTTCATTATCTATGTGTCTGTGGGCAAGTAGCTTTATTCCTTAGTGTCTCCATCCGTACAATGGGCCCAGAGATAGTTCCTGCTATGACGGAGTGGAGAGTATCGAATTCATTCACACGGGTAGTATCCCAGGATCACTGCAATTACTAGTAGCCTGGCCCCTCCACCAGTGTGCGTCTCTTAGTTAAGGCTGAGTGCCTGCATTTCCCTTGGTTTACAGGGTCTGCCCCCATCCCCTGTCCTGGGTCTTTTTGTCAGGATTCTGACTCCCATTTACCAAGCCTGTGCCATGAGCTAGTTGGGCCATGTGGTTCTGTGACACAGGCGGTATTTCTCTCAAAGATTTGGAGGCCAGCAGGGGCACAGTGACTCCCTTTACAGCCTATAGGCTACCTGTCTACTAAGTGACGTCAGCCTTGTAACTACCTGGTCATTTGCATGATTCCCCATCTGAGAGTATCTCCAAACCCCAGGTTACCCCCAGAACACTTTGACCCTTCATCCACTTCGTGGCAGGACCCATACCCACCCCAGTCCATCCTGGGCCCCCTGGAAGACTGTCCCAGCCATCAAGCTGCCGCTGACATTGGGGTCACACCTCGCTCCTGGCTTTGGCACATTGGGGGAGCAGTGCGGAACACTGTTGTTCACGCCAGGCTGAGGATGCAGTATCCTCTCAGTCTAGGACCCCACCCTTTCTGCACTGCCTTGAAGGTTGTTACCAACACTGACCCCATCACAGAGGGCCACTTGTCCACCCAGCTCCATCACAGCAAAACAAAACCTAGACAGAAACCCAACACCAGCCCGCACTTCGTTCCCGCAACTAGAAGCTGAACTCAGGCATACAGAACTCACAGGCTCACTCCTCAGATAGTTAGGGCTCTTTGGGTCACTGGTAAGTCCTTCACTCTGTAGCTAGACCGAAGTGGGAAATGTGTCGGCACCTAGCTAAACCCTCCGCCAAAGCAGTGGCCAGACGGTCCTGTCCTGGGATGCCCAGCTTGTCCTAGAGAGGCTTTCTGTATGTCTCAGTTCACAGGCTTCTGTCCCCTAACACTCTTGAAGACCCTAGTGGCCTCTGTTTCACCCTGCTTCCATTAGATACCTTCGGCCCAATCCAGTGTGGGGGGTATTGCTTAGTTACGACCAAGTGCATGTCCGCCTTGACTAACGCTTCATGTATTTGGGAAGACCACATATAGTACGGTACCTAATTTACTACTGGAAAAAACTTGGGACAATCCAGGCTTTGGTTTGTTATATAATATAGCTAGCCTCTTTAAAACAAAAGTCGAAGGAATGAAAGAAGGGAGGAAGGGAGGGAGGAAGAGAGGGAGGAAAGGAGAGAGGGAGGGAGGGAGGGAGGGAGGGAGGGAGGGAGGGAGGGAGGGAAAAAATGACAGGAGCATGGGAAATGGTTCCATAGGTCAAGTGGTCACCAGGCAAGCATGAGAAGCCGAGTTGAGAGCTCCAGCACTCACAAAAATACTGAGCAGATGTCCTGGCCCAACTATAATAATCCCAGCACTCGGGAGGCAGGGAGAGGATTCTCTGGATGGCTAGATTACCCAAATCCGGGAGCCCTGGGTTCAAGTAGAAGACCCAGCCTCAACACCTAAGATGGAGAGCGATCAAGGAAGGCTCCTGAGATAAGTTTGGGCCTCCACACACATGCAAGCGTGTGCATACACATGCATGCATACCACATGCAGGCAAGCACAGAAGAGGAGACGGGGTGCTGGAGGGTGTGACAACCAAGTAAACAGTGCAAATACAGACTTTGAAAAACCTGTAAGAGTGCAGAGGGGCAGTAAGTACGTTGACATATAGACTACATATTAGATACTGAATCTGTTTTTTAGGTGTCATGATAACACCGGGACTTACAAAAGAATATTCTTATTTAAGAGATTGATGCTAAACTATTTAGGTGCAAAATGTTTTAAGTACAATTTGAAAACATTTCAGGAAATGAATGTGTGCTTCTACACACTAATTAAACCTCAATTGTGTAAAAGAGACCAATCTGGCAAGAAAAAAAATGTCTTAAAATATACATAGAAAAAATCTGGAAGCTATATGCCAAATGCTTAATGGTTTACTCTGGAAAGGGGAGCTCATTTATGAGCCTTTTATGCTTTGTATTGGAAGCACACAGGTGACTGTAGAGAGCTTTAGTTGTGTAACTGGAAAATGTCTTTCTTTACCTTGTATGTTTTAGAGGGAAAACAATACATTGTTCAGGTCTGCACTGGTTTCTACCGGCCTCAGCCTTTGCAGAAGGGTTCCCACTGAAGCGGTGTGTGGCAGCATGCACCTGTACCACCACAGCCACGAAAGCCGGGGCCAGATGACTGCTGAGCAGGAGGCCAGCCTCAGCTACATAGTGAAGCCCAGCCTCGGCTACATAGTGAAGCCCTGTCTCAATCAAAGACACCAGAAAACAGAAAGCACCCCAGAGGGAAAAAAATCAAAGTCCCTCTGTCCTGAGTAGGTCCATCACCAACATCCACAGGTCCCTCTAACTCAGTGGTCCTCAACCTTCCTATAGTGATATATTATTTGTGTTTTAATAAATAAAGCTTGCCTGAAGATCAGAGGGCAAAGCAGCCATACTAGTCAATCATACAGGCCAGAGTGGTGGCACACACCTTTAATCCCAGGACCCGGGAGACAGAGTCTGAGGGATCTCGGTGAGTTCAAGACCACCCAGGGCTACACAAGACTGAATCTGTCTAAAAGAGAAACAGAGCTCATAGGAAGGTGATCCCAGCAGTTGGGATCACATGCCTTTAATCCCAGCACTAGGGAGATGGAGACAGGTGATATGGCTGGGCAGAGAGAGGAATATAAAGGGGAAGAGACAGAAACTCTGAAGTGTGGGCTGTGGAGTCTTAAGGATTCATGAAGACAGGATCTCACCCATTTTCAGTCTGAGGGAGAGATAAGAGCTGGTTGCTTTGCTTTTCTGACCTTCAGGTTGAACCCCAATATCTGTCTCTGGGTTTTTATTATTTGTGCTAAACCTTCCTAACGCTGCAATCCTTTAATACAGTTCTTCATGTTGTGGTGACCCACCACCATAAAATTATTTTTGCTGGGGGGAGTGGGAGGGAAATGGGAGGATGGGAGGAGGTGGAAATTTTAAATAAATAAATAAATAAATAAATTAAAAAAAATTATTTTTGCTGCTACTTCCTAACTGTAATTCTGCCACTGTTATGAACTGTAATGTAAATATTTTGGGGGACAGTTGTTGGCCAAAGAGATTGAAACACCAAAGTTGAGAATCGCTGCTTTAACCAGAAGCCCCCTTTAAAAGATTGACTGTATGTCCTATTTATAAGGTACCAGCAGGAGAGAATTTAAAGATCTGGGGTTGCTAAGGCCAAGGGAAAATACAAATTTGTTTGTATTGTTACTACAGCACTACTTAATTTCAATGCAACCATCTGTGTGGACAGTACTTGGGAAACTGGCAGTTTTACAATTAAAAAAACAAAAAACAAAAATCCCTCTCTCTAGTTTGGATCTGGAATGTCCCCCAGTGGCCATGTGCTCAAGACTTGCTTGCTACCAAAGGTAGTGAAACTTGTGCCCAGATTACGACCCCCAAAGAGACCACCAGAAACCAGAGAAATTCAGACTGCAACAAGTAAGACTTATTGTTACTGTAAGCGGCTAGCTAGCACAGAACTCATCACCAGAACTCGCCCCACTAGTTGCAGTGAGGTAGGGAGGAGTTAGAACCCCTCTGTGGGGTTAGCTTTTGAAAGGTAAAAACTACAAGCCCTTCAGGGCCGTCAGGGGTGCAAGGTCTTTGCTCTTTCCCATCCTGTTTTAAGTCAGCTTGTTTGCTTTCAGAGCAAGGTCACCCTGTCCCTGAGTCAGGACACTTTATAGGTCTCCACCAGGTGGCCCTGCGTCCTTGTGTGAGGGGGAGGGGCACTATCTTTTCTGGGAACGTGAAGCTAGTCTGGGGTTTTTGATTTTAAAACACCCTGCTAGGAAATTCCTTCTCATTCCTTTGAGAATAAGGGATAAGGGTCTCACACAACGGTTTATGAGGCGACCTTCTGGTCAGAGGTGGGCCCTTGAAGGGGTTATGGAACTCCCCCATCCATCCTTGACTTCCTTTTTTGATTACCAGTCTCGAAAGAGCAGCTTTGCTGTACCATGCTCCCCTGTCATGGCATGCGGCCTCACCACGGGTCCCCAAAGCAATGGGGACTGCAGTATACATTGTATTGGTGACTATATTATCGTGTGCTGTGCAAGCCCCTCCCTCATCTCAGCGTGTTTATGTAAAGGGTCCCCCCAAACTGTCCTGGGTCAGGCTGACCCCTCTGGCTCTGTGACTGAGAAAGGGAAAACAGCAAAAAGGTCAACGTGTAAGACACAGGTTACTATTGTGTGTTCCGTGTATAAAATGCCTGCCTGGGAAGGGGTAGCTGGAAGTTCACCCATGAGGAGACATCTGCTTGGGTTGGTGACCCTACCTAATTTCTGCTGGCTGTTGGAAGCCCAATTTCATGATGTTTCTTTTGTTTGCTCTCAATCAGGCTGATCCAGTTTGTGCTGGATATGAGTGTCTGATTTGATGATGCTTTGTATTATTGGAGGCTTCTGTCTGCCACGTGTTACTTGTATTTGCTGTATAATTAATAAACTCAATCAAAACCAAGAATGGCCATAGTAGATTATTCTGCAGCCTACAAAACAGAGCCAGTCTCCAATCATGACAGGAGCCAAAACTGTGAGCCAAAATGAGCTTTCGGTGTTTGAAATTTGACTTATCTCAGGTGTTACGGTAACAGAACACTAACCCTCCTTCTAACTAGTAAATCATTAAGATACCTCCAAAGCTGGGTGTAGTGTGCACCTCCCCGCACTTGGGAGGCTGAAGCAAGCAGACCTGAGTTTGAGGCCAGCCTGATCTACAAGTTCCAGGACTGCCAGGGCTACACAGAAAAACCTTGCCTCAAAAAACTAAAATGAAAGAAAGATCAAAAATGTCTTTTAACAATTATTCCACAATAAAGCTAGGGAAAGCTAAGATTAGTGGAGTGCACTGACGTCAAAACCCCAGTTATATAGTAAACTCCACAGCTTTGTAAGATGCCACCACTGAGCAGAGTTAGATAAGGGGAGCTAAGGGACTACTTCTTATAAATACACACAAGTCTACAACTGGTCCCAACAAATTTTCCAATTAAAATATTTTTAAACAATCCACATGCATACCAAACACGTGACAACAAAATAGGAAGCAAAGATCTTTATTTTTTTAAAAAATTTATTTATTAAAAACAGCAATTTCTAGCTAAATAATATAAAGCATCTTAAATTAATTATTTCAAAGTATGTACACTCTGTATAAGTAAACACTTGAAACTGTACATATTTAAACAAATATTCATTCAGCAAACAAACTGGATCAGTACTACCTTCCCAGCACTTGGTAAGGTGTTGAGTGTTTTCAGAAACAAAAAAATCAAAACCAAGAACAAGTGTTTCCTGGAGAGCGTGTCCTGCTCCGCACGCCAGACTGCTGAGTCTCAGTGCTGCACAATTACGCCCACATTTCTTTGGAAAGGCTATTTGAACACCAAATGTACATATAATACACAGAACTGGATATTACAGTTTATCACATTAGACATGTATTAAAATAGTTAAGTATAATCTTCCTAACTCATTCATTTCATAGCAAAGAAAAATATGGACCCTCTTACCTTCGAGTTTCCCAAAATATAGAGTAATATGCTCTACCAAGCAACGTCCACCACCAATTTAAACCGCATTGAAAATCAAGTGGCCTGTTGCATCAGAATGGGTCACCCACGTGCACACTGTGCAAGAAGCTGCTCCTGTCACTCCACCTGCACCGCGAGGTCACTTGTCCTATTTCAGAGTCCTCAGCACTGTCCCAGCCACAAGACTACGGTCTGAGTTAATTGAAGAAGCAGGCTACATTTACTTAATACCAGGGTCTAAGCCAATTCAAAGAGGAATTTGTAGGAAAATTCATGGATGCTTATAGTCTTTTGACTCTTGATTGGTATCTTGTTTAAGGTACGGGCAGTGTTTGCCACACTTAGGTGTTCAGTTGTGGCAGGACTGGGGACCCCAGAAGGCTGGTGTCTAGTACAACATAGGCAACCAAAGAGTATTCACTTTATAAAGAATTGCAACCAAGGTCAGCAGAAGGCCAGTGACTAAGCTCCACTTCTGGGACCCACTCCCCACAGACTTCTCTCTCCACCGGTAACTCGCACACTCACCCTGGTGCCCATACTATGAAGGTCCAACTACCGAGACACAGCTGACTCGGAGATGAGGAGAGCACAGTGCCTTACACGAGGCCTTGGCTTCTGCAACTGCCTCACATCAAGTCCATAGGAAGACGATAGCCTGAGTCCAGGAAAATCAACCAATCTACTCCCAACGCAACCTTAAGATGGCAGGGAAAAACCCTGCATCGGGATACAGAAGTAAGATTTCTCCAGGTAACAGTAACCATGGAATGCCGGTGGATAAACGCCTTGCAATGTCCACAGGAGCAATCAGGACCCAGCAGCTCCAGGAAGCTGAGTTCCTACGAAGTCCACACTATTTATCGTAACCTACTTTTATTGCACAGTCTCTGTGAAGGGCCGTGTACTGTGAGCCCGCGGCACCTCTTATACCTCTCCATTTCTGGAGACCATGTCACTGAGGCAGTTCCCCCTGCTGTCAATCTTTGGCATTTGGATCTTCTGCTTCACTCAGGGTTCTTTCTGCAGGCAGCACTGAGTAGCACACCCCTGTTTCTCAGGAGCTATCCCACACAGGGGTCCTGGGCACCCTGCAGGCTGCAGGACTCCTCAGGCCTTTCCCAGGGGACTGACGGTTGACACCCGTGGTCCATGGTAATTATTTAGAAACTGACAGCAGGAGATTCAGCTGAAAAGCAACAGGGAGGCCTGTGTTAGTCGCTCTAGGACTTTCCCCCTCGGAAGTCTCCAGGATGAGCCACGTGTTTTCAGCCACGGGAGGCCCTGCAGGGGGCTGCACTTTGCACCAAATCCAAGCCCCAAGTCACTTACAGTCCATGAAGGTGACAGCAAAGCAACACACAAATGCGGAAGACGGCGGACATATACACATAATCCACGCCACCTTGTTCCTTCCACCCAGTGTTTTGGACAGCACCACTGTAAGCTGAATTCTTAAAATGATGATTTTGTTTGTTTTGTCTATTTAAAGTACAGCCCAGGCTAACCCTAAAGTCAACATCTCCCTACCTCAGCTTCCTTAGTGCTGGAATTTAAATGACTTTAAAGAAAAAACAAAACAAAACAGAAACTCATGTAGTTTAGGCTAGCCTCAAACTAAGGTGACCTTCACTTTGATTTTCCCCCTCCCAAGTCTTGACTGTAGACCTATAGAACACTAGAAGCCATGACTTTTCCCAATATGACCCCAACTATCCACACACACAGCCAGAAGGAAAGAAGGAGGGAGAGAAGGAGGGGGGAGAGAGGGAGGGGAGACAGAGAGAGGGAGGAAGGGAGGGAGGGAGGGAGGACAAACTGGAGGGACGGTTCAGTGGCTAAGAACACCTGCTGCTCTTGTAAAGGACCCAAGTTCAGTTCTCAGCACCCACACCCTGCAGCTCATGACCACCACTTCAGCTCCAGGGGATCTGACTGACCATCCTCTTCTGACCTCCACAGACACCTGTACATACCCACACAGAGACCCAGACATATTCAAATAATCTAAAATTAAAAAAAAATAAATCTTGGGCTGGAGAGATGGCTCAGTGATTAAGAGCAATGCCTGCTCATCTAAAAGTCCTGAGTTCAATTCCCAGCAACCACATGGTGGCTCACAACCATCTGTAATGAGATCTGGTGCCCTTTTCTGGCGTGCAGGCATGCATGTAGGCAGAATACTGTATATACAATAAATAAACAAATCTTTTAAAAAAATTTAAAACCACATGCTGCAACATGTTTGAGCCTTGAAGGTGTGTTGAGTGACAGACCCCAGTTAGGAAAGACTATGCATGACTATGCATGACTCCACAGGATGAAATGATCAGAATAAGCAAATCCACAAAGACTGGGGGGGGGAGGTTGGTGAGTGGTAACTGTGAGTAATGAGAACGTTCTAGAATCAGAGGACGGTTGATGGCTGCACTGTCTTGTAAATATACTAGAAACTTAGCAGGAGTTTTGTGGCACATGACCTGCACCTCACGAAAGAAGAGCGCAATTCTGTCCAGCGTTCTTCTCCCCGTGAGAACAGTGTTCCTAAGTCTCCACACGGCTGGTCTCACGCCCTCCCCAGTCTCTCTCACTCCACTAGGCTCTCAAACCTGACCACTCCCAAGACTCTCTAGTCCTGAAGCAAGAAATAAGTCATTCTCCAAAGAGCCAGGCTATTCCTAATACATAACAGGAGTCTGATCAAAATTTCCTAGCTGAATTGAATAATAAAATAAATGCTGACACAAACTGGGCTCCAATTTAGGTTATTAAATTCAGAGAGAGAAAAAACACATAGACAGGTCCAGCATTGATTCTAGTTACTAAAATAACTTCCATTTCAGGCACTTACATGCTAGCCTGTTTCAAACAGGGCTACTTGGCAGGCTGACATACTGAGTCCTTCACAAATAGGCCAGTTATTATCAGAATGGATTAAACAAGAAACTAAAACTCTAAAGCCACTCCCAGAGTTAGACACAATTCTAATTGATGAGTAAGTCTGAATTCTTACTCATCAAGATAAAACAATGTGAAGTTGTCAAATTAAAATTAGAAATGTTTGTTCAAACGTATTATCACAAGGGGCCGATAGTCTGTGGATACCTGTTCCATGGAAGGACAAGCAATGATCTGGATGTCTTCAGGGCTGAACTCCTCTTTTAACAGAGCATGGAATTTCTGGTAGACTTGCTGAATGTTATTCTTCGAAAGAAGAAGGAAAGACCATATCAGACAGTCCAGGGGATAAATGTACACGTCATAAACAAGCAACACTAAGAGCATTAAGTCATCATGGTTCGTCGCAAAATGAGTAGAGGAAATATATTTTTATGAGATTACCAAAGACATATAATTTGTACTTTAATATTTTACACGCTAGCACAACCTGATGAAGACTTATCAGATAATTCCTAGAAACATTAAACCCTCATAGATCTTATCCCCCCAATAAGAAGACAATAAGTCTTCAGCAATTTCTTACACAAAAGAGAGTAAGTTTCAAGATACATAAAATGCACTTAAAAAAAAAAATCAACCAATGCCTTGGGTAAAGCTGTGAACTCAACACGAACTGGAAGCTATGAGTCTTAAATCCACTCTGACACTTATTCCCTTGGTGGCTGTTACAAGTCATTTATTTCCTCTGCTCACCAGTAAAACAGGGCATAAATCCTGAAATGCTGCTCTCCTAAGTGTTGGGCCACAATGCAAAGTGCAGATCTGATTCTTCTTTTTGCTTACTTATTAATTTTTACTTTCAAAATTAACAAAAGACTTAAGACAAAGTGAGCAAGGAATACGATCTAAGCTGGCAGATGTAGCTCTGGAGCCTCTAAGACCCCAGAGAGCATTGACGTCACAGGCACTGAAATGTCTGTAGGACGGGAAAGTGACAGGAAGAAAACACGTTAGTCACCAGCCAACAAGCTGCACACCACTCACCCTAACAGGCTTAAACAAGATGAACTCGGTGTCCTTATTGGACAAGTACAGTGACATGCTTCTCAACGTCAGTGGCAACTTCGTTTTTATTGTCTTGTAAGCAGTGGCCACGAGATCATTGACCTTTGCTGTGAAGAAATTACCTAGTTAGTGTTACAAAGGAAAGGACAATTTTCCATTTTAATTCAGAAGAGAACCGAAAAAATAGTAAAGGAAAGACACTTTATTTCCCCAAAGAATCTCTTCCCTAAGTCTTGTTATTTATCAAGTTTAACCACAAGCCTTGTAAACATTCATTAAGTATATGTGAATATAAACTCTGAACCCAAGGACCAGTGCAGCCAGAACTTCCCCAGTTTGGGTCAGAATGTTCACCGGCACTGCAATTTGTGCCTTTGGAACACAGAAGTAAAAGATGAGGTTTAAAACCCACTCAACTACTAAAGATTATGCCATTTAAGCATTCACAAAATACTAAGATATATAATAAAATATAACATTATATATATATATATCTGAAGAGTATATGGAAAACCCAACTGAAACATTAAATATATTCATTAATAAAATGACTCAAGGAATCACGGTGTGGCGAGGTGTTCTATGTACTGAACAGAACAAACAGTTGGGCACACTGGTATCAAAGGGGCTCCAGAACAGGCAGTGAAAGATAATGCAGGATGGTACAATCTTACCTGGACAACTGCAGTCTGCGTGTGCTAGTGTGTATGTATGTGACACACACACACACACACACACACACACACACACACACACACAAAACTAAGGGCAAGGAACTATAATCATGGTTATCGTCAAGAGAACTAGTTTACATACAGATAGAGAATAATAATTTTTTATTTTATACTTTTTCACAGGTCAAATTTTATATCATGTAAAAGAGTTTAACTGAGGGAAGTTTGAGCAAAAACATTGTAGGAATAACAATGCTCTTCTCAGGAATTATTCATTTTTCATTAAATAAATGAAGTCTCCTTCCAGGTCCTTCTTCCTGAGTTCTGGTCCTATCATCACTAAATACTTTAGGGATCACTAAATCAGACTTGAAAGCTTTCAGTAACCACAAAGTGGGTACACAGGCTACTGAATCCAGTACCCACCAACTTCTAAAAAGATGTATTTCCTAGCTTAACAAACTGACATTTAATTTATAACTCATGATATAATTTCCCCTAAGCTGAGCTTAGGGCAGAAGGCCCAACAGTTTCTAGACTGTTCTCCTTGATCCACCTAAGGAGGTCCAATGTCTCTGAAAACCAGCTCCACACTTCCCAGGTGGCCAAAGGGGCAGAAGATATTTACAAGACAGTGAATGATCCCTTTAGGAAAAAGTAAGTTAAATGACAAAGCAGAAAGCCCCATTCCAGCCTGTCCTGTTAGCTACTGCCGTACTAACGGCGACGGAAGTCCACAACACCCCCACCCTTCAACATGGAACTGTTAGAATACCTCTTGAGAAAAATCATGGGCCCTACTTCAAGAGAAAGGATCTTTCCAGAAAGGAAAGAGCTATGCATCAAGGGCCTGGGCTTAGCTACACTAGTATGCTATGCCTGCTTGCCAGTGTTATCTATTTTAAGAAAGATGTATTGCACCTCAAAGTTCCATTTACATAAACATTCAGAATACAAACCAGCTCCTATTTCTAAACAAGCACTGTAAGAGACTAAAATCTTAAGCCAAAGGTTCAAATTAATTCAAGATCAAGAGAATGACCCCAAAGTCATACTGGCTAGGGACTAGCAAGGGTCCTACTGTGAGGACCAGTGGTCGGCACAGCGGTAGCCTGCAGTGACAATTCCAACACTGCCAGTGGAAGATTTACTGCCTTTGGACAAATACTACTCTATCAAGTTTGTTTTGGTTTTTGCTGTTGTTTGTTGTTTTTCGAGACAGGGTTTCTCTGTGTAGCCTTGGCTGTCCTAGAACTTGGTCTATAGACCAGGTTGGCCTCAAACTCAGAGATCCGCCTGCCTCTACCTCCTGAGTGCTGGGATTAAAGGTGTGCTACCACCGCCCAGCCCCGTGTTTTGTTTTTAAAAGATGTCACAGATGTCAACCTCAAATATAAGGCAAATGTTTGAAATAATGGAGAGATACATTGTCTCCAAGGTCGGGCGCCCCCCCGCAGAAGCACATCCTCAAAGTCCACACAAAGAACCTTTGAAATAAAACTCTTTCCAAAAACAACTGGTACCTGTCTAAATGTATACATCTTCCTAAGTAAGACAGCTCTAGCTACTTCTTAGTTCAACTTCAAATTAACCCAAAGTATTTATGACTGAAAATTCTGAGACAGAACAGCATCAATCAAAATTTCTATATGGTAATAAAATTTGACCTGTGAAAAAATGTAAAATGGAAAGTACTTCTTATTCTTCACCTGTAAACCAGTCCTTCTCTCAAAGGTAACCACTGTTATACTTCTTCCCCCCACTGCTGATAAACATGCTGTACAGACTTTAAGTCACCTGCATAAGACTGTACCATCCCTATTCAAAGGAGACACATCCCTAACAGACATGGCTTTCTTACACCATGAGAAACCAATGGTGTCACAAAGCTGATTCCAGGTTAGGGACCTGTAGCTGCCAATCTCCACGGAGAAGCCAGAGGCACTCTCTGGATCTCTCATTATAAGCAAAAGCGAGCCTCCAACTCAGAAACCGTTCCTCCATGACTAAGACACTGTTCCTTTAGCACTGTCTCAATTTCAAAATATGGGTCATGGGAGGGCCAGATAGACCAATGTAACAGAATTTATTTGGGTTAATGGTAACTGAAAATGTCATTTTAAAATATGCTAAAAATAATCCAAAGGGGTGTGATCCTAAATGTCTAATACCTAACACCAAAGACCCCCTCCGCCTGTCAAAAAGAAAAAAGCCTTTAGCATAAAAAATTTACATTTATAGAAGAGAGGGACTAGAAATATCTCAAGTGAATCTGCAAGTCAGGCACTGGAACTGCCTGCCAAATCCAACTGACTCCTTCATTTTTACACATTTCCCCCCAAACACTCTAAATTGTCAACAGAGGAAGTAACTTGGAGAAAAATCAGGAAGAAAATAGTGGCCCAACATTTCTTCATGTGCTGAAAATAAGTGTGCTCCTCCATCACTCATGCTGTGCAGCACAGTGTTCACACCAAAGCCCAACGCCAAGGAGCAGCAGTGGCACAGAAGCCTGCGGGCACAAAGCACTTCCATGTCAGTCACGGTCTATTTTTAATAGAGTAAATTTCCAAACCTTCTTCTCTCCTTGGAATGAATGTTTGTCAGATGCAAGTAATGCTGGCCAAGTAAGACCTGTCAGCTCTAAACTGAATCTGGCTTTAACCAGCACCTAGTAACCTCGTCCCAGATGTCACAGCGAGGGCTACACATACACAGATTAGTAACTTCCTAAAAGGAGAATTCCAAGAAAGTAAAATCCCAATACCTGGTTGTGCCCACGGCTGCTGTGAGAGGGTGTACTTGGGGCCTCCCTGACTGGCCATGGTTTTTAGTGCTGACACCTAGAAGAGGAAATAAAAGCAGAGGTTTCATTTCACCAACAGCAAATAAACAGGGACTGCTCTCAGTACACAGCACCATTTAAGTCTATTAGATAAGGCACACTGGTAATCCCATGTACAATTCTAGCAAAACCGCATAGACTCTCACAAGCTTTCCCAGCTAGACTTTGTGATTTTAATGCATGTGTTATTCTGGGGAGAAAAACAAAACAGCAACAACCTATCAGGCGTTCTGCATGAGACCTGTCAGCGCAGGAATCGCTGAGAGAATTTCACCAAAAAACAAACAAACAAAAACAAAAACAAAAAACCTGGCCGCTCCAGAAAGACTGCTGTGCTAATACTGAGTCATTATCATTGGGAAAGTGTCACTCCCAACTGCACACGAGGCTCCTCACAAGGACTCTTCCCCCTGCTTTTTAACCCCATCTCAGGCATAGAAAATGTCATTAAGACAAACAGTAACCAGGCTAGAGGACTGGAGTTTAGATCCTGATACCTGGAATTCCAGCCCCCAGGGCAGGACTCTGGGCTCTACAGGAAAGCACACAGATGACATACATTCACATGGACACAGGCACATGGGCACATAAGCATACAGACACATAAGACACACACACACACACACACACACACACACACACACACACACACACACATAAAGAAATTCCGTTGGTCAGGGGGAATGCACCAGCAGAGTCAGCATCTGGGAAGCTAAGGAATAAAGTACCGGAGTTTGAGGCCAGCTTGGGCTACATAGTGAGACCCTACCTCAACAAACGACAACAAATAAGACTTTCAAGTACAAGGCATATTTGTTCAAAATATGCTGAAGATACAGACCTAGAAGCCACTTTTGCATTTTTCATTCTGCTGAAGCAGCACAAAAAATAAATACAAATCTGTCAACCTAGCTGGGTTTTTTGTTGTTGTTTTGTTTTGTTTTGTTTTTAGGGATGGGAGACTGAGTTGAATATCCTAGAACTCACTCAGTAGACCAGGCTGAACTTGAACTCCGAGATCTGCCTGTCTCTGCCTCCCAAGTACTGGGATTAAAGCATGCACCACCATCCAGTGCATGAACTATTTTTTAATGGACAGACATGGGGCAAAAGTCCAAACCACAAGGGAAACTGACTCCAGCTTTCCCACAAGGGCAAAATATTTAGACAAAGGCTCAGCAGAGCAGCATACAAGCGTTAAGGCCTCACTGTGGTCTCTTTCTCCTCTCTAGCCCTGCCTCATTTCTACTTTCTACTCCAGAACCAATGCCCAGACCTTTGCTCTTGTGGCCCATTGCAGACCTCACCTCTACCTCCTTGCATTCAATTCCTTTCATGTCTTTATTACAAACAAATTATAAATGGCTGAATGTGGTGGTACACACCTTTAATTCCAGCACTCAAGAGGCAGAGGAACTCACCAATCTCTGTGAATCCCAGGCCAAACTGGTCTATACAGTGAGTCCTAGACTAGCCAGGGCTACATAGTGAGACCTTATTGCCAGTAAGTGCATGTAAATTAATTTTAAAGAATAAATTATATATATTATTATAAATTAGACAAAGCTAAAAGGGAATATTTATATATTTTCCAGTGTAAATATATTCACATATTCACTTATAAAAATAGGAGCCCAATGTTCATTAACTTTTTGCTAGAAGCTATCTATATTCTAGACCTTTTTCTGGCACTGAAAGTTTTATTTTAAAAATAATCACTGTCTACTACTCCATTGATTGTTCTAGGAGCTCACTAATTCACTAATAACATAATTTGGGCTTTTTTAAAAAAGAAAAGAAAAACAACAGTGTCATACTATATAGACCAGGTGGACCTGAAACTCTCTCTAGCCCAGGCTGGCACTGAATCCACATTGTTCCTCCATTTTTAGTCAGTGTTCTATTGCTGTGAAGAGATACTATGACCAAGGCACCTCTTAAAAAGAAAGCATTTAACTGAGGCCTTGTTTACAGTTTCTGAGAGTTAGTCCATTATCATCATGGTGGGGAGTATTGGGACAGGCAAGCAGACATGGTGCTGGAGAAAGAGCTGAGAGCCACATCCAGATCCATAGGCAGCAGGCAGACAGAGTAGAACTCTGAGCCTGGTGTGGGCTTTTGAGACCTCAAAGCCACACACTTCCTCCAACAAGGTCGCACCTATCCAACAAGGCCACAACTCCTAATCCTTCTAACCCTTTCAAATACTGCCCTGGTGACTAAACATTCAAATTTATGGCTTATGGGGCCATTCTCACTCAGTCCACCACACCCACCTTCAATGTGCGCCACCATGCCGGGCCAGCTGTTTGTCTAAACTCACAGACTTCTACATTCCCCCTGGTTACTATCTGCAGAGTTTACTTCTCTGTAAGTCAAGGCTCGTTTCCTCACAAGCTCTCCTAGATCTGAAGAGGCAAGCCCTCCTAACAAAGGCGGCCAGAGACAGAGGAAGAAGAGCTTCCCTCCACCGGCCCATCTCTCACAGAGCCTGGAGACCGGTGCGAACATACGCCCCACGTGACCACTGCTGTAAGCACTTTAATGTTGATGGAGCTTATAGCTTCATTTCCCAACCAGGTTACAACTGTTTAACCACAAGAATTAAATTTATAAGGTCAAATTCTACTATACGCACTACATTAAGAAAAAAATCTTAATTTATACATAGCAATGAAACTAACAACACTTCAAAGGGAATGATAAAATATACTTACAAAATTCTATTCAACAAAAAAATGAAGTTTTTAGCAAAGGCTGGCTCGACCAGAAGGAAATAGTATAGCGCAACCATAACCCGAATATGCTTCCTTCAAAATGCCCTGATTTATACTTTGCTGATGAAAAAATCTTTAGTTCAGTTCTGTCTTCTTTCACTATACAGCTTTTCTGAGGAGTTTCACAATGACAAAATCCTCACACACTGTCCTATGCAGTCCTCGTATCAGCCTCAGATAGGGCAGATGGGTGCTGCAGCTTTTAATAAGGAGGTTTGAGAGGGAGACTAGAAGCCACCGAGTTACTGGTGATTTCAGTTAGGAGGTAGTAGAAAAGGGTCCAGGACCACCCAGTTCCAAGTCATTATGGTGGTTTGAAAGGAAATGACTCCCATAGGGAATGGCACAATTAGGAGGTGTGGCTTTGTTGGAATAGGTATGGCCTTGCTGGAGGAAGTGTGTCACTGTGGAGGTGGGTTTTGAGATTTCATATCCTCAGACTAAGCCCAGAGAGACAGTTCGCCTCCTGTTGCCTGAGGATCAAGATATAGCACTCTCAGCTCCTTCTCCAGCACTATGTCTTGCCTGCCTGCCATCATGTCCCACCATGATAATGGACTAATTAACCCTTTGAAATTGTAAGCAAGGTCTCAATTAAATGCTTTCCTTTATAAAAGTTGTCATGTTCATGGTGTGTCTTCACAGACATAGTAACTCTAACTAAGACAGAAGTTGGTACCAAAGACTGGGGTATTGTGATAGGCCTGCCCATGTTTTTTGTTTAAAGGAATATGGACCTTGGTACTGTAGATTAGAAAAGCAATTGAATGCTTTAAGTACTGCTTAATGGGCCACACTAGTAGGAACATGGAAGACAGTGGTGCCGAGAGTGATTTGAACAGTGGAAGCCTGGTTCAAGATGTTTCAGAGGAGAAGATAATGTGACTGATTTTTCCCCTTGTCAAGACTCTGTCTGAGCCTAAAGTGAAAAGATTAAGATTAATTCTGTTTGGTTAAAAAAAAAAAATCTCTAAACAGCCTAGTATAAACTCTGTCCTGTGGTTATTAGTGTTGACTCTAATGAAGATTATATAATGAAAAAGAGCAAGCTGAGCAAGGAAAAACACAATATGTATAACTTGAAGAGAAAAGGAGCACTAAAAAGTGGATTGGAACTAAGTCTAGTGTTCAAGAAAATAAACAGATTAAGAAATGGAAAAAAGCAAGTGGTGACCTCAAGACAAGATTCTACCCAACTAAGTGTCCAACTTGTGAAGAGGAATTGAAGAAAATCTTAAAGCCTGGTGTGGAAATACACACCTTTAATCCCAGCATTCCCAAGGCAGAGACAGGTAGATCTCTGAGTTTGAGGCCAGCAAATTTCAGAATAGCCAAGCTCAACCAGTGATGGAAACCAATGGGAACAGAAAAAGCTGGTGACGATGTAATTAAACAAAGGGCCATGTTCCAGTCCCAGCAAGAAGCAGAACTTGGCAGCTTCAGCCATGTGGTTCAAAGATAGAAATAAAAAGTTAGCCGGGCAGTGGTGGCACACACCTTTAATCCCAGCACTCAGGAGGCAGAGGCAGGTGGATCTTTGTGAGTTCGAGGCCAGCCTGGCCTACAAGAGCTAGTTCCAAGACAGGCTCCAAAGCTACAGAGAAACCCTGTCTCAAAAAACAAACAAACAAACAAACAAACAAAGTTATGGAACTTTCCTCCATGACTAAGGAAAGCTGTTGAGGCCAGTTATGTGTCAGAGGTGTCCCTGAATGGAGGCCTAGAGAGGTCATTAGGCAAAGTTGTGACACTGAAGCCTGGATTGCCTCGGAGACCCCAAGATATTGGAGATGTCAGAGTCATGGGAGACCTGCCAAGAAGAGCTGCTAACAGGGAATGGAAGCAGCCCAAGAGGAAGAAGTGTGTTGCACTCAACAAAGCTAAAAGAGTTGGAGCTCTGACGAGTGTTTTGACATTAGACTTGGAGATGCAGAGTTTAGAGTTTGCCCAGTCAGTTTTCAGTCCTGCTTTGGTCCAGTATTTACTCGCTATACTCCCTTCCTTACTTATGGGATGGTAATGCATTTCCTGTGCCATTATATGTTGGAAATATGTGATCTGTTTTTTGATTTTGATTTTATAAGAGAGTACAGTTATGAATCTCAAAAGAGACTTTGAACTTTTGACTTTTAAGTAAGTTTGGGACTGTTATATGAGACTATGGGGACTTTTGAAGTTGGACTGAATGTATTTTTTGCTTGATTTGGCTATAAGCCTGTGAGGGCCCAATAGAATGTGGTGCTTTGAAAGGAAATGGCTCCCAGAGGGAGTGACACTATTAGGAAGTGAGGCTTTATTGGAGTAGGTACGGCCTTGCTGGAGGAAGTGTGTCATTGTGGAGTGGTCTTTGTGGTCTTCTATGCTCAAACTATTACCAGTGTCACAGTTCACTTCCTGTTCACTGTAAATCAAGATATAGAACCCTCAGCTCTTTCTCCAGCACTACGTTTGCCACCATGTCCTGTCATGATGATAATGGACTAAAACCTCTGAAACTGTAAGCCACCCCAATTAAATATTTTGTTTTTATAAGAGTTGTCTTTATAAGAGCTGCCATGACCATGGTGTCTCTTCACAGCAATAGAAACCCTAACTAGACAGTCAAGCACTTTTTCTAACCTACTATGAGTCCTATTTAATAGTTTCAAGTAACATGTATACCAGGGATTTCTAGCATAAGAAAAAGTACTGCAGTTCTTAAAGCCTTAAAGAAAATAATCTGAACCAAATGTTTTCATACATACATCTATCTCAACATTTACCACAGTATTTATTCTCTTGAGTCACCTACATTTTTTGAGAAAAGGGGCGATGTGATGGTTATTTTTACTTGTCAACTTGATGAAATCAAGAATCACTTGGGAGACTGGCCTCTGGGGGCATGCCTATGAGGGGTTCTCTTGACTGGGTTAATTGGTGTGGGAAAAGACCTGCTCGCTGAGGACGGCACCATTCCCTTGGCTGGGATCCTAGACTATCTAAAAACAGAAAGTGAGAGCTGTGCACCGCAATCCTCACTCTCTACTCCTTGACTACAGAAACAATGTGACCCGCTGCCTCAAGCACCCAGTGCAATGACATCCCTGTCACAACAGACTGTAACCTTGAATGTCCTCTCTTAACCTGCTTTTATGAGGGTATTCTATCACCTCAACAGGAAAGATAGTTAAGACAGGCAGAAAAATGAGCCAGAAGACTATCTATAATATATTATAATATATATGGTATATATTAATCTGGTTCATTTATATATTTATATTATATACACAACATACATATATATGCATGTGTATGTATGTATACATATATATGTGTGTGTATGGAGTGTGTGTGTGTGTACATTCCAGTACTTCTGAAATCAGTTGAACAAGATACAAAAAGGTTTATCCCACACACAACTGATAACTCAAAGCTTCGTTTCTCAATCTGTGAAATAAAGTCTGGGAGCCAGGGATATGTAAGAATTCAAGAAAATTAGGAGTTCGAGGTCAGCCTGGTCTACAGAGTGAGTTCCAGGACAGTCAAGCATACAGAGAAACTCTGCCTTGGGTAGTGGTGGGGTGTTCAAGAAAATGAAGTATTTCATCACGGATCTCAGGAAAGGAGCACACAAGAATAGGCTGGTCTGCACCTTGAGACGGGGACACTCTGCTGTGAAAGAAACTGATCTATCTGTAGCTTGTCAAGGGGACTGGACTCACATCTACGAAGTCAGATCAAAAACAAGTCTCCTGAATGCTGAAAATGCCCTCTATGCACAAGCATGGCTTGTTTTGTTGTGCCAAGCCATATTTGCATTTTTTTCAAATGAGTCTGAACACAGAAGCAAGCTGAGGACATATTGTTAATGAGGCTTATAATCAAACAGCGCATATTCAGATCAGAAAACAGAACCATAAGCACTTGTTAGTTGGTAGAGGGCTTGCACTAGCACACACAAGGCCCTGAGTTGTATAGTAGGTGCAGAAGCATACGCCTGCAATCTGAGTTGAGCTCTTGGGAGAGACACTGGCAGGAGGGGCAGAAATTCAAGGCACTCTGAACTTGAGACCCTGTCTCAAAAAAAAAAAAAAGGAAGAAAATAAAAAGAAACTGACCACCGCCTCACAGACCCCAGACAGAAGCCAGAGGGGGAGATTTAGCCAACTGTGAGAGCTCCAGCCAGCACAGAGCAGACGACAGTGCGGACAACAGAACACAGGCAGGACTCAGCTATAACCAGCTCTTGTGATGGCTTCCCTAAAAGACACAGTAAGACCTGGACTCGCTCTTCTACCGCTGTTTCTACAACTCAAAAGCAAGCTCGGAAAGAGGAAAGGACTAGAACAGTCTGCACCTTTGTCATAAACTCCTCCAGCTGCTCTACAAACAGCCTGGTCTGCTGCTGAATGAACTGCTCACAGGCTGACTTCAGGTGCCGGTCTACGTCCTTCTTAGAGTCGAGGTAATGCTCTCTGATCTCAGGAGTCCCCTGAAAAAGATAAGGCAATTTCCTTCTGTTTGCAAGTGCCCAGGAATCACCAGACATGGAAAGAATATCATTTAGCTCCCACCACCAATGAAACAGATTCCTTCTCACCTCCAACAAGAACTCTATCAAGGCATTGTTGCTATTCAGCCTAAAAAATCTCGGAACAGTCATAGGGTTCAGGATTTTAAATGCTGCATCTGTGAAACAAAATCACTCATCCAGTGAACATGTACAGGTTCAACAGAGAAGCCCTGGCCACACCAGTTCCCCACTGCTGTCAAGGCCTCTTCACTAGGTCCTTCAGGAAGGGCGGAGTGAGTGAGCAGCAGAGACAACCATAAGCCCACACAGTCACTTCCAAAACTCAGCTACAAATTACTATTAATCACAATGATCTACTTATAGAAAAAATGACAAGCAGGATAACACAGAATTTCACTACTTTGTCTTTAGATGTTAAGTAGATTTTTTTAAAAAATGCACATACTTACCCAGCTTCTTTATGATCTTGGCTGGCACAGAAATTTATTTACTTGAATGACAGTGAATAAACAAATGTGTCAGCCAAGAAGAAAACACCAAAAGGACATATTTACCCCTTAACCTCCAGACTAACTAGAATCTCTCAGAGTACTAACTGAGGTCTCATTGATGTTCAAATGCAATAAGATATACCATTAGTCATGAGAGGTTAGAGGCTTAAAAGTTAAGAGAGGAAGTATTATTTAGGGACAGTTTTTAAAAGACTATGGCTTTGCTTTTCCGGAATGAAGAAACCAAAGCACGCACTGCTCCAGCCCTGCTCTGCAATCACAAGCCACAGGCCTAAGTACTGCCTTTACCCGGGTCTTAATGAGAACGTCTATCAGATTCATTATGCAGGAGAGACTTCACAGTGAACAGAGCCAAGTCACCAACCACATGATAGGTTCGCATGACCTTCATAATACGATAGGAAAAGAAATCCTGCCAAAATCATAGTCTACTTCATTTTCTCACATCTCAGCAGACTTAGAGCAGAACCAAGTGGCAACAACACGCAGATTAGAAAGAAATGAAAGTGAACGAACAGCCATGCTTCATCCTATTCCCAAATAAAGGCCATCAGCAACCACAAGTTCCACACAGGTAAATTCCCCATTCTCATAGCTCACACCAAGAGAAGGGAGCCAACCAGGAGCAAGCAGAGAGAAGCTCCTTGTACAAATACGCCAGGGCATGCTGGGCGGTGGTGGCACACACCTTTAATCCCAGCACTCGAGAGGCAGAGGCAGGTAGATCTCTGTGAATTTGAAGACAGTCTGGTCTATAGAGCAAGTTCCAGGACAGGTTCCAAAACTACACAGAGAAACCCTGTCTTGAAAAACCAAAGAAAACAAAAAACAAAACAAAACAAAAAAACTGGACATTCTTTAAAAGCAAAGCCCAGAAAACCTGAATCCTATTTAAAAATGAAAACAAAGCTAAAAAGCGTTTACTGTGACAATTATATAATAGATCTGGAGGAGAAATATAGGGCTAACTGCTTTGATATGACTCATCAGGAGAACACGGGACTCGACTGAGTCAAAACATGTCCTCTCTCAGATGACCACAGTGATAGGGGAGCTAAAAGCCTGCTATTTCGGGATTCTTTATTAGGCGTTTATGAATCACAGAACACAGAAAATAATTAGAGTCACTATTCCTTCAATTGCCTCAAGATTAAGAGGGAAGTTAGTTCATTACACAAATGAATGCCTAAGAATAAGAGCTTAAATCTCGGAAAATCATTAAGAAGAAAAGATGAAGATCTGTAAGAGAAACAAATAATATTTATAATGTGTCCTTAACTATCTACAATCAAGAGCTTGAACTGTTTGTATTTTTATCTCTTAAAAAATCTATTAATTCGAGACTGGAGAGATGGCTCAACAGTTAAGAGCACTGACTGTCCTTCCAGAGGACCCAGTTCAATTCCCAGCACCCACAAGGCAGCTCACAACTGTCTATAAATTCAGTTCCAGGAGACTCAACACCCACAGCAAAGCACATTAAAAAAAAGATTGTTAATTCAAAAACAAAAAATTAGGAGAAATGAATCCTCTTTCCCAAGATAAGTCAAAATCCTACATATATCACATCACCTTACTTAAAAATAAGCATCTCCATTTTGATGTTTCCTTAAACACAGTGACGTCTTTGTATTCATTTTCATTCTTTATGATCTTGGTAATCAATGAAAGTACCAAGACGTCCTTGGCTACTTTTACACAGGAGAAGATGGGCTATAGACGTTAACCACCCCTCAGTTTGAGTTTACACAACAGCCAGAAATAAAACCTGACTCTTAGACACTTGAATAAATCCCAACTTGCTGACACATTCTATTTATATCATATAGGTATTTATTATACTGATTTTCATCTGATAGTTGCTTATGGTAATATGTGGAAGGGCCCAGGAGAGTTAAACTGTATTGTACATGGAAAATTTCAGTATAGCTCCTTTCATGAAGAAAATACAACAAATCAGAAGTAATTAGGATATCGAGAGTTCAGTTTAGTATAAGTAAGTAACATACTTAGCAAGCAAAGCATGCAAAAGAAATTGCAGATGAACATAAAATAAACCTGTAGCCTGTGCTGACACACCTGGACAGGTCAAACACACCCATATGTGCCAGCCAGGACAACAAAGTACCTCTAGTTTTCTTGAGGTCCAGGGAAATTTCCTTAATGGTGAATTCAGTGTGAAATGGAGCAATTTGTTCTCGAAGAATCAAAAGGTGCTTAATTAAGAAAAGTTGTCCATCAATCTGAGTCTAAATTATAAGACAAAAGAAATGGATATTATCACAGATTATATCAAAATTGGAACATATAAAATACACTAGCATTCAACATTTAAATCTATGTAGATTTACAGCCCTGAGGTGCCAATAAACTCTCTAGGTCACCTATGCCAAATTTCTCCGGAAAATTCAACTTGAAACTCTGAGCATGATCACTTGTTCCACTCAAGGAATCCAAGAGAGCAAACCACACAAAGGCTAGGACGAGCACTCAGGCCTGCTAACACAGTGCAGAGGTAAAAACGCTGCAACCTAAGGGTCACACCAAGCAGCAGAAACACCGAAAGGATGAGTCTAAACCCTCTTGCTCTCAGCCATCTAGTTTCTCTTAGGAGTCAAATGAGTTTCCCAATTTGGTCCACATGGTTTTGATACCTAGAACATTAGATAAAGTGGACTGGCATCCCCACCCTAGATTACCTGCCACCCACAGAGTATTGGCTGTCTCTACACAAACCCTTTGCTATCTCAGGACTGTCTGCTATGGCCCTGGGACTGAAGTGGAGCTCTCAAAGATCCAACCAAGGTCCAGAATAACAATTACAGGCCTCATGATAGAAGTTTGTGTATTAATAAAGCAAGGCTTCTCCTCAAGGCACAACTTTATTTTGAAAACATTTCTAATAAAGTTATCCTTCATAAGCAGTCTAGAAGGATTCATAAACAAAGTGGTAGCTCCTCGATCTCTCTTCCACCAACTTCTAATAGACACAATCACTATCGCAGCAACATGGGCAAGGGGAAACTCACTTAGCTGTGGAACACAGCGGCAGATAAATATGAAATGCTATGCATTTTAAATATTTGATCTAGTTGTAAAAGGACAACTTTTGACAGCAAACACTGGGCTACTTAGACTTCATTTACTTTATTAAAGATGTTGTAACTCAAGAAAATAGTATCAAGTTCATTTACTACAGACAAGGTGTTCAATTTATGTCTGTAATAATAATTTACCTAAAAAAACTAGAAAAAACTCTTATGTTGAAAGGCAAAAATAACATAATCTCAGCCACAAAAGCTAATACACTAACCATGCTATCAAGCAGAGTTCCCAGATACACATAAACCCTTATAACATGCAGGAAACAGATTACAGAAAGACGGTGACCTACAAGGAATGAGGACAGAGGCTCAGGGGCTTCAAGAGGCCAGAGCATGTCAATTAAGTCAGTCTTCCTCCTAATGAGCTGAGAAACATGTTCACTGTACGAAACCTATGGATAATAAAGGAACGTGTAGGGAAAAAGGGCAGAGATCACCCAGTACCCCACTTGCTTCAGGGCATTTTTGCTACATAAAGCCACAGTCTGTATCTTTTTTCTATGTTATCCTTTATTTGTCTTAACATTGTTAAACATTTACTGTCACGTCTTTACATTTTTCAGCTTGCTGTGTAGTGCTCCATTATACAGAACATGCCCAGTTTAGTTAACCATCTACCCCAGGGATTTCAGGCATGAGTCCTGAATTTCACCAGTCCTAAAATGTGAGAGATGAGGCTGGCAGACATTATTTAAAACGTAACTCTGCCCCTCTAGAACTTGTGTGCTCCATGCTCTCCAGCACCGTGCACAAACGGAGACGCAGAGGCAGCACTTTTCTGGTAGCAAGACTCCAGAATCTTTATCAGGAGACTTTTCTCAGTCATGTTCAGTTTTGAAGTTAGAAATCAAATTTCTAAATCTGGAATTCATAGGCTCGAACACTTCAAACAATGGTGAAATTTTGGCTACAAGTAATACGTCTCTGCAGGGAGTGGGCATTCTAGGGATAGCCTAGGAGCGTAACACTGCTGCCCATGCTCTCCCCTCTGAAAAGGCTGAGGGAGAAGCACAGACCACAAGTTTCCAGCCCCAGAGCCCATGCTGTTTACAAACCATAAACCATGACAAGGACTAAAACTGCCTATCCTCAGAGCCACTGGCTGATTTCCTCTGAGTAAGACCATTAGACTATTTATTTAAAACACGGTAGGGGGGACTGGAGAGATGGTTCAGTGGTTAAGAGCATTGCCTGTTCTTCCAAAGGTCCTGAGTTCAATTCCCGGTAACCACATGGTGGCTCACAACCATCTGTAATGATGTCTGGTGCCCTCTTCTGGCCTGCAGGCATACATTCAGTCAGAATATTGTATACATAATAAATAAATAAATAAATAAATATTTAAAAGAAAAAAAAACGGTAGGGATGGCCAGGCAAGGTGGCAAATGCCTATCCCAGGCACTCAGGAGGCAGAGGCAGGTGGTTCTCTTTGAATTTGAGACCAGCCTGGGTTACAAAGTGAATTCCAGGACAGTCAGGGTTACACAGAAAAACCCTGTTTTGTTTTGTTTTGTTGTTGTTTTAAAAAAGACCAAACAAACAAACAAAAAACTGTAGGGATGATGAACTGCAGCTTCCTTGAACACACTTTCTTGGCATTCTGGGGAAACAGCAGTGCCATTTCCTCATCATGACCTTAAAGCATCAGGCCTCAGACCACTTCTGGTACATCTGCAGACTGCACTCTCTTAGTGCAGTCGTGAGCGAGCACTACGATGAAATACCAGCTTCCTTCAAAGCGTCTCAAAATTCACTCCGACTAAACAAACAAATTTCACTGCCAAGATGCTTTAAATTCCCATGGTTCTAAATAAATGTCAAATTGCACAATACCATTACAGGCAATAAAAATTCCACCTAATGCTTATCAAACCTTATTTTTGCTGATTGACTCCGATGCTCCTAGCAAGGACTGTATGCAGGCAGACAATGCTTCCTGTGATAAACCTTGGAACACCGCCCTCTGGTGGAAGAAGAGAGAAACATCAGCCTGCAGCCTTCACAAAACAAAAAAAGGAAAATGAGAAGCCATGAAGACAGAAAATAATGTTTACTTCCCATCATCACTGGATTAATTAATACCTGAACCGTTCTCCCTCAGATTTTTCCATGCCCATTCTTAACTGTCACATGGCTCTGTAACATATGTGCACTCATGTTCTAAAGCCTTCACGTGTCCTTTACTAAACACATATCAGCACCTACTCACAACTAGCATGTGGGGGGGGGGGTCACTGAAAGGTACAGAGATCTATTAGGCAGGTAGGGTTGTCCAGTGTCCACTCAAGTACAATCTGATGTCGTGGGCTAGAACAGTGCAGGCTGGCCTCAAACTCCAGACCCTCCTTCCTCAGCCACCGAGTACTGGGCTCACATAGCATGTGCACCACCACACCCAGCTAGAAGGCTGTTTATTAAGCTGAAAATTAACTATAAAGCAAACTGTCAGTATAGCTTCTAAATATATATCCCAGGTGGCTATAGAGGGTGCTTTAAGATTCGCATACGAGGCTCTTCACTGCAATGTTCTTGTAAACAGGAGGAAGACAGAACAATGCAAACAGTCAACAGGAGAAAGCTGACCAAAACCCAAGCAAATTACAGAGTACTGTGTGTAAATACAAAGAATTCTGAGGACGGTGGTTGAATTCTTAGAGATGGGGGCTGGAGAGACGGTTTAGTAGTTAAGAGCATTGGCTGTTCTTCCAGAGGACCCAGGTCTGATTCTCAGCACCCACACAGGGGCTTACAACCATCTGACTCCAGTTTCTTCTGTGATGACTTCCTCTACCCTCCTCTAGAACAAGCACACACGATTCCCAGAAATACTTGCAGACAGAACACCTACACATATAAAGCCTTTTTTTATTATTAAGTATAATTTAGTGGAGCCAGGCTTGGAGGCACCTGCCATAATCCCAATGCAGGACAATCTCTTGACATTATCAAGGAGGAAGCCAGTCTGGAGTACTAGAGACCCTGTCCATGGGATGGGGAAGAGAGAGAGAGAGAGAGAGAGAGAGAGAGAGAGAGAGAGAGAGAAAGAAAGAAAGACTGATTGATTTCTACTTCAGAGCTGGGCACAGTGGCTCATGCCTACAATCCTAGCACGCAGAAGGCTGGGATGGGATTGCCCAGAGTTTGAGGCCAGCCTGGGCTACACAATTCTAGTGCAGTATTGGCTACAGAGTGAGACTCAGCATCAAAAATACAACAAAACATTTGGGTATGAGGTAAGTGGAAAGAGAACAGGCAACCCTGAGGCACACGCCAGAGCACAGAGTGACCTCCCAGGACCCACCCGAGCCTTGACTAGCTTTCCTGTCAGCATTCACAAAGCTGTGTACTGAGGTCTGGGCTATAAAGGGCGTGTGTGAACATGACCTTTGCACATTTCCCTTGGGATCCTGGCTCCATAACAGCAAGTTTTGAACCCTGGTCTCATGTATTACTTCCTAATGGGAACCTAAAGAAGCAAAGATGCCAAATGCCCCCCTAGCCCAAAGCGGATGAGATCTGTGAACCAGTTTACTTCGAAGTAGTATGGGTGACTGATTGGCTGATGCCATGAAACAAATACAAGGCCTTATTTAGTCCTAAGAGTCTGAAGTATGAAACACTGTGTGTGTGTGTGTGTGTGTGTGTGTGTGTGTGTGTGTACACATAGAGAGTACACACCTCTTGAGCCATACTGTTAAAAAAGTACTGGGGTCTGAACAACTCATTACATGACTACTAGATGCAATCACTTCTCACATGCGGGTTACAGCAGCCAATTAAGAAACAGAGGGTTGAAACCACTAAATTAGTTTGTTTTTTGAGACAGGGTTTCTCTGTGTATCCCTGGATATCCTGGAACTTGCTTTGCATACCAGGCTGGCCTCAAACTCACAGAAATCCACCTGCCTCTGTCTCCCAAGTGCTGGGATTACAGATGTACACCACCATGCCCAGCTCAAAACAACCAAATTTATAAAACTACTTTGCTTTAAATGTAAACTACTGACAGCAAATATGTAGCTAAATCTGCCACTGCAGGGAATGGAAACCATATAATTAACTCAGCATGCTCAAAACAACTGTTTTCCAAAATAGTACACAGTCTAAAAGGGTGCTTAAAAAAAACAAACAAACAAACAAAAACCTGCTAACTTCAGCAAGTAACTAAACTTAGTTCACTCTTGTACTACCTGTTAAGGATGGTGGCTGAAATAAGTCAAAACTGGATTTACAGGATTGGGTAGGGTGGTGCCCACCAGAAATGCCTGCACAGGGAGGCAGCAGCAAAGGGATTTGCAGGTTCAGGGTCAACTAGAGCTGGCTACTGAGCAAGACCCTGCCTCAACAACAAAAAACATTTTACAGTGGCTACATTTAGTCCTAAGCATCATGCCAGCGTGGCATTCCAATGTATTGTTCCACACTCTTTACCACATCTCTTTACTTCACATACAAACTAAAGCAGCCAAACTCATCAGTAGCTTTAAACTCATTTGTGGTCATGGACTCCTGATGAAGACCACAGCCTTGGTCCTCAGGAAGATACAAATAGAAATACAAAGTAAGACACAGCTTTGAGGAACCCCTAAATTAGATCAACCTTCAAGTTACCAGCATATCTAAAAATCATGACTTTAAGAATATCAACACTGCATCAAGACTCTTAAAGTAGATTAGAACTTAAAAATATTCCAAGGAAATTCTAGAATAAGCAATTCACAGTAAAGATAAAAGAATTCACACACATACATCTATGCATCTATATAACTTGGAGAGACAGACAAGTGTTCTTCGCACTGTGGGATACCACATCCCGTGAAGATCTGCCGGAGAAATTGTGCTCTGCGGTCTAGGATTGAGGGAGTCTGTTGAACCTAAAATGCAAATAGAAAAGAACATATATTCCAGGCATGTGGGTATCTGTCATACAGTAACTTACATGGCAACTATAAACTATTCATTCTCATTGGCTATCAATGGCTGGAAGGCATCAATTTCCTCCCCCACTTCATATTTAATAAAAAAAAAATACCTTAGGAAGTCTAAACCAGTACAGGTAGGGGTTAAGACTGAGAAAAACCTGGAGCACACAAAGGCATACATATTCCAGCTGTGCACATATACATATATGTTCAACACCACTCAATACTAGTTATTTTCCCAAATATGATCAATAATCTTTATGAAATAAATCAACAGCATACTTACGGAACACAACCAGATTCTAGAAGGCAGATCTATATGCAACGGGCACCAATGAAAGTAGGAGAGGGACAAGTAATCAATTTTTTTTTCAGTACAGAGGACTAGACCCGGGCCTGAGCACGCTGGGAAAGCACTTAATCACTGAGCAATCGTCATAGCCTACTCTCCTTTCTTCAACTTTTTACATTCTGAGACAGGATCAAAGCTGGCTTGCCTGGCACCTTGCTAAGCTGTATTATCACATGATAAATTGTTCCCACCATTCAGGTCAGAAAAGGCAGTTTGGGGCCAGTGGGAATGCCTGCACAGAAGGCCACCTCTGCAGAGAGTCACAGTCACTGCAGTATCCTGAGTCAGATTAAAAACAACTACAAAGGTGGCATGCGCACACTTCTCTGGAACAAGAGCAACACTTATATATGAACTATTCAAGGACATCTTAAGAAACTTTATATTTTTAGCACAGTAATAATTTGCAGTTACAGAAAAGATGTCCTCATTCGAAGAGATGCAATACTATCCAAGGCAAAGTGTCAAGCAAGGATACCAACAATGTAAACTGTCTAGCTGTCCTGGTGTACTGGCCACACCTTTAATGCCAGCACCTGAGGCTAAAGGAGAATTGTTAAGCATTCAAGCCTAGCCTAGGTTAGACAAGAAAACTCTACCAACCAAGTATGTTTGTGTGCACTGTTGCTAAACACTAAGCCTCAAAACTAGGTGGTGCATATGTGCGTTCATTTTGTCTTTCTTTTCACTTCTCTACATATTTGGGTTTTTCTTCAATAATACAGAAATAAAAGTCTATGATGAATGAGTAATGTTCCAAATAAATATCTAGATCTGCTGAGTGGTGGTGGCACATGCCTTTAATCCCAGCACTCAGGGAAGCAAAGGCAGGTGAACTTTTGTGAGTTCGAGGCTAGCCTGCTCTATATACTGAGTTCCAGGACAGTCAGGGATAAACAGAGAAATCTTGTCTCAAAAAATCAAAACAAAACAAACAAACTAGATCTGGATTGTTCAAAAAAATCTAGAGGAAGGGTTGGTTAGATGGCTGAGTGGTCAAGAGCACTCTCATATGTATGTATGTATGTATGTACGTACGTATGTAAGAATATGCGCGCGCACGCGCACACACACACACACACACACATACACACACACACACACACACACACACATACACAGAGAGAGAGAGAGAGAGAGAGAGAGAGAGAGAGAGAACACACAGGCAGTAGAGGCCCTAGAGCTTTGTTGAAGAATCTAGCTACTATCCGCAGGATCCCTCCTTCCATATAAAGAACCCAAAGTACCAAGTAAGAGTTGCGTGCTCTGTAGCTGCAGTGTCTGCTCCCTTTTCATTATCCTATTTAACTGCCCCAGGGGAGTGTCTCCTGCCAGAGCCACCTTGCCAAGCAGGGCAACCCCTATGGTCCTCTTGCAAGTCCTCCGCCATCGTTCCCCCTCCCCTCACTTATTCTCTCACGCTGCACACACTCGGGAAGAAGGGCAATGACTACACTCATGTCTACTGCTCCTCATGCTAGCAGACCCATTCCCATTCTAATGCGGGCACCATGCAGAAGACATGCACTCTTGACCTTAGTGTGGGCTTTAATCCCACTACTTTCCCAGACAGTCGTACTTTCACACTACTTTCTTGGGACCACATTCTTACAACTGTCTCAATTCTCCTCTCTCCCACTAGCCCACCACATTACAGCAGCATCCCCCTTCTCTAACGATTTCATCATTCTCAACTGTTTACCACCTCCTCTGCTTCAATCACACTTGCCTGCTCTTTCTCGGTCTGCTCAGTTCACTCCTCTGCCCCCACTGGCTCCTTAACATGGGCAATGTCAACGTTTCCCCCTTCCAAACAACGGCTGGACTCTGCCCTGGGGTGATCTACAAACCCAAAGCATCAACCACACCCCAGTCTTTATCACTAAACCGCCCTCCTACTATAGCTCAAAAACAGAGCTTTCAGAATTGGTAAGACAACACGACCATAATATGATGTTATGACAAAATTATAAGTCAGAAATGTGGCACATTAAAATGCCACAACAAAATAATAAAAACAAATGGAATTTTAATGTCTTATTTAATCCAATAAATCTCAAGTATCAATTTAAAATAATAACTAATAAAAATTACTACCATGGTATTTTCCATTCTTTAGTTCATGCTAATCTTTGGTTCTGGTATACAATTAACATGTCTATGGCAACTGCATGCACTCGTCACATGTGGAATCACTATCCACATTTCACATGCTCAGGACGGCTGAACACTGGAGGGCACAGCTCTATCTCCCTTCCCTGCTGGGTGGCGTCTCTGTTGCTATGCTAAAACACTGATCACAATCAACTTAGGGAAAAGGGCTTCTGTGACCTCCTAACTTCTGTGTCAGCCCATCGCTGAAGGAAACCAAGGCAAAAAAGCTCAAGGTGTGAACCTGGAAGCAAACGCAGAGGTCACGGAGGGGAGCTACGGTTTCCTCAGCCTGCTTTCTTAGACAACTCAGGACCACCTTGTTCAGGGGTGGCACCACCCAACTGTACCTGACCTCCTCACACTCTCTACCCCACTAGCACTTCACTCTACCCAGTTACATCTGGGATCCATCAATCTGCCCGCAGAAAGCATGAACACACAAGCTGCTTTTTATGCCAGAGACAGTTCTCGATAAGCTTAATTAACTGGATGAATAAATGTCAGAATTAAGACATTGTAACATACCAGATTTTCTTAAAGTACTGGGCTCTCCTTCTTCTAACCGGATATCTGAAAAGGAAGCTTCTGAGGGTGCCTTCTTTTGCTCGTCTTTTAAGCTCTGAGCGATTTGCTACATGGAGAAACAAGAAAGAACATTGAAGTGTCTTTCTTCTGAATGTCTTGCAATCTGGACCAGCTGAGCAGATGTTCTGGGAAGACCTATAAATTCAAGTATCACCCTAAAGGACCCACTCATTACAAAGAGGAAATAAGCCAGGTGGCGTGGAGCACACCTTTAATCCCAGCACTTAGGAGGCAGAGGCAGGCGGATCTATGAATTCAGGGCCAGTCTGACCTACAGAGTGAATCCAAATTCTGTCTCAAAAAAAAAAAAAAAAGACAAAACAAACAAACAAAAAAAAAGAGGAAATACACCAGGCAGTGGTAGCACACATCTTTAGTCCCAGCATTTGGGAGGCAGAGGCAGGTGGATAATCTGTGAGTTTGGGGCCAGCCTGGTCTACAAGAGCAAGTTCCAGGACAGCCAGGGTTTACACAAAAACCCTGTATTGGAAAAAATTAATAACAATAAAAAAGAGGAAATACATTAAAGCAATTTTTAAAAATAAAACAAAATATAAAAACAACCCCCCCCCAAAAAAAAAGAACAAAATAAACAAAAAATCATGAAAAAACAGTGAAACAAATCCTGGTCTCTTCAAAACAGTTAGTTCTAAAAATAAAATACAAAACAAAGTAGAGAGGAGTCTTAACTTCATTTTTTAGACTTTTATTTACTATTCTGTATATTCAAGTTTTTATTCATAAAAAAACTAATGTGCTTAGGAGTCAAATATCTGGGGTCCTTTGCTGGGCTGGAGCAATGACTACGAAGCTAAAACACACGCTTCTCTTCCAGAGGCCCCCCATCTGGCTCCCAGTTCCCACACCAAGGGGCCTGTTACTCCAGCTCCACAGGGATCCGACGCCCTCTTCTGGCCTCTGTAGACACATTTGCGTATACACATAAATTGAAAAAAAATATTTAAGTATTCAAACTACTTTCAAATGATTAAGCAATATACTGACAAAAATATAGGGTGAGGTGACAAAAGCATTAACAGCTGCTGATTCCAAAACACCAGCTGTCTGAACCCAGAGTTTTAGGAACTCTGCTGTGTTTAGGTGAGAAATTCTGCCATGGCTGTGTTAAAAACAAAAACTGCCCTGAGGCAAAGCCTGAAACAGTCGATGGGAACAAGGGAGGAAAGTGACAGTGACACTGAGCTGGCGTCATGGACTTCACTGCGGTGTTACCTGTACTTTGCTTCTGTTTCTAAGTTCTCACTGAAAAAGCTTCAGACTCTCATAACCCTGTTATAGCACCAATACTCTATCAAGGGTCACAGAAATGTAGGTGACAACTGGAGCCTTCAAGACATAAACCCAAAGTTGGAAGCTGGGTGGTGGTGGTGCACACCTTTAATCCCAGTACATGGGAGGCAGAGGCAGGCAGATCTCTGTGAGTTAAAGGCAACATGAGATTACATAGAGAAACCCTGTCTCGAAAAATCCAAAATAAAATAAAAGAAAAGAAAGAAAGAAAAAAGTTGGAACAATATATTTAGGAGTAGGACAAAGGGCCATGTCACCATCATTAACTGTGGTGGCTGCTATGTCACCAACCCTCTTATATGCCAATCACAAAGAAATAAGAGAAAATGAAGAAAGCACCAAAGCACTTCAATCTAAAATTTAAGGATGAGAAAACTATATAGTATGCCTACCAAACACAAGTACAAATTAACAATTTGTGTTTGATTCTTTAGTTTCATTTCCTATGACTTTTACGGCAAGTGCATTTTGATTTTATATTTTGAGTGACAGTTTAAAGAGTAATATTCTATCTTAACAAAATATCCAAAGCCATGTGGGATCAGGGAGAAGATGAAGTACAGGTGAAGAGAGCGCACCTCCATCATGACCAGCTTATCAGGATATGCCAAGTCTCCAGGCGCTGGTTTGTAGCCTGTGATGTCCGTCTGAATGTAGATATGGGTCCGGTACACAAGCCTCTCTTGTACATCTTCCAACATCTGCTTTACTCCAGCTGCAAATGCCCCCAGTTGCTCAGCTTTAAAAAGAAACAAGGCCGTCACCCACTCTTTTAGAAGCAGGACAGTGCTCCCTTTAACTAAACTGCTCTGGCCCTGTACAAACCACTGCCTGAGAGACGGGAGCTCAACTCTTTGCAGTGTGACTCAATGATCTTAGAACATTTTGACAGTTTCTATTTCCTCAAGTTGAACATGGGGAAATAAACTGGCCCTTCCACCTTCTTTCCAGGACTGTGCACATTTATTTCTATTATTTAAATAATTAATTTAGGTTTTAAGAGTGCACTATACCTAGTTAATTTACATAGCTTCAGACCAATATTAAAAGAGAGTCAAGGCAGCTTATTAATTGGGTTACCACATCCCATCTAACAAGTAAGCTGATGTTATAACATTTTTACAAAGAAAAAGTGAAATATGAGTTTATACAGTATTTCTCCCTGATGTTAAACATGAATCAGCACTATCTTTCCAAGGGTCAGGGACCAGAGATACTGCACAGAAATGGGAAACATTCGGAGCACTTTAAAAATAACCTAAATTGGGAAGCAGTGAGACGTGAGAAATCACACCAGAGAGAACTGAAGAGCACACGGAGCCGACAATGGAAACGACAGCAGCGGAGGCCCCACCAGCACAGGGACTCTTCAACAGGACCTGTTACCGGGATCACAGTCGTGTTTCCGACCACCATCAATCAAACAGACGACAACTGGTCGACAGTTAAGGGTGACTGAGAGAAATGCTACCTCTCCCTGAGTTCATTCCTACCTGAGCATGAAAAACCATCCCCAGTTTCTAACCAAAAGCATGATGCGAGCTGACTCCAGTGCTCCAGATCCCTAACACAAGCCAAGGCTCAGCTTTCCTGAACTCCAAATGCCAAAATGAAAAGTATTTTATTACTGAATTCGGCAGATTTTAAATTTCTTATCTGTTTAATTTATAGCATTTGATAGTCCCAGGGGAAGACACATCTTGATTTGAAAAGGAGTGAGGTATCAACCCAAGTTCCAAATCATTAGCCTTCTACTTAAAATTTTAACATTTAAAAAAACATTGAGTGTTTATGAACTGAGGCTGTAGAGGAAAAAGCTCTGTTTTTTTCTCACATTCACTAAGCCACAGGTACAATTAAGAGTCCTTTAGAGTGATCCGCCTGTGTACTCACCATTGTTCTGCACATGGTCTTCAAGCACCTCGTTTTTAAGAATGCCACAAAGCTCTGACAAAGTCTCTAAGTGAATGACATGGATAATCAGTGGCCGGAACACATCATACAATGACACGCACAGCTTCTCCAAAAGCTCACTATGAGGAAGGACAAAATGCAGTCAGGATTTTTCCAATGTATTAGAAGTTTCCAGCCAGTAAAAGGAATAGCCATCCACTAGAAACCGGTAAGGGCACATTACAGAGGGAGGAGAAGGATGGGTCTGTAAACTGCTTTTGCTTGAAAAGCTCAGAATCAGTACTTAATCTGTAACAGTTCATTCAAATTAGCTGCCCCCAACCACAAGTCAACTGATTAGAACTTTTAGTTTAACAATAAATTTATATTCTTTAAAAAATAAAGATTATATCAGTAAACAATATTTCCATTTATATTCACTGCAGATCAAACCATTATCCCCACACCACCACCACTAAACATGCTCAAACCTTAAAAAAAAACAAAAAACACTAGCTGGGCATGGTGGTACAGACCTTTAATCCCAGCACTTGAGAGGCAGAAGCAGGCAGATCCCTGAGTTCAAGGTCAGCCTGGTCTACATATGAGTTCCAGGACAGCCTGGGATACATAAAAGAGACACTGTCTCAAAACAAAACAACAACAACAAAAGCTTCAAAAACAATTTTAAAAAAAAATGAAGTACTTTGGGCCCATACCAAGTATTTTGAGAAATTTTAGACATCTGAAAGGAAAAGGTTAGGTGCATATTTTTTCAGACTGTCAACAGTAGCCTTCTATATTCAGTACTTCACCAAGTAATCATCCCAACCAAAATCAGGAAATCCATTTTTCTCTTCCTCAACACAAGTCATAACCTTAGGATCTTTATGACTCAAAACTAGCTAACATGAGGGAATCAAGTGACTAGCAGTGGACCTGAAAGTCACCTTGAGAAAACAAGGATTATCAAATAACGTCTACATTTTTAAATGTTGTTCATTAGTTAGATGCACAAAATTTATTTTATCTTGGTGTAGATAAAGGAATCCAGGTCCCAGGACTTGGTTCTCTCGCAGACTTGAGAAATAATCACAATCAACAATATTCTGTTTCCATATACAAAAGGTCCAAAAGGTCCAGTAACTGTAGAATGTTTCTACGATATACCAGACCATGTTATCAATAGCAAATCAAATCTTACCCACAAGCACCCAGTCTATGCATCACTTACTCTAACTTTGTCGTTGGCTTTGTAAAGAATTCATTGTAAAGTTGGTGCTCATCTTGGCAGACATGGACCATAAAGGCGCAGCCACTGCGAACCTGCAATAAACAAACACATCCCGCCTACAAAGGTGCACATTCCAGCTCTTATGCAATAAAGCCTATATTTTGCTTGCAAAGTGATTATGCACATATATTCACAAGCAACTTTCTGGAAAACAAGAAATGGCTAGTTCCCAATGGATTACTGCAAAATCATTATAAAATAAAGCATTTTCTAGTTAAAAGAGTACTTTTAAAGAGAACTTTTATGTGTTTTTCTAAAGTATGAATTAAAGCCACACTAACCAAAGGCCATTTCTACATCAAAAACTAAGCTAAGGCACGGTGGCACAAACACGTCATCTCAGCATGCAGAAGGCCTTTAAGGCAGGATAAGCAAACGGCAAGGCCAATCTAGGTTGCATAGTAAGACTCTATCTTAAACAACCATAAAAACACCTAAGATTACATTTTCAACACAAATCCACTAATTCTGAAACTTCATCATTCAAGGAAGAATATAGTTGTAAATCTTCATATTTCAAGAAAAATGAACACGAGGCTATTTTGCAAAGTTGAACAGAGCTAATTTCCACTATCATAACTAGAAAAAACATTGATTTGGGAAACAGAACAATAACAACCTGCTGAGGCAGGTCTGACTTATTTTGTTCCCCAAAACTGGGTGCTACAAAAACAAGGTTAGAGGCAACTGCTCAGAAAGTAACAGACACAGCCAAACTGGAAGGAGTGCTGCCAAGAAGGTAAGCAAGCAAGTACCAAACAGCCAAGAGGAGGCAGGACGTGCCCATCAGCAGGCGCTTACCAAGGCACAATGGTCTCTATTATTTTGGCTGGTTAGCTCCGCGACAGTACAGGCAATGCTGGGGCCCAGAAGGAGCTCCCGCTGATCAAGGTAACACTGGTGGATATCATTGAGCAGGTGCTGGTATCTGATGGAAGGCAAGTAAAAAACAAGACAAATATTGCATGATCCCTCTCCTGTGTAGAGGCTGGATTTACACATACACACACAGCATGACAGTAGAGGGGACTATTAAGGAACAGAGAAAGGGGAAGGGTATGGAGCATGAATAAGGTCAAAGCACATGAGATGCCTGAATTAAAATGTCTTTATGAACTGGACAGTGGTGGTGCACCCCTTTAATCCCAGCTGTAGGGAGGCAGAGGCAGGTGGTTTCAGGACAGCCAGGGCTACAGAGAGAAACCCTGTCTCAAAAAAAAAAAAATATATACATATATATATATATATACACACACACACACACACACATATGTGTGTGTGTGTGTGTGTATAAAACATCTTTATGAGCCAGCCCATCCCTACAGACAATGACTATACAACACTTTTTTTAACTAGAAAAAAATAGAAAAAAAGGACTGGAATATACATTTTTTATTTCAAATGCACAAATCTGATCTTAAATTCCAGAACAGATTGCCAGGCTTCTAAAGCCATAATGGCTGCCTCTCATTTACCCACATTAAACACTTAGGAATGCAGACTTAGAACAAAAGCCATGAAGAAGTGATACAAAAAAACCTGGTCTTTTAAGGACGGGTTCTCTTCAATAGAGACCTCTCACATCTACCTACCTGAGGAAGACGGATACACTCTGTCACATAAACTTGCTGAGTCAAGCCCGAGACTCTGCTCTCTAAACAGACCGTGACTAGGAACAAAGGGAGGCAGCTGCTCAAAATGGCCAAGGGCATAAGCACACTGGGAAGGACACGACAAGACCACAGGGGCTACTGAGTACTCACTCCGGTATCTTTTCAGATCGCAGCTCTATCTGTTCAATAAGAGCCTGTGGGATAAAGAAAGACACAGGTGTCTCCCTCATTTCAGAAACAATGTAAGCCAGGTGGTGGTGGCACACGCCCTTAGTCCCAGCACTCGGGAGGCAGAGGCAGGTTGATCTCTGTGAGTTGAAGGCCAGCCTGGTTTACAGAGTGAGTTTCAGGACAGCCAGAGCTGTACAGGGAAACCCTGTCTCAAAAAAGAAAGAAAAAAAGAAAAAGAGAGAGAGAAAAGAAAGGAAAAAAAAAAACACCAAAAACAAAAGAACAGTGTGAAAAGGCTTTAAAAAATCACAAAAATGACATATAGGCAATAATACCACAGTGTATATTTTTTAGTTTTTTTATACCCAGTTATAAGCACATTTTGCTTCTTCCTTCCTCTCTCTCCATTTTTTTTTTAATTTTCTTTATAGGCATGGGTGCTTTCCCTGCATGTGTGTCTGTGCATGTGAGTGCCAGTGCCCATGGAGGTCAGAAAGGGCACTGGATCCTGAGACTGGAATTACACATAGTTGTGAGCTGCCATGTAGGTGGTGAAATCAAACCTGGATTCTCTGGAAGAACAGCCAGTGTTTTGACCAATGAACTCTCTCCAGCCCCACTATTTTCTTTTCAATAAAAGCTGGAATTGTACTATTCATTCAACTCTATAATCTACTTTCTAAAAACATTTCATAAATACTTTTCTATCATTAAAAACTTTTCAATAATAGATTAAAATACACAAAAAGCCTTAAACATCACCTAGTACATAGTAAACAATAAATTATTAAAAACAGCATTTAAAACAACACATAAAGTTGGGTGTGCCTACAATCCCAGTACTTGGGAAGGTAAAGAAAAGGATCATTGGAGCGCTCCAGATCAGCCTGGGCTCAATGGTAAGTTTGAGGCCAACATGGACTACTATATATGGCAGCAGCAGCAACAAAAATTCAATAAATGAATGTAAGATCATATGAAGTGGTTGTATATTATCCTGTGGGTAGATGTACTCAAAATCAACTATTCTGTTCAGCATTTGTTTCCAAAGAATCACAACCACCAGTTCATAGTCTGGAGTAAAACAGCTTTTTAGCTACAACAGAGCCCAGGCAGGAAGGTTCACTTCTCTGAGACTACACAAAGCAAACCAGTATGAGCAACTACCTTTCTCTCTTTTGTTTTTTCCAAAAATTTTATTTATTTTTATGTGTATGGGTATTTTCCCTGTGTGTATGTCTGTGCACCATGTGCCTGAAGAGGACAGAAGAGGGCATTGGGTGCCCGGGGACTGGAGTTACAGACTCTTGGTTAGCCACCACCAAGGGGCTAGGAATTGGACACTCTGGAACAGCAGTCAGTGCCCTTAACCACTGCCCCTGGTGCTACACAGATTATTAGAAATGGGTTAATCAAGATGTAAGAGTTAGCCAATAAGAGGCTAAAACTAATGGGTCAGGCAGTGTTTAATTAATACAATTTTTGCATGGTTATTTTGGGGATTAAGCTAGCCGGGTGGCGGGATGAGGCCACAGCCCACTCTCCTCATACAACAGATAGGTGCCCAACGTGGGGCTCGAACCCACGTCCCTAAGATTAAGAGTCTCATGCTTTACATACAACCTTCCCTTAAAATAGACTACTGTTCTCTATATAAGCCCCTCAAGTCCCCTAGAAATCTGAGCTTGATTTATTTTTACATTTATTTAGTGTGTGTGCTGGACAGCTTTATGTTAACTTGACACGAGCTAAAGTCATATGAACAGAGGTAGCCTCAATTGAGAAAATGCCTTCATAAGATCAGGTTATTAGCCGGGCAGTGGTGGCGCACAACTTTAATCCCAGCATTCAGGAAGCAGAGGCAGGCAGATCTCTGTGAGTTCAAGGCCAGCCTGTTCTACAAGAGCTAGTTCCAGGACAGGCTCCAAAGCTACAAAGAAACCCTGTCTCAAAAAATTAAAACAAAACAAAACAGAAAGATCAGGTTGTTGTAGGCAAGTCTGTAGGTATTTTCTTAATTAGTGACTGATGGGGGAAGAGCCAGCCCATTGTGAGTGGTGCCATCCCTAGGCTGGTGGTTCTGGATTCTACTAAAAAGCAGGCTGAGCAAGCCATAGGGAGCAAACCCGTAAGCAGCACCATCCACGGTTTCTGCATCAGTTCCTGCCTCCAGGTTCCTGTCATTTGAGTTCCTGTCCTAACTTCCTTTGATGATGACCAGTGATGTGTACGTGTAAATGGAATAAACCCTTTCTTTTCCAAGTTGCTTTGGTCATGATGTTTCTTTCCAGTGATAGTCACCCTAACTAAGGTGTCTGTGTTGTCTACACACCCTGCAGGAATCAGTCCTGTCCTTCACCATGTATATTCCAGGGACTGAACTCAGGTCATCGAGCTCAGTAGTAAGCACTTTTACATCTGAGCCAGCTCCCCGAATCTACAGTTTCATCAAGAAACTGCCCGGAACATCACAGGAAGGGCAAAGAGATTCCTGCTCTGTAGACTTTAATTGCTGTATCATGTAAAAGGGGCAGCACTTTCCTTTCATTCAAGTTCATTCCCTGGAATAAGCAAAAAACTGAGGCATAGGACAACTCCCAACGGGCTGGCTGAAATTTGTCCTATCAATATTCAATATATGTCAACAGACTTACTCTGACTTTAGGGGCAGCAGCTCGAAATTTCACATAAAATAGTGTGAAGGCATTGTCTGCATTAGGTACTGATGAGGGATCCTGAAGAAACAAGAGGGGATAGGGAAGAAAGATATTAGCAAACACATAGTTACTCAGAAAAGAAATATTAACCACTTCATACACTGTTGCTTGGCCTCCATTCCCACCAAAAGCTTAGGAAAGAAAATCTCAATGAGAGGTTATATGTTAAAATTGTTATAGCTGAGAATCATCTCTCTCCTTTATAGTTAAATTTATCCTGTATTAATTAAATGTATCCTTTAATTTTGGTAGTAAGTAGAACTGAATCCAGACTTAGACTATTACTTATGGAGTATAAGACACTGGCCTTTTGACATCTCTGGCATTCAGCACACATCCTTGAGAAAGTTTTTAAATTTCCATTACCTCTTTTTTCTGCGCTAGTAGAGACTGAATCTAAGGCACACTCTAGGCACCACTCTATCTCAAAGCAACATCCCCAGACTATCTTTAGTTTGGTTTGGTTTTCCTTTACTTTGAGACAGAACTGAGTTACACAGACTATCTTGAACTCACTGCGTACACAAAGTGGCCTTGAGCTACTTATCCTCCTGCCTCCATCTCCCAAACAGCATAGGTCATAGGTATATCCAGCTCAAGAGTGAGCTTAAAAATAAAATATAGCCTTTATGGTTTTTTTTATTGGGAAAGAAATATGTTACTGACCACCCTAGACAGCTCAAATCTTATTTCCTAACCTACTCAGTATGTGTCACTTTTGTACCTAACATCTACCAATTTGTAAATAATCTTTTCATCATTTTTACTAGTGGCTATTTTTAAATACAATCACTATGACAGCAAGGACATCACGAGCCCCCTTTTCTACCCTACGGTTTCTAATACAATACTAAGCATTAGGTCACACTCAACAGAAATATGCATGCTGCACAATATGGTGGTCCATGTCTGTAATCCCAGCATCCAAGAAGCAAGAGAACCACAAGTTCAAGGCCAGGCTGAGCAACACAGTGATACCTTATCTCAAACCCCATGGGCTGAATGTGTAACTCAGTGGCAGAGTGCTTGCCTGGTGTGTCCAAGGCACTGGGCATAATTAAGGCATTGTAATAGTTATCCATGGCCAAAGTCATGGATTCTAAGGGTTGACTATATTTTCATGACAAATACAGACAGAAAAAAGTCCAAGAAATAGGAACAGAACCCAGTACTATTTTATAAAGTGTAAAATGAGATAAAAGCTATTCATTACCTGAAACATTCTTTTTAGCTTTTTCATAAAAAGTATTGATAGAAAATTATTCAAAAATAGTAAAATTGAGTAAGCCTGAGTGATAATTAAAAAGAACGTTCCTCCTTTTAAATATTTCCCCTGGTGCTAGGGGTTAAAACCAGGACTTTATAATATAACCAGGACTAGGTAAGGGCTCTCTCTACTAACTGAGCTATATAGGATAATCATATTTCTCTATTATAAAAACTTCAGTATATACTTATTTAATAAGGGTAAAAATTTAACCCTATGCATTAGTTCAGACAAAGGTTGTGGAAGGCAAATCAATCAACATCGAAAGCAAGCAGTTATTAGGGTCTGTTAACTCACCCTTTTAAGTAACTGATTTGTGAGAGTCTGAAGAGTGTTCACAGTGTATGTCTTCATGAGGTGCAAAGCTTTAGAAAGACATTGTTTAAACTTCAGTAAGTATACAGGATAATCTTTAAAATTAGGCTGTAAAACAAAGAAATTTACAAAAGGAATAAATATTAACAACAAGCAAACTTTCAATGAGAACCACGGTGTCCTCTATGTAAAGCTCTGGAGATCATAAGCTCTGTGAAGAAGACACTTGAAAGACTTGGTCGCAGTCAATACTCTGTGCCTGACACAAAGCAGACTCAGTCAGCAACCCCAACTGCAAACAAAACCAATGTCAGAGCCCCACTAGCCCGAGGCTGGTGTTAAGTAAGACTTACTAGGAACAGAAGGGAGCAAGCGAGAATAAGAAAGCAGTGCATCCTTGGGAGATCAGGAGAGGGCTAAAATGAAAGGACTTGTCTTTCTGGGCTCCCCTGGACCCCCACCCTAGTAACTACATTTCCAAAGAGTATCTTGCACATCCATCAGTGAACACCTTAAATGTCACACCCTTTCAGATAGGATACAGCCTAATCAAAGAGCCCTTTCCACTCTAGGAGACACTCAGAAGTCGGAAGTACTTAGTACACCACTAGGAACAGCAAACAAAAGAGTACTAGTTTCCTTCAGAATGTACAGATACACAGTCACCCTCAGTATTCGGACAGCACAAGTTCCAAGACCCCAAAGGATACACCGAATGAGCAGTCTCCCTTACACATCATCACCAAGTTACTTATGAGACTAATGGAATGTAAATGCTATAGAGATAGCTATTATGCTATATCATTCAGAGAACAATGGCAAGAAAAACAGGCTATATATGTTCAGTACAAACAAAACAATTGGTTCTTTATGATCTTTGTGATGCACAAGGGGTTGAATCCACCTAAGAAAGCCAAGCAGAGAGCTCATTATACTTTTTCCACTGAAAAAAAAATAACTGTGTAAGTGATATAGTAGAAATGTTAGTATTTTAAAATATAAAAGTGTGACTTACATGAGATGAAATATATGTTATACAATCATCTAGCTTGGCCAGCATAGGGATAAATCCTTCACTATTCACAGACAACGTGGGAGAATTCAATTTCTTCAAGCAAAGGAAAAGAAACAATTAACAACAAAAAAAAGGAAACATTAAAAATTATTAACTACAATTAACATATTTATTTTTAAATGTAATAGGCTACTGAAACAGCCTTTTACAATCACTAAAATATCCTCAACTGTATTCATATATACCAAACTAGCAAAAAAAAAAAAAAAAAAGGCAGACAAGACCCCAGAAGTGTTTTTACTACACTGCTATGCAACACTAAACTGAACTAATACATCACAGTCCCGAATGACCCACTTTCTACCACTTCACAACATATACCTTGTCTACACTGGACACAGTCTTATGGTTAAGGGATTAACTAGCAGTCACAGCCTTTGCTGAGCAAGCTTACAGGGGCCTGGGTTCAATTTCCAACACAAAAAAGAAAAGCCAACTATTACTAGCCATTTACTCTGTCTTGATACAGAAGTGGTTTGCCAGTGAACCAATTCCCACAACATACCACGTCTAAATGGCTGCTAGCTTTACTTTTATGTCTTTAATATTAAGCTATAATAATTACAATTATTTTAACAATTTAATAACATGATTTACAAATAATTATGACTAACTTGCAAGTCAGAAACGTAGAAATACAGTTTGCCCAGAAGCCTTTATTATCTGCTTTATGAGGACTATATGCTTCTTCAAACTGAACGTCAGAAGTGGCTTAGGAATGTGTGGACAGTATTATAGGAATGCAACATAGCAAGACTTAAACTGAACATTTATTATCCTATTTTTCACAGCTTATAGGGAAGATTCTAAAATAGGAAATCTACAAAGAGATCCAGTAACAACAACACAACTGAAGAAAACCTTCTGAAATCCCACGTGGAAAGTTCTGAACTGATAATGTTACCCTGCTGAAGTCAGAGACTCCATCAGCAAACAACTATTAAGTTTGAGCATCACTTTATATTCTTGAAGATTACCACAAAAGGGAAATCAAAATATCACTAACTCTACAGAAAAGCACAAAGCACTTACTGTGTTAATCGTCTCCAACTCATTAAAATAAGACAGCTTCTGTTGGATGTGCTCAGCAAGGTCAGCAAGTTCCGACTCACATATTAAAGAGAAAAGTCAGTTATTATAAAAATACACCAACTGGTATCCTAAAGTCAAAATTACTTTGAATAGAGTTATATTTGACACTGAAGTTTAAATCAGATCTAAGACTTCAGAATCATGCTCAAGTATTTCTGTACCCGTGAACAAAAGGAGACAATAATTAGTATCATATGATCTTTTATAAAAATAAGTGCCTGCCTTTTAAAAACACACAAAAATACAGAGAAAACTCTGAAATATAGTTACTTCAATGTTCTATCTGCAACTCACAAGTTTAAGTACAACATCCTCACACAGTTGATTAAAAACAAAAACCCTTCAAGGACAGCCTGCTCTATAGAGTGAGTTCTAGGGTAGTCAGGGCTATACAGAGAAACCCTGTCTCTAAAACAAACAAAAAAAAAAGCAAAAAAAAAAAAAAAACCAAAAAGGAAAACCAGCAATAGTGCAGTCTGCTTATCTGAAAATGTCAGCAATAGTGGACAGAGCGGCACAGCCGCTCACTCTGCAGCTGCTCTAGCAGACCAAAGCAAGGGGTCTGCCTCTGGCTCTGCTCCCTATCAGCACAGTCTAACACAGAGCAGCCTTCAGCATCTACCCAGAGAAATTAAAGAAATTAAAATTAAATAGTATTCATCTATTTAAAATTAATCACCAATCCTCTCTCTCCCTCATTCCCAATTACCTGCTCTTTTAGGAGCTGTTCACAGGCTTCATGAAGAGTTCCTGTCTTATTGGACACAAAAAGGTACTGCTTCTGCAGTGACTCCAGATGCTGAAGGGCACTGTTCACATCATTCAGGATAGCATCGCACTGCTCCTGAAACCCAGACAAGTAATCCCTCATCTGTCTAGAAAACAGAACCGAGAGGGGATTGGCAATAATATTTCCCCCAATGGGTAGAGTTAATAAACAATACGGTCTCAACTTTTCCAAAATCATAAATTCTGGTGGAAAATCTGACTTACTCTTTACTCAGATTTACAGTAAAAGTTAGCCCATAAACTATTCCAATGCTTAGGAAGATGAGTCACTGACACCATAAGCAATAAAAGGAATTAGCCTTAGAGCCACAGCCTGGTTTCCTGCATGAGAGTCAATAAATTATAGGCATCAACCTTCAAAGACACCAGGATATCCCAAGGCAGCAAATAAGGTTACTCCTTCAGATACTTGCCACCTCCAAAGACCACAGGATGCGAAAAGATTTGAGACTAGAAGACAATGGTCCAAACCGCAGCTCTACCAAAGTCCAAATGACACTGGTAGTTAATGTGACCAAGCCTCAAGCTGCCCATTTGTAAAACAGGAATGATAACGTTTCCTTGAAGATCTGCTACAGATAAAGTAGGATTATACATCCATAGCACGCTGCCTAGCAATAATGGCCATGACTATGTCAGGCAATGCACATCTTTAATCCCACCACTTGGGAGGCAAAGACAGGCAAATCTCTGTGAGTTTGAAGCCAGCTTGGTCTACACTGTGACTTATAAGACAACCTATCTTGAAAAAAGAAAAACAAAAAGTAATAATGGCCCTACATAAATGTTAACTGAACATCAATGCAGAACCCCATAATCTAAACCTGGAGAGAAACTATATATGGTATCATTCTTCCCCTATCAGCATATGTTAGCCATACTCACTCTACATGGCCACCCCTAAGGTCCTCCATGGATGTTTCCCTGATATACAAACACCACACTGAATTCCCATACAACTACTTGATCCAAGTTCTTTCTGCAGTTCTTTTTCTAAAATCACTTATAGCCCCAATCCTCACTCTGGCTAGTATTAAGGAAAATCTGACTGTTAAGTTTTCTTGGTAACTTGAAATGACTATGATGTATAAATCAGGATATCCAACAAATAAAGGACCCACACATACCTATATTTGGTTCCTTCATCCTGATCCATCTGAGTTTGCAGCTTTGCAAACCATGAGAAAAACTGGAAAATAAAGAGTATTATTCTATCAATCAAACTAAAACAGGTTAAGTGGAAAGTGATTACATGGTAGAGTACAAGTCAAAGGGCAGGCATTACCTAACTAACTCTTATTTCTAGGGGACAGCCACAAACAATTAGCTTTGAGTTTTAATATATACATACAAAATATCTATATACCAGGAAAAGCAAAAGATATTAAAAGCACCAGTCATTTCCGGTCAAGTAAGGAGGGGTATCAAAGACACATTTGAAGAAAATAAATATTTCTTCTTAAGAAACTAATACCTCACTCTTAGTTTTTCAAATTTAAGGAATTATCATAGGGCTTTGGGTAGGTATTAATATTAATGTTACCTAATAAGAATGGTGAGCATATGAATTTGAAAATCACATAGTGGATTAAGAATATGGACTTTGGGGAGGCTGCAGAGATGGCTCAGTGGTTAAGAGCACTGGCTGCTCTTCCAGAGGACCTGATTCAATTCCCAGCATCCCCATGATGGTTCACAACTGTCTGCGATTCTGGTTCCTGGAGACCCAATGCCTTCTGGCTTCTGAGGGTACTAGGCACATAGTGGTACACAAACATACATGCAGGCAAACAAAACATCTACTCACATAAAATAAAAATTAAAAAGAATATGGATTTGAGGCTGTTACCTGCCCCTACACCAATGTTATAGAAATCTTCCATTATTTAAAAAGAGATAAAATCTGGCATGGTCATACATGCCTGCCATACCAGCACTTAGAAAGCTGAAGCAAGAGGATCATAAGTTCAATTCTAGCCTGGGCTACATCACTAGGGAAAGGAAGAGTGGGAGGGGAAAGAGAAGAAAAACAAAACAAAACAAAAAACAGATAAGAGGGTTAATTTACATGAGAAATTTTGGGGATGATAAAAATATTTTATATTTTAGCTAGGTATGGGGACACACACCTGTAATCTCAGTTCAGCACTTGGGAAGTAGAGATTGGAAGTTAAGCTCCACAACCAGCCAGGGCTACATCATAAATATAAGTCAGGTGGTGATTTGAAAGAAAGCGGCCCCTCCAGGCTCACAGGGAGTGGCACTATTAGGAGGTATGGTCTTTCTGGAGTAGATGAAGCTTTGCTGAGGAAATGTGTCACTAGGGGGTGGGCTCTGAGATCTCTGCTCAAGCCAGGCCTAGTGGCCCACTATCTCTTCCTGCTGCCTACTGATTCAGATGTATAATTCTCAGATACCTCTCCAGCACCATGTCTACCTGCATTTCTGCCGTGCTTTCTGCCATGATGATAATGGGCTAAACCTCTGAACTGTAAGCCAACCCCAATTAAACGTTTTGCTTTATAAGAGTTGTTACAGTCATGGTTTCTCTTCACATCAATGGAAACCCTAAGACAGTCGGCCTATACTACACAAGACTCCATCTCAAAATACGAAACAAGAACAGCACAGCACTTGGGAGGCAGAGGCAGGCGGATCTCTATGATTCTAGGTCAGTCTTGTTCCAGGACAGCTAGAACTATTCCACAGAAATACCCTGTCTTGAGAAAAAAAAAAAAAAAAACAGGTTTATATCAAGTTTATATCTTCATAGAAGTAGTTATAGCAGTACGTACACTCATCAGAACTCATCTGGCTGACACTTAAAGTGAGTAAGTTTCATCATGTATATAGATCATAACCTACATATTAGGTACTTCAAGCTGTCACAGAGATATGCAAGTGTAAATGTAATACAGAAGCTTGTGTTTTCACAGGAGACTATTTTAGTAAGAGAGACTAATCAGTAAGAGTGGAGGAAGCAAGGTGGGGAGAGAAGGGAGGGAAGGAAAGGGAGAGCACAGTGCAGTGGCATCATATCAAAGCGCCGTGCTGAAATCTGCTTGCTTGTAGACTTAAGGTAATGTGGAAGGGAAAAATGGCATTCACAGACACAGAACATGATCACCATCTGTCAAAGTGGAAGTCAAGGGTGTGCAGGCTTGTCATCTAACTTGGCTAATATTTTCTAATCATTTATTGTGTGCTTGCTATATCTGCATGTGTTATTTAATTCTCGTAAAAATCATAAAATATAAGTATATAATCATCCTTGTTTTAAAGACTCAGAAACTAAAGACCCGAAAGGTAAGTAATTTGCTGAAACTCACAATGATGGTAAGTAATGGAGCAGACAGCAGGAGCAGATGTGGGTTGGCCTAACTACAGCAGGAGCAGATGTGGGAGCAGATGTGGGTCAGTGTAACTACAGTAGAATCAGCCTAACTATACCAGGATCAGATGTAGGTCAACCTAACTCTACAACAGGAGCAGATGTAGGTCAACCCAACTCTACAATAGGAGTAGATGTGAATCAACCTACAGCAGAACACACAGGTCAGCCTAACTCCAGCAAGAGCTCTCCTTTGCTTTTCTTACTGCCTCTTTTGACTTATAGAGCATGCAATTCAGTATATCTGCTTTATGTTTCATTTGGAAATGCCTCACCTTTAACTCCTTTTTTGTCTTACAGACACAGCCTATGACTATGTAGCCCAGGACGCCCTTGAACTTGCTATATATATCCAGACTGGCCTCAAACTAGTGATCCTCCTGTCTCAGGCAGCTCTAACTCTCATCTGCAAGTACTAACCAGGCCCAACCCTTCAGAGTTCCAAGATCAAATGAGATCAGTGTGTTCAGGGTGGTACAGACATAGAGAGCTCGAACTCTCTTAACAAATCAGAAAGAATAAACAGGGAAGCATCTATAGAAACTGTTACACATTAAGGTTTGTAATTAGCTGTAAGGAAATAGCAAAATGCAGGCTAAATTACTAATTTTCATCTAAAGAAAGCATTTAGGATTTTAAGAGAATTACAGCAACAAAGTAGAGAAAGATGTTTATATGTGCATCTAAATGTATGCATTTTTATAAAGATTTATTCTTTATCTTTTTAAAAATCATTTTATCTGTGTGAGATTTTGCTGTGTGTATGTCTATGTACTATGTGTATGCCTGGTGCCCATGGATGTCAAAAAGAGAGCTTCAGATCCTCTGGAAATGTGAGAAGCTGGATGGTGATGACACACACCTTTAATCCCAGCACTCGGGAGGCAAGGGCAGGCAGACCTCTGTGAGTTCAAGGCCAGCCAGAGCAAATTCCAGGACAGTCAGGGCTACACTGAGAAACCCTGTCTCAAAAAACCGACCAACCAACCAAACAAATAAACAAACAGCTCTTAGAAACCCAATGTGGGTGCCAGCTGGTACTTTTAACCACTAAGCCATCTCTCCAGCCCTGTTAGTTACTCTATTACTTTTTATCATATTTTTATCTTATTGCCAATATAATTAGACAATGCAGTGGTCTGAATAAGAATACCCCCCCAGACTCAAAAATTTGGTCACCAAGGGGGTAGGGGACCAGGAACTACAATCAACCTCTCTAGAGCTCTAGAATGCCAATGCTTGTGCTGTGACAGACATTTTTACTAAGACATCTAGAATAATCCAATGTCCCTAGAAAAGATGGTACAATTTACCTGCTGTGCAGTCTCAATTCTTTCCTCTTTCATTTCTAAGGAAGCGAAGCCCTTCAAGAGGATGTCTTCTGTAGATTCGGGCACCACAGCAGTCAGTTCAATGGGCAGTGACTGGGATGCTAAGCTGCAGATGTCTTCAATTGGGAGCTTGAGAAAAAAAAAACCACAAGACATTTAACTTGAAAAGTTTCCTAAATCAACTCAATTGTTTCTGTCTTGTTTTCAAAGAGAAAGGAATATTTCCTTGAAATCCTCTGAGATCAGGAGATGCCACACAATCCTAAGAATCTCCACTAGCCCTCTTTGGGATAGACGCCACTCTCAAGATGTAAACAGGACACCAGTGTCGCTCAGTAGCAAGGTCTGACTGTTGAGTCAGCATCTAACAGGGGAGTGAGCCTATATAGAACCACCTGAACCTGTTTAAACCACCATTCGACAGAACGAGACCTGTGTGCTGCTGCAAATAGTGTGTTCTCTGCAGGAGCCAACACAAAGGGCCTGACCAACCAACAAAATTAACAAATCATACTCCTTAAACAACAAACTGCCTCCTACTACCACTTCGCCTACACTGACACACTGTGAGATTCAATGATAGACAAGAGACTCGGAAGAATCTCAGCGTTTCATTGGTTCCAGAAGAGCCCAGGGACAAGGCCTCCCTGTAACACCAACACAGCACTCTCTGTCCCCACCACTGATACTTGAGCTCTGTATTAATTCACCTGAAGTCACTTATTAGACAAGCTGTTTTTAGAATTAAAAGAAACTGGAAGCCGGTGGTAGGGAAAGCAACAGGGCCCACTGTTAGGTTCAATCCTACCTTTCAGTCCTCAGCTCATGGCATTTAAAGTCTCCCAACATAAGACATGACTCAAAGCCTTAGGAAATTGCTTTCTCTCTAAATGCAGACATTCCATCTGAAGACAGGGTTTTTTTTTTTAAGTTGAAATAAGCTCAATGCACAAATATCCCACTAGTAATCTAGAAACAAGGTTACATCTGTGCTCACACGGGGCTACACTTCACAGTAAACACTAAAGTGAGGCCTGGTTGAAAGCCTCTTGCTAGTGTACAAGCTGGTTGGCACCAGGGAAACTCATGATTCTATCCCTCCACTTCTCCTCTTACACACACAGATCCAGTAGCCACACCACGACTACCGTGAGGATCAGAGAAGAAAGCACTGGCTTCTCCAAGTAACTGCAAACAAACAACAGCCAACAATAGCGAACACGATCAGGAGGGTCCTTGTACACAAATGAGTCAGACCCAGAGCCAGGAGGGGCCCAGCCAGATGCAAATATCTTACTTATCAGGACATCACAATGCATATAAACTCTTCCTGTAAGTAGTACACCCTGATGTAAAAGTGCTATGGCCCAGCAAGGATTAAGGTTCTCAAACTCAGGGAAATCTATCCTGAGGCTAAAGTGTCACCAGCAACTGTGTGCTGCCATTAAGGGTTCTGAAGACAGAACTGTAACTGAGATAAATAGCATCTACACCTGCACTGTGGAAACACCCAATTAACCAAGGCGTCATCACACACACACACACACACACACACACACACACACACACACACACACACCGAGACAATGCTGCATGTAGAACACTTAACATAAGACCTGCAACATAGTAAATATTCAATAAAATTGAACTAATGGCATTAGAAGTACTTTTTTATATTTCCTATTAATAGCAATCATAGTTCTTTATTACTCTTATTTAGGAGCTGAGACAGAATAAATTTATTGATCTGAATCTACACTGCTCTTGAGAACAGAATAGTAACTAAGTGTCTTCGCAGTACTGTGTTAGTAGTGAAGTTAGTTCTGCAACAAGAGATCACAGTTAAGGTAGGTAAGAGGTAAAGGGGAAGCAGTTACGTAAGTAGTAGCAGGTCAGTAAGATGTAAAGGGAAGATGCAATGCTGGGACAAACATCCCAGCAAACATGCAGGCCTATACCTGGATAAAGAGACCGAAATCCATGTTGCTTGCACACAAACATGCAAAAGCCAAATAATTCACAAAAGCTAAGTATTCTTTTTTAATTATTATATTTACTTAGCATTTGTGTGTGACCTCATGTGGAGGTCAGAGGACAACTTAAGTCAGTTCTCTCCTTCCACCGTATAGGTACAGAGACTGAACTCAGGTTCAATCAACTTGACCAAAAAGACTTTTACACACAAAACCATCTTGTCAGCAAGGATTAAATATTCTCAAATACATCATAGCTCAGGCTCCAGGATAACCATGCAAACTAAATCCAGGGGGAAAGGTTGAAGAGATGGCTCAGTGGTTACAAGCACTTGTTGGTCTTGCAGAAGACCTGGGTTCAATTCCCATTACCCACAAGGTGGTATACAACCTTCCATAACTCCAGTTCCAGGGGACCTGGTATCCTCTCTGGCCTCCGTGGGCACTGTGCACATAGTACACAGTATACATGCAGACAAAGCACTCACACACATAAAATAAAATAAACCAAACTGGAGAAAGATGGATATTTCAGTGATAGTCAAATATTGACTCCCTTGTGGGAGACCAAGGGGAAAGGGAATGACAAGTACCATGCAAATGGCTAAAAAGAATTCTAGAATTAATTTGTCACCAACCACTAAGAACTAGAAGGTAGGTGAAAGCATCTGGAAGCCAATGACTTACGAAGAAGCCACACCTACTCACACAAACTCCACTAGAGAGCCGTGGGCAAGTACATGAACAAGGTGGTACCGACCTAGTTACTACTTCATAAAAGAAAGGGCACAAAGCCCGCCTAGCCCTTTCTCCCCAAAAAACAAAAGCCTTAGGCCACTGGATGGGGTAAGGGGCAGCAACGTCTGTCAGCTACGACACACAACACTCCATTATAGCAGGAAAAAGGGGAAAGAAAAAACTTCCATTCTGGACAACAGACAAGAAACCATACAGGACCCAGGACATCAGGGGAGTCTCCTGCAGCTAAGAGAAGCATACTCAACAGCACAGTCCCACCTCCAAGGCCCAGGGACAAAGGACCTGCCTAAGACTGAGGCTGGACCCAGACCGCAGAAAACTCTCAACTATTCAAACTATCAAAATTCTAATATTTATATCTTGTTTGGTTGCTAAGTCTTTACATTGATACTTTTAAGTGTACCATGCATTAATTTCTGTCATTTCAAATGGACCCAAGGAGTCATACACATGTGTTCAGTTTAAACTAAAAATGTTATTTTCTAAATTACTTTACCAGATAAAACTCTAGATCTATGAGAAGCTACTCAGGATAATCCAGACACATTCTATAATCTAATCATAAATAAATAGGTCATATTTATCCAAGAGCAATCAATTTGATTACTTCAAGCACAAATACTAATTAATTTTCAGTCATAAGACCTTTAATTATGGGTCTGGAGAAATGGCTCAGCAGTTAAGAATAGCAGTTCAGTTCCCAGCACCCATGCCAGGTGGTATACACCCAGGAAGCGTACAGATTCAGATCAATAAATTTAACTCCAGTTCCAGGAACTCCAACACCATTAGCTAGCCTCCATGAGCAGATACTCTCATGCACAAACCCACATGAACACACGTATGTATATATAATTAAAATATACAGTCAGGCATCGGTGCTGGCAATTGCCTTTAATTCCAGCATTTGGGAGGCAGAGGCAGATGGATCTTGAGTTCAATGTCAGCCTGGTTACTGAGTGAGCTCCAGGACAGTCAGTGCTACTAAGAGAAACCTGTCTCTGAAGACAAAACAATAATAATAATATCTAAAAATATCTTTAAAAATTTTTAAAACTTTAAGTACAAAAAGCGGGAAAGTCCTTGTCCCTTTACTCTTTGTTATTTTGTTGTTGTTGTTGTTGTTTGTTTGTTTGTTTGTTTTTCAAGACAGGGTTTCTCTGTAGTTTTGGAGTCTGTCCTGGAACTAGCTCTTGTAGACCAGGCTGACCTCGAATTCACAGAGATCTGCCTGCCTCTGCCTCCTAAGTGCTGGGATTAGTGTGCGCCACCACTGCCTGGCCCCTTTACTCTTACTTATAAGAAAGAAACTATTTTTTCTCAAACTAAGTAGGAAAGAAATTACAATACAACCACTTTAAAGAAATAATAATTTTAAAGAGAAATATTTTAAAGAATACTTAAAGAAAACTTCCTTAAAAGTAATTTTAAATAATAATTTTAGCAACTTGCTTTTAACAGCATAAGAGAAAAACTTATGTCCTGCTAGGCTCTTTTCACAAACAGCAGAACTAGAGTGCCAAGTCAAAGGGGGTGTGGCGGTGTCCCCAGCATGCTGCTTCTGACTCCTCAGAGTGAGCTGACTTAAGAAGGGCTCCCTCACTCACTGCCCTGGCTTCGGGAGAGCAGACACACCACCAGACAGACAAGAGCACAGAAGTTGCTGGCCATGTTGGAAAGCTACTGTAGGGCCTGCACAAATGGGCATGGGCATACTAACCAGAAGTTACAATAAAACACCCAGCACTGCTTCACCAGCTGAGCCAATCCAGGAAAAGACAAATGTCCTTTCCTCTCCTCAGCCTCATTTCTTAGAAAAGTCTGGACTGCAGAAAACGACTCTTAGAATCAATGCATTGCAACTGAACGGACAATCCTTTCTCTACTGAGAGCATATCACTGGAGGCTCAGAGCCTTCCAGGGACCAAACACTTTCTTCCTATCTTCAGTCTTAGTGACGCCTAAACTGGCTCAAGATTCTAATCTATGCTTTTAAAACATTCAGTGTTTGAAAGAGATCACATGAATAATGTAAAATTAGCCAGGAGCTTGCCATGCCCCGCTTCTGCACATGATTGCCTTCCATTTTCACAACTCCCCATAAGACAAGTGTCTATTTTATAACAGAGAAAACAGAAGCATTCAGAAGTTAATTATCATGACCGAAGTCACACACCTACAAGAACACAACAGCTATGGCAGTAAATTACAGACAAATTTCAAGATAAATTAATTTAGCACTTCAACAAATACTTAGCAAAAAGAAAAAGATTCTCACTGGTTTAAGAAAATTTGCCTCAATGACAAGAAACCACTCTAACTGCAAATTCTTTTATCTAATGCAATATACATACAAATATCTCCTTTTTAAAAAAATGCAACTTTCTAAGGTAAGGAATTTTATTACATACTTTTCACTTTGTATGTGTGTGTTTTGCCTGTTTGTATGTATTTGCACATGCATGTTTAGTGCCCAGAGGTCAGAAGAGAGAACTGGAGTTACAGGAATGCTGTGAACCACTATAGAAGTGCTAGGAATTGAACCTGTGTCCTCTGCAAGAGCACCAAGTGCTTTTAACTGCTGGGCCACCTCTCCAGTCCCAGGAGTGCTTTTTTATAGGTGAGAAGGCTGCTTTCTAAAGATACTAACATCTTTATGATGTTTACTGAGCATTAGCTGAACACCAACTAGACCACTAAATAACAGAAGTTTATGGAAATATGCCAGTTAGACAAATTAAAACAGATGCATTTTTTTCAACAACGAGGTTATCCCATCAGACAGAGAATACTTTAGTATGGGGAAACAAAAGCAATGAAGACATGCTCCTCCAAGATCCCAAAGTCAGTGTAAACAGACTCTTTCTAAAACTGAGACCCTCCTTGAATACTTGGACTTGCTAAGTGCATCCTCTCGCCATGATCTTAGGCTGCTCTTTCCAATGCTAGAACGGTACTGACAGCCTTTCCCAGGCTGGCTTCATGTTTCCATGTCAGTTCTCACGCTAGGTGGTCATTTCCTTTAAAGGGCCTCCTCTTCACTTTTACAGCTGCCCTTACTTTAGGCCTCCCATAAAAGGGCATACCCTAACCCGTTCTGGTTCCACCATCCTATTTTATTTTCCTGATATAATGAATGGATCACCATCTGAACCTTCTTGGTTTGTTAGTCTGAATTTTTTTTCTCTTATGATAGGCTCATGATCTCCATAATTATGTCAACTCCCCAAGGCTGGAAATTTCACCTTACCTACTTTGTTTCTATCCATAATTCCTACCACAGTGGGGACGCATGTGGCAAAATGAGTTAAATGACAACATGAGATCATAAGTATTGATGCATACATAAGAATGGTGCAGAACAATAACATTCCCATTTACTTCCAACCCTCTCCGTATTAAATAAGGATGAAACTTAGTTTTCATAACCCATGGCAATAACAATGAAGTTTCTTGTCCTGTACATCTCACTCCCTGATTCTGTGACGTCTAGACACACAGCTTCAATAAGGGGACACACGGATTATAAACAGACTGGGAAATACATAAACCAGTTTCTGGGCTGAGGATATAAGCCTGTGATACAGTGCTTAGCCAGCAATGGTAAGATCCTCGGTTTAATCCCCAGCAACACACACACACCACACCTACCTATAATCCAGGGCATAAAACACAGCCAGGTCAAAGAACTTTCCACTGGCTCCCTCGTTTACTCAGATCTATTTCCTGCAAGACATCCTGGAGGCGGGCAGGTAAACGCACCTATGAACACCAATTTTTCCGGCACAGCACACAAAGGTGCCGAGACCATTTCTACCTCACACCTCTATACAGTGTGAGGGTAAAGGCGAAAATGCCAAATTCAGTCTGCGTTTGGACAGAATTCCCAATTGAATGGAAAGTAACGCCTCCAGCATCAAAAACAACCACCACTGTTAATAAAATAACCCCAAATCTAAGCATCGAAACAAGAAGAGCCTGTCGATTATCTAAACAATTCGCAAAAACTACTCTTACCGTTATTAACTATACAGAATCCCACAAACGGTACCACGCACACTGCCCCAGTGGTAAGTGAATTAAAATGTTGACACTAAAACCCAAAAGTACTACTTAACAACCGAGTCAACTTGCAAAAAGAATTGATTTTTATTGCTTTGCTATAGGTTAAATAAATCTCATTTCCCATTACCTACACCAAGAGTTCACGGCTTGGTGCGTGATGAATGAAGCTGTCACTCAGAGCCAATTCTGATTCCCTCTAAGTGTCCCTTCGCCCCCGGGAACCAGATGACTCCAGACGCAGTAATACAGACTAGCTGGATTCCAGAGCACAGCACCTCAGGCTCATGGGAAGCGGGGTTACCCTGACACTGGAAGATCTGGAGCAAGACGCTCGGGGCAAGCAAGGCTCAGGCCAACCGTCCCACGCCTCGGCGAGGGAAGGCGATGCCCTCGCGTGGACGTCCTGGTAGGGCCAGCCGGGGTGGCCGGCTGACATCAGGGGACACGTAGGCCCCTCCCGCAGAATCCGCCACGGTGGCTTGGGAGGACAGGTCAGATCCCCGCACGGGGCGGCCGGCCGGGTGCCGCCCTCGCCTCACTCACCTCGGCGGGCACCGGCAGGTTCTCCACCGCCGCCTTCAGCTCCAGCACCGAGTCCGTCTGCCTGTCTGTCAGCGGCGCCACCGAGTCGGGTCTCCAATCCCAGAGGGACAGCTTCTCGCGGGCGTCCCGCTCGGCCGCCGACTCCGGCAGCAGCAGCAGCGCCGCCTCCGCCATCCCCGCCGCCCTGGGCCCCTCAGCAGCACAGAACCGGACCCCGACAGGCAGAACCGGGCACTTCCGGGAGGACCGAGGCTTCCAGCGCCGCAGAGGCGGCGGGGCGGACCCGAGCGCCCTGACCCCGGAAATGCTTCCCCGGCGTGGGGGCGGGACCGAGGCCAGGGCAGACGTGGCTTTCGACCGAGTGTAAACATTTCCGGTTGGAATGTGCCTGAAGCTAGGGGCAAAAGACTGGCGTGGGTGGAAATTGATTTGCCCCTACCGGAAGTTGATTCCTCAACATCAATAACTTTATTGTTTTGTGTTGTTGAGAGTTTTTGGTTTTTTTGTTTTGTTTTTTTTTTGCCTCGTGTGGTAAGTCACCCAACAGATGGGAGAATTGATGAACTTCAAAGATCTACCGCTTCTTGGCCGTCAGATGGGTAGTGGGTGATTTCCATGTTGACATAGCAACCAAGAGCACAAATTTTTCGAATATGCAACTTCCCTTTTAGAAAACTAGTTGTGGAGACACAAATTCAAAAACATACATATTAGGCTTCATTAATAGTATCGAACAACGAAAAAAAAATCCTAAACAGTCAACATTGAAGAACTGGATCAATAACTGACGATCCGAAGATAAACTGGGAAAAATCTGCCGTTTAAATCCTAATAAACATTGGGGCAGCTAAACAAATATTATTGGATCAAATCTACATAATTGAATAAACACACTTCATCAGTATATAACCTGAGTATATACTAATATAAACAAAATTGGGCAAATAAATGAAAAAGGGACACTTTCTAAATTACCAAAGAATTTTTTTTAAAAAAATAGAAAAATTAGGAAAATACAAAGTCATCATTAGGACATCACAGTAATAATTGTAGCAGTTAAGATAATAGGGTGGACACTAAGAGGAGCTGACAGGAGTTCCAGAAGAAAATGGCAATTAGCATAGTTAGATAATCTCTCCAAGGTATTTACCAATAAAAAAGAGGAAGTCGGGCATGGTGATACACACCTGAAAGCTCAGTATCTGGAAGACTGAGGCAGGAGGATTGCAACATGTTCAAGGACAACCTGGGCTAATAGGAAGACCTAGTCTTCAAAAAAGTGGGGAAGGGAGTTGGGGAAATAATGGCTTACAGTAGCAGACACCATTTTAACCATGTGATCTAACTCAACATCATTTTCATGAAATTCCTGGGTGGATGAATGTCCTTCTGTGACAGTCTTACCTAAAATACAAACCTAATTCTTGTTGTGGAATATTACATTAACTATGTAAAGATATGTTACGTTTGTTTAAGTTGCATTTGTTTAACTATGTAAAGATTATATGTTATATTAGTTTATGCTGCATTTGTTTAATGACATAAAGATGTGTTGCGCTGCCTGCCTAAGGCGCCTGATTGGTCTAATAAAAAAAAATCTGAATGGTCAATAACTAGGCAGTAGAGGGGGCTTGCAGGACGAGAGAAAAGTATGAGGAGGAATTTAGGCTGGAGAAAAGAAGAGAAAGAGGAGAGAGAACAAGGGAGATGCTCAGAGCTAATCAGTCAGGAGCTGCCAGCCAGACAACAAGTAGGACATACTGAATGAAAAAAAGGTAAAAGCCCTGAGGTAAAACACAGATGAAGAGAAACAGGTGAAGTTATTAGAGTAAGTGGGACAAGCAGAAGATAAGGCCAAGCATTCATAACTAATAAGAAGTCTCCATGTCATGATTTGGGAGCTAGTTGGTGTCCCAAAAGAAAATGCCTGGTACAAATTCTAGACCTAGAAAAAAACACATCACAAATGGACAGACATCCTACAAAACACTGAGAAGAGCTCATCAAAAGTGTCAAGATCAACATTGGAACGATGGCTCAGGCTAAGAGAGCTCGCTGCTCTTTAGAAGACTCCAGTCCTCAGTCCCACATTGTACAGCTCACGACCACCTGTAATTCTAATTACATGAGATCCAACTCCCTCTTTTAGCCGCTCTAGATACCCACATACACACTGTAGTAGGGGACAGTTTGTTTATTCCCGCCTGCTCAGCCCCGAAATAACCACAGAGAAAACTGTATTAATTAAATCACTGCTTGGCTTATTAGCTTCTTATTGGCTACCTCTTACATCTTAATTTAACCCATTTCTGTTAATCTGTGCATTGCCATGTGGCTGTGGTTTACCAGCAAGGTTTCTGCATGTCTGTTCCCAGTGGTAGCTACATGGCATCTCACTGACTCTGTCTTCTTTCTCCCAGCATTCAGTTTAGTTTTCTCCACCAAGATAAGTTCTACATTGCTATAGGCCAAAGCAGTTTCTTTATTCATTAACCAATAAAAGCAACACATAGACAGAAGGACCTCCCATGCCATTTCCCCTTTTCTGTTTAGATAAAAAGGAAGGTTTTAACTTTTAACCTTAACATTGTAAAATTACATATAACATTGACTCTTATAGATGATTATCTATTAACCTATATTTCTTAATTATACATTACATTTTAAAATGAGCAGCATAAACACAATACCTTAATCTAGAGCAGAAATATACACATAATAAAATTAATCTTAACTTTGTATCAATAAACCAAGACCCATACCAATGCAAATCTCTATAGCATATCCCCTTTTAAATGTAAACAAACATTTATAAACAATCATTTAGGGAATTTGGGCATAGTTCCCTCCAAACTGCTTCCTGCTTTTTGTTGGGCAAAGTATTTTGGGGGGCGTTTGTGATGATATTTTAGGGGGTCTTGGTCCATCAAACCACATTAGTCTGAAAGCAATCCACAGGTTCTCATCTTCTGTGGAAACAAAAGCAGAACCTCTTTTCCAAAGCAACATATCCTTAGACTCAAATTCTGAAGTCAAGATACCTTTATTTTGGTTTAACTTAGAGGTCCATACAGTGAAATGTCTCTCATTACATAGCTCCTTAACAGTCAAAAATTCAAAGAAAACACAGTGCTGTGGGGCAATGGTCTTGTACCCTGTCACTTACATTGTATTGCTTTAATAAAATGCTGATTGACCAGTAGCCAGGCAGGAAGTATAGGAGGGGAAACCAGGTAGGAAGTATAGGTGGGGCAATGAGAAGAGAATTCTGGGAAGAGGAAAGATGCAGTCTTTAGTTGTCACACAGAGGAAGAAAAATGAGGATACCTTGCTGATAAAAGGTATCAAGCCACGTGGCTAATACAGACAAGAATTATGGGCTAATGTAAGTTAATATGAGCTAATAAGAGTTAATAAGAAGCCTGAGCTAATGGGCCAATCAGTTTATAATTAATATAGACCTCTGTGTGTTTCTTTTGGGACTAAACGGCTATGGGACCTGGTGGGACATAAACTTTTGTCAATAACACATGTCATACATAAATAAAAATTTGAAGTAAAAAATCAATCTAAAGAGTTACAAAGTAGGGCTGGAGAGATGGCTCAGTGGTTAAGAGCATTGCCTGCTCTTCCGAAGGTCCTGAGTTCAATTCCCAGCAACCACATGGTGGCTCACAACCATCTGTAATGAGGTCTGGTGCCCTCTTCTGGCCTTCAGGCATACACGCAGAAAGAATATTGTATACATAATAAATAAATAAATAAATAAATAAATAAATAAATGAGTTACAAAGTAATTTTAAAAAAAAAGGATGGCTGAGGAGCTATGACATATCAGAGACTAACGAGCCAAGACATTTCAGTGCAACACGGTGTCCTGGACTGATTCCTGGAACAGAAAAGGGATAACTGTGGTTAAACTATAGAACAAAATATGGTTCTATTTAAATAAAATGATTGTGATATAGTTAAGAAAAATGCAATTGCATACAATCCTATTGACCAAAGAAAATACTCCAAAGCATCAGTGGACCAACGCTGTTACAGCCATGAGGGGGAGGGTAAGAACCTGAGGCTTTCTCTATTGTCACAGGTTGTAAGGGAGAGAACAAATATGTAAAGTCATCGAAACAATGCAATCTTGGCATGTGCCTCCACCAGAGGCTCTAAATCCTTGGTCAATGTGTCGTTTCCCCTGCTGACAGTTTAATGGGGCCAAATGTGTACTAGAGCTGCTACCATCCTGTAGAGAGCCGTCCGGAGAAATAGCCATTACAAGATGGCGCCGGCGTTCCTGCAACTTGGAGGTAAAAAAGTCCTTATTTGGTATTGCTGCGTGGGGTTGAGCACCCTTTGCCTACACATGCACAATTGAGCCTTGTCCCTGGTCAATCCCAAGGCCCTGGGCATCAGCAGACTGGTATTCACTAATCAGGACAGTGCCCGAGTCCTTTCAACCTATATAAGCAGATGCCGCTTGGCCTTCGCTCTCTCTCGCTTGCTCTCTCTCTCTCTCTCTCACTTTCTCTCTCTCTCTTCTTGTTCTCTTTCATTTCTTGCTCTCTCTCGCTTCCTGCTCTCCCTTCAACCAAGAGGCTCCAATAAAGTGTGATTTGAGAAGAATCCTCAATTCGTGGCCGTTCTTCCTTGCTGGTCAAGGGGTTCGCCACACCATCCAAGCGAGAATTCCACTGTTTGGCGACATCTGAGAGCCACCAGCAGACAGCTGGTCTCCCTGACCTTTACAGCAAACCAAGGATGTGAGAGCCTGTCATCTCTCTCTTAGGTGGGAGGAAGTCCTCACCCCCACCCTTTTACAAAGCAGTGACGCTGTCAGAGATGTTGGAGAAGCACAGTAAGCATTGCCACTCGGTAGCCAGGAGGGCACCCCTAATGAATGACCTCCAATAAATAGCCAGGAGGGTACCCCTAATGAATGACCTCCACTCAGTAGCCAGGAGGGCACCCCTAATGAATGACCTCCACTCGGTAGCCAGGAGGGCACCCCTAATGAATGACCTCCACTCAGTAGCCAGGAGGGCACCCCTAATGAATGACCTCCACTCGGTAGCCAGGAGGGCACCCCTAATGAATGACCTCCACTCAGTAGCCAGGTGGGTACCCCTAATGAATGACCTCCACTCAGTAGCCAGGAGGGTACCCCTAATGAATGACTTCCACTCCAGTAGAGCCAGATCCTTGACTATACAGAAAAAGAATTTCAGGACAGCACAGAGTGAGTAAGATCGCCACCAAGCCTATGATGACATAAACTCAGTCCCCAGAGTCCACCCTGGAAGAGAAGTGACCTCCACGAGCTGTCCTCTGACCTCCCCAGGTATGCTGTGGCACACAAGCTCCTCTCCCACACAACATACACACATAAAATAAATGGATGTAAAAAAAACCTGGCAAAGGAAATCATAAAGTGCTTTACTGGAACACTGGGTTTAGGGGTGAGAGTAGTACTCACGCAATTGAACTCAAGACCTCCACCATCCTGGCCCTAAGCGAGGATGGTTCGCGTTTAACATCTTGAGGTGCTGTTAGGAGAATAAACATTCTCTGCAGTCAAGGCTGACTTAATCCATTGTGCTGTGGTCTCTTGACGCTCACATGGCAGGAAACACTAACCAGACCTGAAGATGAAGGGTTTTCCCCCCCGCCATGTCTACTTCTTACTCATCTATCTGGCCTCTAGTCTGTGTCATGTGACAAGGATGGATGTAAGTCATTATACATACGTGTGTGTGTGTGTGTGTGTGTGTGTGTGTGTGTGTGTGTGATGCACACTGCACAACACCAAGAGTGAACCCTAAGATGATAGGCTATGGGCAAGGGTAACTTGGGGTACCAATGCAGGTTCACCAGCTGTAATAAGCACACCTCCAGTGGGGGATACACGGCGGAGGGGAAGTACAGGGACGTGAGTACCTTCACTAGCTTTCCTGTCAAACCAAATGCTCTAAGAAATATATCCATTAACTAGCAAAGCTCCCCTCTTTCACCCAGTTCTTACTGAACCATTGTATGTAGCTCAGATGTTAAGAAAAATGAACATCTGCAAAATCCTTTTAAGCAACCAAAAAGCTGGCCAACCAAATCTATACTTAGTTTTGTTGTTTTCTGTGAAACAAGTGTCCCTGTCTGGTCCAGCTAACCAAGCTCCTGCTTCCAGCAGCACCTAGCACTGGATGCAGGACCAGCAGGTTGTGAGTGGCATTGTGAATGCTGAGCCCGCCTTACCAAGCCAGCCTCGGGACCAAGTTCACTCCCCTCTGCTAACCCCCGCCGTCCTCCACACAACCCCGAGGGGGGGGGGGGCATCTCGCAAATACAAGGCCAAGAGTAAGTTGATCCGATAACTTCTCCATGCAGACAGAAGTACCCATGGCCGCTTTCACAAACACAGCTCCTCCCCCAGCCTCTGGACCCTCTGCGGCTTGTCTTTGTCTGTCTAAAGGTGTCTATGTTTCTGAAATAACCATGAGCCATCGTATCGTTATATATTATTTCAGTTTATTAAATAATGAAACAAGGTTTATGCCACACAATCCAACCATGTATAAAGAGCTTGAAATAGAAAAGCTTGTGGGAAATGTATATTCTTTACATAACACTTACTATTTACAGCACATGAATAAATACAGAGAACGGGAACCGTTTTCACATTCCAGATCACAGCATCAATAACACAATTTCCTTCAACTTAGTTACAAAAACTCGAAATAGTTTTCACCATACATAAGCAAAATGCCAAGCAGAAGTGTTACGGCCACATCCACATCACCAAGTGCTTTAAGTTGTCTCTGGGTTAGGGGCATCAACGACTGTGTGAACTCCAGGGGATAGGAAAAGCAGGTGAAGACACTGTCATATAAGGCACTTAATTTAGTAAGTTGACAACCCCCTTGTCTTAAAATACTGCAATCCTGCCTGAAAACATGCTGAAGTTTACAGTGAAGCTTAAGTTCCTTTTCATCCAGGTACAGACACATACATAATTTGAATAAATTGATAATGCTATCTGACATTTACTCTTTACATGATCTTCAAAATGGACCTGTTACTACTTTTTTTTTTTTTTTTTTTTTTGCTTTTTCCGCCAGTCGGTGGTGGTACACGCCTTTAATTCCAGCACTTAGAAGACAGAGGCAGAGTTCCAGGACAGCTAGGGCTACCTGTTTCGAAAAAACAAAAATAAACAAACAAAAAAAGTGGTTTGAGAAAAATGCAGCCCTTTCAACTCAAAGCCTCTGTGGAGTCTATCACTTATGGGAATGTTCAGGTCAGAAGGGAAACAGCTCTACTACACCGCGGAGGAGCCAGGCCAGCAGCAGCGTGGGTCCTCCACTGCCATCTAGTGGCGTGCTGGGGAGTTGTGAACTTTCTTCATCTTTAAGCCATCTGCTCTCTGAGACGATTTCGTCTTAGCTTTTACTTTTAGAAATCAAACCCAGCTTCGCTAGCTGTTTTCCAAAGGAAACATTAATAAAGAAGCCAATGTGAAAATGTACGAGAGAAAAAAAGCACTCAGCCATCAGGGGAAGGAAATCCTGCACGCTTCTGCCTCGTGGTCCTAAGGGAGAGGTGAGGAACACACCTGGCATCGGCCCGGCTTGGTGTCCCAGTTAGCACTGAGACTTCCACAGGGTACACCTGAAGGGACTGGGCTCCCTTCTAGAAATAGACAGCTCTTGGCTCTTAGAGACATCTCCTGCTTTGAAAAGTATAAGAGGTTTTTATCAGTCTCAGAAGAAATAAAAAAAATAGGTAGCCGGGCGCTATATACCTGTTATCGGAAAGGAGATAAACAAAGGCGCTAAAGTCATCAGTTTGGGTTGGGGCAGGGCTCAGTGTGCAGCAGATACCCAGAATGCACAAGGTTTGATTCCCAACATCACAAAAATTAAAGGGGAAGAAAGAAAATAAGTCTTTTTTTTTTCAATTTCAAGGAAATTAACTAGGAAATCTCGGATAAAGGCTTTGAAACAAACCCACCCTGAGCTAAAGGAAAGGCTAGAAGCCTGGAGGCACCCCTCTTCCGATCATTAGCAACTAAAAACCACCTGCAACAAGGCCTTCGGTCAGGAGAACCCCATGGGACCGCAACTGTTTACGTAAACACACTCCCATTTCATGTGGCAGCCTCAGTAGTTTTCCCTTCATCTGACACCGACTTCACTAAGCATGATTAGCCCCATGTGATCAACATGGAAAAAATAAACTTTGCTAAAAAATCACAGGGCAAATGGCTAACGTTACCTCACAAAGGTCGAGCCTTCGAAGGCTTAACTTCACTTACTGTAAGAGAAGGATTCTGCCCGATCAGAAACTATAAAGCAGTGGATGTTCTAAAAATTTACATCCTGCACTGACAAGGTCAGTGCACCGCACAGGTCTAGACCTTAAAAGTCCAAATGTCAAATCTCTTCAGCTGACGGGAAACTAAAGCTCTCAACGGTCAAGGAATAATACTAGCCAAGGTGTGTGTGGGGGGGGGAGGCACTCATTCACTCCAGAGCGTTCACACCACCCTCCTGGGTCTCCATCACAGCTGAAGTCCAGAGGCAGCAAGGCGGCTCTCCCAGAGGAGAGCTGCACTCGGTCCTGATTTCCCTGCAAGTTTTCTACAGCAAGAAACATGTATTCTGTACATTATCTCGGATGTCAAAGGGCACTTCCACGGTAAAAACCATTACACGCGAGGACATGTTACGGTTTAGTCTCTGAACACGGACGAAACAGCGCCCGGTGCCAACGCATGACAATCTGAAGACCCGGTCTTCACCGTCCTACTGCTCCCTCAACCTAGAAGCCGTGATGAGCTGTGCGGTGAGAAGCAGCCAGAGGCACAGGAGGTTCTACCATCGCGGATGCCGGCGTTTCAGAAGAATGTTTCACGTAGCACAGACTGGTCACAAGTCCAGTTTCTTCAGCTGCTCATATGTCAAGAAGAACTATGGTTATGGGTTAAGGATGCCAAGAAAATGCCATGTTACCAAGCCCGACACATAGAGCGGACAGACAACTTCGCTTCTCTGCTGGTCAGCATCTGCAGACAGCTTGCCAAAGGACACCATCCCACTTGAGTTCCATGCCCAGTCTCCGGCTGCCTCCCCAGGTGTTGTCCAAGGTCAGCTCAGGACAGAGAGAGCAGAGTTGAGACCTACAAACCCCTCAGCCTCAGGCTCCTCAGGAATGATATCCACTCTCATCAGCAAAGACCTCACTGGGCAGAGTACAACAGAGCCCCAGGAAGCTCTTCTCTGGCATTTTTCCATCAACAAAGAAAGCAGAAGCCAACCCCAGCACCCCTACCTCGAACGTCTTTCCATGTCTGCTGACCTGCCCCTCCTGATCTCATACCTGGATGTCACTTCTAGACCTAAGTCCTGCCCATGTTCAGTAAGTGGCCTACAGTAAACATGCTTACATACTGACGGCACCACATCCTTCCCCGGGAGAGCAGGAGACATAGAAATCGCAGCACTCTGGAATTACAGATGGCTGTGAGTCACCATGTGGGTGCTGGGACTTGAACTCAGGTCCTCTGGAAGAGACGTCCATGCTCTTAACCACCCATCCATCTCTCCAGTCCAGAGTGGCTATTTCTTAGAATCAGAGGAACTCAAAAGGACAAGAACTTACTTCTACGTTTTAATTTATAAACAAAACAAACAATATTCTTTAGCTATAGCCCTTTTTAGATCAACCACAACAAAAAAGGATACAATGATATTCCAAGGACCAAGGCGCAACCAATTTGGCCAAAAACCTTTATATAGAGCAAAAAAACCTTCATTCTTCCATGTCTATTAAAAAGAAAACAAAAAAGCATTAACTTCCCATTTTTCAGTTATATCAAAAACATCAATAATGTGTCAAACTGATATACTCTTTAGCTGGAATTAAATCCCAAAGTTGAGGATGCCACCCCACCCCCAACCTAAATGGTGGAAAAGAACTGAATCCCACAGTTGTCCTGACTGAGCCTGGGGAAACCCAAGCCTGCCAAAGTGGTCTTTCCCCTCAGTTGTGGCAAAGAGCAGCAGCCCACCCTGCCCCAGCACAGTCCACTGTAAGGTTGAGAGTGCTGATGTACAACCAGCTTGTGTGTTGTGCCCCTAAAGGCCATGTGTCACATAGGAGCTGCAGTTCCCAACTGAATGACCCGCTGGCTGCTGGCTGCTGAAGGCAAGGGATTCAGAAGATGGGGAAATGCAGCCACTGGTCTTTCCAATCTAGATGCAAGGATACAGAGAAACCAAATGCTTCAGTGGACTCAACAGGCTTTGGGTGATGTCATTTACAAACTACAATTTTTGTTTGTTTGCTTTTTGAGACAGAGTAAATAGACATAAAATAAACGTAATTTTAAAAAAAAATGTAAAGCAGGGAGCTGAAGAGATGGCTCAGTGGCTAAGAGCACTGGCTGCTCTTCCAGAGGTCTGTGTGTTCAATTCCCAGTAACCACATGGTGGCTCACAGCCATCTATAATGGGATCGATCAGACGCCCTCTTCTGGCCTGCAGGCATACATGCAGAAACAGCATCACACACACACACACACACACACACACACACACAGATATAACACACACACACACACACACACACACACACACACACACATATATAGTTTATATTTACATAAACTATTTTTAAGATGCAAAGCAATCCTTAAAGACTACGAAGCATTAGCATCATTGCCAAGACCTGGAGCAAGCGTCCCTGAGCTTTGGCCGCTGGTGACCGAGTGGGGAAGCTGAACACTTTCCTCTGCTAGAACCAGTACTCCAAGCTGTGGTCGGATTGATGCACTCCTGTGAGTAACATCTGGACGGGACACTTACTCCAGCTGACCCAAGCAGGAAGCGGTCCACTTTGGAAAGGGAGAGTTTTGTGACCACAGAAAATATTACTATTTTAGCAACCTTCCTAGCAGGGAAAAAGTATGTGGAAATTTATAAAAATTCATTTAGCTCTTGGACCCTAGTGTGGTTGAAACCATGACAACCAAAAATGTCATGTCATACCAGGCATGGTGGCACATGCCTTTTATCTCAGTAGAGGCAGGCGGATCTCGGTCTACACAGCAAATTCCATGCCTACCAGGGCTGCATAGCTAAGACCCTGTCTTAAAAATTAAAAAAAGAGTATATGTTATATGTGTTATATGTATCCCCAAGGGCTCTATGGCCTTACCCATCATCATAGCTTAGTTACTTCAATGTGTGGGGAGGTGGGGGGGGTTTGAGTGTGTGTGTGTGTGTGTGTGTGTGTGTGTGTGTGTGTGTGTAGCTCACAATCCTGCACAGACACTCATTCTCACCTGCAATAGGCAATCCACGGTACCTTTGTAGCCAGAGCACCCGCCATCGCGGAGGACCCTCTGATTCATCATGCGTGTCCTCACAACATCAACAGGGTTGGAGGCCAGAGCCCCCACCAGGCCACAGGTGAAGCTTGACCTACGGAGAAAACAGTATTGGAAACGACAAGGGCAGCTACACAGGCGGGAAACAAGACAGCTTCCTCCCAAATGACCTTCAAGGAAATACAGAGCTACCTGAGCAGGACCAAGAATGAGGTCCGCGGGACTGGAGATGGCTCATCCGTTAAGAGCACTTGTTCTCACAGAGGAACCAGGTTCAGATCCCAGCACCCACATGGTGACTCACAGCCACACTAACTCCAGTTCCAGGGTACTGAATCCCTGATCTATGCAGGCACCAGGCACATACACAGTGAATACACCCCCCCACACACACACACACAGGTAAAACACTCATACATGTAGAAAATAAGTCTAAAAATCAATAAAGCACAAGACCCCCTCACTGCGTATCCCCCACAGGGTCTTACGTTCTAGTAGACTGTCAGTCTCACTAGACCAGGCTACCACAGGCCGCACTGAGTTTTGTTGCTAAACTGAGTTGTATCTAGCCAATACCTGTCTGTGTACCTAAGTAACTACAACTTAATTTATTTAACTTACTGAGTTGCATAAAGCATAAAACAGAATGGTTACACTCTCATTTTCTTGCTGAAAAATCCTAAACTGAACTTCGTGGAGATCATCTATAGGCCATTTCCTCTTATCTGGCCTAAACACTCCTGCACACACTGCAGATGTGGCTCTATGAACCACTTTTCACTGTGAGGGCTACTCTGTTCCTCAACAGTTCCTTTTCTTTTTTGGCTTTTTGAGACAGGGTTTCTCTGTGCAACAGCCCTGGCTGTACAGAGTTGCTCTGCAACTCACAGAGATCCTCCTGCCTCTGCCTCCCAAATGCTGGGATTAAAGGCGTGTGCCACCACGGCCTGGCTCCTAAATGTTTCTTCTGTTCAAACTAAACACCACTGAACTGAACTCTGCTGCAGTTTTATTTTATCAGAATCAGTCAGCTCAGAGATTTCCCACCTCAGCGTTCCTCACTTGCTGACTCGATCATTCTTTGTTGTAGGGGTTGTTTTGTTTACACTAAGGTTTGTCCATATTTGCAGCATACAAACTCTGCCCACTAGATGTAAATAGTGCTCCCCCTAGTGGTGAAATACAGCACACTGGCCACATTTGCCTAAACGTCCCTGTAGAGATCCCTACAGTCCCTGAGTCCACCAATGGATTAAATGATCTATGCTGTGTTCGTATAAGCGTGATATCCTGTAGTTATTAAATACAAGTGAAGGGCAGAGAGATGGCTCAGCAGTTAAGAGGGTATAGTGCTCCTATAGAATCCAAGTTAGATTCCCAGCACCCATATCCGAGTTCATGACGGCCTGAACTCCAGCTCTGGAGCTCTGACATCATCCCTCTGACCTCCGCAGGCCTTTGCACCATGTGCACAGACACAAACACATACATGAACAATCAGAAATAGCTAAAGCTGTAAGAACAGACATGGAAATATATTTGGGATGTGCTGTCACACTTTTAAAAGAAATGTAATAAAAACATTATCTTACTTACTTATAAACTACATGGGATGTTTGTGTGCAAACGCACTGTTTGCATACATACAGTTACATATCTGTTAACAATAGCTACCTATGTGAAGGCATAAAGACTTTTATCTTGTTGTGTTTGACTTCTGTATTACGATTTTTCAAATAAGAAAGTACAATACTATTAAATACTTTCTCTAAAACTTCCATAAATTTATACAAAAATTTCACCCTAAGGTAATGCATACCTAAAATATTAATTTTTATTTTCTTTCAAGACAGCATTTCTCTTTGTAGCTCTGGATGTCCTAGAACTCACTCTGTAGACCAGGCTGGCCTCAAACTCACAGAGATCCACCTGCCTCTGCCTCCCTGGTGCTGAGATTAAAGGCAAGCGCCAAGACCGCCCAGTTAAAATATTAAATTTTAAAATCCATAAACATACAGAAAATGCGTAGAGACGGTGTCTCCCATCAGGCCTGAGAGTATCAGGTGCTTCTTGGTGATGTCATAGACTGGAAGCTCCACACCAACAACAATGGCAGCCCTCTGAGCTGTGAGGGACACGCCCTGGGTAGAAACATGAATAGGAAAATTATTTTCACATCCCTCCAGGGAACGCCAGGGTACGGAGCTCTATCCCACCCGTTTCTAGTTCTGTCATCAGGTAATAGAGGGGAGTAAGAGTAAAGCACCACCAAGTCAGAACTCAAGAGGCAATTCCTGGCCAGACCGTGGCTTGGACAGACCATTCTCAAAGCCTCCAGTTCCTGCCACGCTGAAGGGTCACACCCATGAGTCAGGACTCATTGGGCTCCTAGGAGATAGTACTCTACATCGGCACTTGCCTGAACACAGACTTCACCTAAGCCATGAAACTGTGTAGGTCAATCACCAGTGGGATGGGGACCCGGGGACATCTAAGAACCCAAATAAATGAAAAGCAAACATCCAATAAACAAAAAGTGCTCGGCTTTCACAAAACCCCTTGTGTGCACTATCTGAGGGGTAGCTGGAAACCTTCACGTACTCCTCACGTTCCATTTTAAAGGTAAGTTAAGAAGGAAGGCCTCTTCAAAGGGAGAAAGTGGCGTTCTTACTCCATGACGACACTCAGATTAAAACAGTGAGGAGGAGGGATGGGAAAGTCAGCTGTGGCTTCGGCGCTCCAGGCTCACCTTCCACAGTCCTCTGGTCCCTTCCTGCTGGTAGATGTTAATGAAGTTGCCTATCATTCCTCCTTGAACAGCGCTGTTCTGGGCTTGCATTCGGATCTACAGATCATTGAAAGAAGTAACATGAGAAGGAGACTGGCCTATTCTCCACCCCTCAGCACCAGAGACCTAAAAAACCTCCCATCAGGTGCTTAATAGTGCATGGGAAAACCAGTATAAATGTGACTGTGATGCTCCCTTCAAATACCCTCGGCAGACCAATGGCGTAGGTCCCTGTGATGCTCCCCCCACACACCTAGGCAGACCAATGGCATTAAGTCCCTATGATGCTCCCTTCATATACCCTCAGCAGCCTAATGGCATAGGTTGGTCCTTAGCAACTCCAGTGCTAAAAAGGACTAAGCAGCATCACTAAGTATTATCTAGGATTTTGTTACGTTTTAGGTCTTTTCTGTTTTTTTTTTCTATGTCTCTGTCTCTGTCTCTGTCTCTCTTTTTTTTTGGTTGTTGTTGTCTTTTGGGAAGGTCAGGCATAGCCTATTTCTGTCTAGGAATTAATAAGAAGGAAAAAGAGAGAGGATTTTTTTTTTTCTGACACAGGGCTTCTCTGTGTAATCCTGGCTGCCCTAGAGCTCACTTTGTAGACCACTCTGGCTTCAAACTCAGAGTTGCACTAGCTGGGATTAAAGGCGTGTACCACCACAGCCAGCTAGCGAGAGTGATGTTAATATTAAAGATTTACTATAACCAATGAGAGTTACCCAGTGCAAGCCTAGTTCTTAAATTGCTCCAAGCCACAATTATTTCCAACTTGTCAAAGGTATGCAAATAAGCCATCGACAGGATGCTATTATACTTTCTTACACTGAACTTTCACAGTTCACAGAGCCCAGGAGAGCCACGTGACTGACTGAGACTCCACAGTTATGTGGAATGTTCAATGGAATTCTTTGTCTTAGGAGTAAAGAGGTGGGCTGGGGAGGTGGCCCAGTGGTTACAAGCACTGACTGCTCTTCTAGAGGACCCAAGTTCAATTCCTAGCACCCATATGGTAGTTCAACTGTCTGTAACTCCAGTCCCAGGGAGGGGTATCAGGCATCCAAGTGGTGTACAGACATACATGCAATACCCATTAAGTAAATCAGAGGGAAAAGCAGAATGAAGGACTTCTCACTTTAAAAAAAAAAAAAAATCAGTATCTTATATTTGTTAAGGGAACAAATATATTGACACTAACTTCAAAAGGAACTGTTCCTGCCTCACTAACTTGGCAAAACTAACCAAAATACAGACACCACCTTCCCTTTTTAAGAAATTAATAGGAGCCAGGCAGTAATGGCGCACACCTTTAATTCCAGCACTGGGAGGCAGAGGCAGGCCGATCTCTGTAAATACAAGGTCAGCCTGCTCTACAGAGTTCCAGGACAGTCAGGACTGGCCCACAGAGAAACTCCATCTCAAAAAAACAAAAGAAGTTAATAGGAGAGCTGGGCAGTGGTGGCACATGCCTTTAATCCCAGCACTCAGGAGGCAGAGGCAGGTAGGTCTATCTCTGTGAGTTGGAGGCCAGCCTGGTCTACAGAGAGGACAGCCAGGGCTACACAGAGAAACCTTGTTGGGGAAAGAAAAAGGAAAAGGAAGAAAGAAATGAATAGGCATATGGATCTACGAGCTACCCCTTGCCTTTATGGCAGGTATGAAGTATTGTGCACCCAACATGTCATAGTTTGATGCTTGTCAGCACCTATCAGAGTGAAGGTTTCCAGAAGGCAGGGTCCTCCCCTGGTTCACTCAGGATGCTATCACACAGTCCAAAGCATAGAATCTTGTTAAATCATGGGACTGGAAAGGGGAGCTTAAGACGGCATTCATGTGGGATTTTAATTACTCATCATCCCTTTGCCTTAATCCCTTAATAGATCAGTGTCTATTCAGTGTGTCCTCAACAGTTTGTTAATGTGTTGCTTCTAACTGTTATAGGTGACATATTTTCATTCGTATTTCCTGGCATAAAGGTAGTAGGAAAGAAAACATGTTCAGAAATATTAATGAGGGGTCTGGAGAAGCAGCTCAATGGCAGAGAGCACTGGGGGCTTTTGCAGAGGACCTGGGTTCGGTTCCCAACACCTACATGATGGCTAACAATGATTTGTAGCTCCAGTTCTAGAGGATAAGATGCCCTCTTCTGGCCTCTGCAGATGCTGTACACATGGTACACAGTCATGCATGCAGACAAAACACCCACACAAATAAAATAAAGAAATAAATACATCTTTAAAAAATATTAACATGAAGCCTAGATTTATGCAATTTTGTATAGCTGGTGCATTTTTTCAATGAACCAACACAACAGAGGAGATTTTCTGTAAAAAACAAAAACAAATATATATAGACAAAAGGTTTCTTACTGCTTAATCACCAAAATTTTTATCTTTAAAATGAACTCTATGCAATAGCAAGCTCGTCTGTATCAGTGGAAATCCACTTAGTGACTTTTTAAAGGTTTGAAATTTAAGACGCATAGTGTAGTGGTTTGAAGAAAGAAAATGGCCCCTATAGGATCACAGAGAGTGGTACTATTAGGAGGTGTAGCTTTGTTGGAGGAAATGTGTTACTGGGGCAGGCTTTGGGAGTTCTCAGAAGCTCAAGCCAGGCCTAGTGTCTCAGTCTCTTCCTGCTGCCCACAGATCCATATGCAGAGTTCTCAGCTTCTTCTCCAGCATGCCACTATGCTTCCTGTCATAATGATGGACTAAACCTCTGAACTGTAAGTCAGCCCTAATTAAATGTTTTCCCAGTTTCAAAAATAAAAATGTGGAATGTGCCTCTATGATGCAGCCAGACTTACTTTCAAAACGTCAGTTGGATTAGCAATAGCTGAGGATATGACTCCAGACAGAATTCCACACACAACATTGACCAGCAGGGTTTCATCTATAAACAAAGAAACAGTGGTTGGCTTTTTGTCCGCAGAGTTTTCCCTGTAAATGACTCCAATATAAATTAATCCATTATACTCTATCTGCTCACCTAAACATAATGTATGCTGTGAGTCAAGCAGTTAATTTAAATAATGATCTACTACTCCTCTTTGTTTTTCCAAATGGGCATGTAGTGCAACTGCCTTGTATATTCACGTCGATCCCACAGACACACGCCGATCCCACAGGCACGCGCCGATCACAGAGACGCGCTGATCTCACAGAGACGCGCTGATCCCACAGGCACTCGCCGATCCCACTGACACGCGCCAATCCCACAGGCACGCGCTGATCACAGAGACACGCGCTGATCTCACAGACACACGCTGATCCCACAGACACACGCTGATCCCACAGGCACGCGCCGATCCCACAGACACATACTGCTATCACAGCTCTTAGAGTAAGACACACACTCATTTAGTGCCTTCTTGAAAATGGTTGATAATTCAATTTCAGAAAATTTCCAGTTGACAAGTGGAAACGGTACGGCATGTAACTCAGCATTTGAACATCAAGACATATGACTGCTCCCACCCCTAGCAAGGGAGCGCCTGACAACTGAGGACTTCTGGGGTAGGGAGAAGGCTGCTTTCCTTTAAGAGAACAGATGGTCTTTGGTAGGTCGGCCACACCCCAGTGGATGGTCTCACACCCTTGAGTACACAGCAGCACAAATTAGTCTCTGGGTCATAAAGAAATGACCATGATGTTGGGAGAGGGTGAGGAGGCGGGGGTGGGTCTGGGAGGAGGATATTTCAAACACAAGTGATTAAAACACTTGTACAAAGGTTCTTTCTCTCCGCTCAGGTCAAGCACAGTTTGTTTACTCTTCGTATCCAGTCTTTTCCTGGTTGGAAAAGTCGGAAATTAACCAAATAATTAAAACACCTTCCAAAATGTCCGGACTAAAGCAACTACGAACCCCCTGACTGTCCCCAGGAAACGGGTTGCCACCCACCTTCTGGGCGTTCCACAGCTAATCGCTTCAAGCTCTGGTAAGTGCCAATCTTGATGGTGCCGTAGGAAGCCTGGCGCAGCATCGCAGGGGCAATCCTGTCCCATCCGCATGCAGGCAGACAAAAGCCAGCCTACACGTCAGAAAATCTCAGAAAGACTCAAGCGCAAAGACAATCTACAGCTAAAATGCCTCAGGTGTCTCTATGTAGTCTTCCTTTCCTAGGAGCTCAATAAGTAGACCAGGCTAGCCAGCCTTAAACTCACCCACCTCTGCGTCCCTAGTGCTGAGATTAAAGTCATGTGCCACCACACGAGTTTAAGATGGATTTCTTAACATCGAAAAGGTAACAAAAACACAGTGGTTCTTGAAATCAGAGGCAATTTTAAGATCCCTGAATGAAATCCTGAGACCCCACACTTACCTTTGATGAAAATTAAATATGGAGCTAATATGCCCACTCAAATTAAAATGTGTAGTCATTCCCTTCTGAGCACAAAGAACCCAGGAAGGCAGGTACACGGTCAGGTTATTTCTTCTCTCTCTTTCTCTCTCTCTCTCTAAGTTGTTCCCAATACAATATCAAGTTCAAGCCAGAATCAGCAAACACAAACCAAATTTCTCCATCCTAGGCACCACCCTCCCACGCTCTGGGCAACCAGCTGTGTTATGTTCATAGCCCCAGGCTCTTTCCCCAGCTCTTCCTGGAGGCCCTATCTCCTCTATGATTACAAACTGAGCCCCGCCCCCCTCAAGGGGACAGACAGATCACGTGGCAGTCTCCACGGAACAGCTCGTGTCACCTCTGCTGCTCCTGACCGGCTTTGCTATCACTTCTCTACACCACAGCATCCCACGGACTCCCTCTGGGAGGTCCCCCAGATCCTCCCTTCTTCCTCCCACGGCTCCGTGCTCATCCTCACACAGGATTCCTACATCCACCTTCGGCACAGCTCTGCAGCGTCTCCAGCTGCTGCCTTGGACGGTGTGATAGCATCCTGAATGAGCAAGGGGAGGACCCTGTACCCACGAGAAAGGGCCCACAGTTAAACACAAACACACAGAAGCAGACTCACCCAGAATACAGCGCCCTCAACCCTTCTTCTCGACCTATCCTCATCAGCGCGTGCAACATCCCGCGATATCTGATTTCTCGGAAGTTGGCATCGTTTGTCTGGCCTTGGATCTGGAGCCGGGTCTTGGTTAAATCAATTGGAAACGTGCCTTAAAGTGTTAAAGAAAAGAGGTTGGTGATTTAGCTCGGTGCTCGGTGGTAGAGTGCTTGCCTAGCAAGCCCAAGCCCCTGGGGGGGGGGGGTCTTAAAGAAAAAGAAAAAATATCACCCTGAAAAAAAGAGATCTCTTGCAAAGACACTTGCCTTATAAGCATAAAGACCTGAATTTGATTCCCAGCCTCCACATAAAAAAAGGTGGGCATGATGGAACACTCTGGGGATGTGAAGACAGGGGCTTGCTTGCTGGCCAGGCAACCTAGTGTACTTAGCAAGTTCAGGGAAGTGAGAGACTTGCCTGAGTGGGGGGGGGGGGGGGGGGGGAGGGAAGGGGGGGAGGGGGGGAGGGAGGGAGGGAGGCAGGCAGGCAGGCAGGCAGGCAGAGAGGGAGGAGGAGGGTGGCCCCAAGAAACAACTCCCAAGGTTGCCTGCTGGCATACAGACACACACACACACTTGCACACATGATATCAGCAGCCAGGCACATGGTATGTACACTATAATTCTAGAACTCACGAAGCAGAGAGGAGATTAATTTGAGACTACACAGCAGCATCATGTCTCAAACAAACGAACAAACAAATGAAAAGACAAACTATGTAGTCTTTTATATTTAAAAAAGGGGGGAGGGACCAAAATATTAACAAACCCCCAAAATGAATAAACATCGTTTGTTATTTTTGTACTGAGACAAGGTCTTGTGTTGCCCATCCTGGCTTCCAACGTGCTATGTTGCTGAAGCTGACCTTGAACTCCTAATCAGCTTGCCCCCACCTCCCAAAATGCCAGGGTTACAGGTGTGTGCTCCCACACTCAGTTAAACATCTACTTTTATAGAAAGCTGAGGAGGCTGTACCGCTAGAACAGATAAGCAAAATCATTCACCCAAAGAGGAAACCCACTTACAACTCCAAATAACTGTATTGTTTATGTAAGAAAAGGCTAAGATTGGGTTCGGTGATTAAATAGAGGTTTATAAAAGTCGATGGAATTTTCACTTACCAAGAAGAGTTTATAGTCTAAAATGAAACCTGATGAGGCGGGTAAGGATGCTTGCCACCCGACCTGACCATCTACCCACAAATACAGAATCCATCTTCACACGGCAACTCTGGCTCAGTAAGTCCAGGCTAAGTCATTCAGGGAGAAGACTCAGTCTCTCAAACCCTTCCGTTCATTTGCAGAACGTGGGTAATCAGGTGCCCTGCAAGTCAAGGGAGTCAGGGACATGTCCAAGCCAGCACAAGACACTCAGGAGCCAAGCTATCAACAGGTGCTTGACAGAGCATGGACACAGGAGCAATGCAGTCAGAACCCAGCTGATGATGTCAGAGCGGAATGCAGGCCATGCAAAAGCTAGAAAGTGCTGGAGCACAGTCAGCCTGCTCTGGTTCAGAGAAGTCCCTGGAGCGTGCCAAACTTCTCTGCAGCCAAATGGGTTAATAATGGCAATGTGGAGGAAAGGGCACGGTAACAGGGCCAAACACTCCAAATGGGAGTCTTGAAACTATCTGTTCAACTTTCTCCCTCCTGCATGTTAAATCCCAAACTGCTAATAAGTAGCCAAAGACCAATCTGTCTAAAAACATATCCTGAGAACACATGTCTCCAGACTGAGGTCATTATTTCACAAGCTTGCATTCTGCACTTGAACGCCAAGCACACCACACATCAAACTTGACATCACGCAAGGCTTCAGCGCCCAGGGCTCCTTACCGCATTCGGCTGTGATGGAGGCCAGCCCTCCATACACAAAGGGCTTCCAGTTGAGGGCTGACATTCTCCTCGTCTGGTCTTCTTGGAGTTACGCAAACATTGCCTCCCACAGGTCTTCCTCCAGGTTTTGTCCTGAATACAAAAGAGAAAAAGGTTCAAAACCAAAAGTCTTAGTCACTGTTCTCTTGCTGTGCAGAGACACCATGACCATTGCGACTCTTACAAAGGAGAACGTTTAATTGGGGTGGTTTGCTTGCAGGTTCAGAGATTTAGTACAGCATCATCATGGTGGGGAGCATGGTAGAATGTATAACACTGGAGCAGTAGCTGAGAGCTACATCCTGAATTATAGGCTAAGACAGAAAGTCTTAGGTGTGTGGCAGGGGCTTTTGAAACCTCAAAGCCCACCCCCAGTGACACACTTCCTCCAACAAGGCCACACCTCCTAATCCTTCTAATCCTATCAAACAGTTCCATTCCCTGGTGAGTAAACCTTCAAATGCAGGAACCTATAAGAATAATTATAAGGAATTCCTTATAATTCTTATTCAAACCACCACACATAACTTCCCACACAGCTTCTGTTTCAAACTCTATCCAAGGGTTTTATTCAGAGAGCCCCCAAACAAATGAGGGAAACTTTGCCCACGTTCTAGGCCCTGTGTGGTCTGAATGAAAATGGCCCCATAGCAGTTTCTCTGAAAATTGGGAGTCAACCTACCTCAGGATCCAGCAATACCAACCACTCTTGGGAATATACCCAAAAGATGCTCAATCAAATACACAAGCATTTGTTCAACTATGTTCATAGCAGCACTATTTGTAATAGCCAGAACCTGGAAACAATATAGATGCCCCTCAACAGAAGAATGGATAAAAAAAGTGTGGCAATCTACACATTAGAGTACTACTCAGTGGTAAAAAACAATGACATCTTGAATTTTGCATGCAAATGGATGGAATTAGAAAACACTACCAAGAGTGAAATAACCCAGACCCAAAAATATGAATATGGTATGTACTCATTAGTGGATACTAGCCATGAACAAAGGACATTGAGCCTATAGTTTATGATCCCAGAGAAGCTAAGTAATAAGGTGAACCCAATGAAAAACATATATAGATCCACCTGCAAATTGGAAGCAGACAAGATTGCCTGATAAAATTTGGGAGCATGGGGCTGGAGGGTAGAAGGAAGGGGAGAAGGAGAAGAAGAGGGGAGAAGGGGGGGTTGGGGAGAGCTTGAAGGAATGGGATAGTTGAGATGGAGGAAGAACAGAGATGAGAGCAAGGAAAGAGATATCTTGATTGAGGAAGGCATTTTGGGATTAGTAAGAAACCTGGCTCTAGAAAAATTTCCAGGAATCCACAAGGATGACCCCAGCTAAGACCCTAAGCAATAGAGAAGAGGGTGCCTGAACTGGCCTTGCCCTCTAGTCAGACTGATGATTATCTTAGATATCACCATAGAATCTTTGTCCAACAACAAATGGAAACAGAGGCAGAGACCCACATGGAGCACTGGACTGAGCTCCCAAGGTCCAGTTGAAAAGCAGAAGGAGGGAGAGTACGAGCAAGGAGGTCAAGACCATGAAGGGTTTACCCACTGAGACAATGCGCCTGAGCTAATGGGAGCTCACCAATTCCAAATGGACTGGGAATGAACAAGCATGGGATCAAACTAGTCCCACTGAATGTGGTTGACAGTTGGGGCAATGTCAATGGCACTGGGCTTTGTATCTACTGCATGTACTGGCTTTTTGGGATCCTAGTCTATTTGGATGCATACCTTGCTCAACCTGGGTATAGTGAGGAGGGCCTTGGACTTCCCACAAGGCAGGGTGCCTTGCCCTCTCTTAAGACTGGAGGGAGGTGGGGGGGAGGATGTGTGAAGGGAGTGAGAGGAGGGGAGTAAGTGGGAATTTGGATTGGTATTTTTTTAAGTAATAAAATAAAATAAAAAAGAAAAGAAAATGGCCCCAAACATTCATAGGGAGTGGCACTATTAGGTGTGGCCTTGTTGGAGGAAGTGTGTCACTAGGGGTGGGGTGTGTCAGTAGGTTTCAAATGCTCAAGCCAGACCTAGTGGGGCTCTCTCTTACTGCTGCCTGTAGATCCACATGTAGAACTCTATGCTCCTTCTCCTGCACCATGTCTACCTGAAAGCCACCATGCTGATAATGTGCGTGCTATGATGATAAATGACTTCTGAAACTGTAAGCCAGCCCCAGTTAGATATTTTCCTTTATAAGAGTGGCTGTGGCCATGGTGTCTCATCCCAGCAATAAAACCCTAAGGCAGGTCCCAAACGAGCACTCTCTAATCTTACTTCTTCAGGGGCCTCCGCCTACATTCTGCCAGGCTGACACCCTGATACGTGTGTGCACTTTCAGCACAGCTCAGAAGAGACTGCTTTCTTATTTTACCTTAGACCCCTAATTCCTCATGTAATAAAGATTTGCTATTCATTTGCCATTGTCTTAGTGAGTCTCTAAAGGGAAACATTGCATTTCCCTCGGGAATACGAAAATTAGAAACCGCTATAAACCTAGATCAAATAAAAACGCCTCATCATGAACAAAATCCTCTTGAAGCGTGACTCGGTAAATGCCCGCTCACTCCCTCCAGACTGTGTTATAAGCACAGAGGCATGAAGGAAAATAGACGCAGACCTCGGTCAGAAGTACACTTGGTTCCTGCTGACCTCCTCTGCTAAGTATTTTCTACACCAACACCATCACCAGAGCAGCCAGTCCAGCACAGTGTTACTTAAATTTATTTTTGAACCATTTCATACATACATACACACACACACACATAATGTATTGTGATCCTCTTCCCACCCTTTATCCTCTGAACCCTCTCTTCCCACCTAATTTCCCAGTGGCTACATCACTTCCCTTCTAGCACCTTCCCTTCTAGCAGCTATTAATAGACACTACTTCTTCAGAAAGGGAAGGGGCTTCAATACCTCCTCCTCTATGCATGATGGGAAGTTGAGAATCTACTGTATCCATAAAGGCTAGATGTTTATGGCTGCAACAGCAATGTCATATCTGGATGGCTATGTTCTGTGATATTCTTCACCATCTGGCCCAGAATTTACTGGTCCAGCCAGGGAGGTTGGCCATCGAGTCCCAAGGATCCACCCATCTCCACTTCCCCAGCACTGGGCCTGCACGCATGCATCACTCCACCTGCCTTTTCACATGGGTCTGGGACGCAAACTCGGACTCTTGGCAAACATTTCACCAACCGAGCTGTCTCCACAGCCCTCCCCACTGTAAAACAAGCATCTCTGAAATGAACTGAAGGCCCTTACTCTAGTCGCCAAAACTCTCACTATCCCAAAAGGCTGCTCCCACTCCTGCCCAGCTTCTCCATGACTGGTTCCCAGGAGAGCGATGCATACATCCATCAGGCACCTGTGTGGAATACAGGCTTCCTTAGAAGTTCAGCCTTGGGTGCAGACCAAGCATCGTGCCATTCCTGTAAACCAATAATTCAAAGAAAACATAGCCTCAGGGGACCCTGTGATTTACATTCTGTTACAATAGCTGTTTTTCAATAGGACAATATAGTCGAGTCTTCATTCACCTAATTTACGAGTCTTTTTCTACTGTTAAATATGTAAACACGGATCTACGTGGATGGGTTTATCTGCACATTCCGGCGCACATGCATGCATGCTCACATAATATCCTCCAAAGTCCCAGCCAAAGTGTATGGTAAAGAGATACTTACTTTTAATTTTTAGCTATACTACCGCCATCCATACCCTCACGCTGCACCGCGAATTAACTGCCTAGCTTTCTGTTGCTATTTTTGAGCTATCATTAGTTCTGTAAGTTTTCATATTAAGTATTTTTTTCTTGGTTTTTGCTTTTGGCTCGTTTTGTTTTTGAGCAGTCGCCTATGCCAAGCAGACCTGGAACTTACTAAGCAGATAAAGATGGCTCTGATCTTCTGATCCTCCTGCTTCTTGGAATTATAAGTATGCATCACTACACCTGGCTTTATGCAGGGCTGAGGATCAAACCCAGGTTCCTGCATGCTAGGCGTGGTGGCTAATCTTAGCTGTCACCCTCACCCACCTGGGAAGAGGAAACCTCTACTGGGAATTGGCCTGTGGATATGCCTGTGCAGCATTTGACTAACGGATGCAGGATGGTCCAGCCTACTGTGAGAAGCAGTAGAATCTCAGGTGGGCCTGAGCTACGTAAGAAAGGTAGCTAGCTGAACATGAGCTAGAAGCAGGCCCGCAGCAGTGTTCCTCTGATTTCTGCCTTTACTTCCCTTGATGGTAGAGTGTAACCTGTCAGATGGCCTCTGATTTCTGCCTTTACATCCCTTGATGGTGGCGTGTAATCTGTCCTCCGTGTTTATCTCATAACAACATACAGGAAATTAGCACGGTAATTGGTACCAGGAATGGGGTGTTACTGTGTCTTATCCTACCATGGTTTTTGTGGGGAAGACTATAGAAGTGTTTGGAACTTGGGACTGTTGAATACTCAGATTTTAAAGAGTGGGTGTTGTGAGAGCTTTAGAAGATGATGTAGACAATGAAGGCCTGGCTTGGGGGCATATCAGAGGGAAGCAAAGACTCTACTAGGGTCACTCGTGAGATATTTTGGATTAGGACTCTGGGTGCCGATCAACCAAGGCTAAAGAAGCACCTTGATTACCAAGAGACCAACCCTGCTGGAGTGAAACCTTCTGTGCTTTACGGGGACAGCAGATGCTGGTCATCTGGGGCTGAAGAGTCAGCTGTGATTAATAAGAGATCAGCCTCACTGACGTGAAATAGTTGAGGAATTACTTCTCTAGGGTCAACACACCAGCTGCGGTCCGGAAAGGCCACGGCTGCTGCTCAAGCAGCCAGCGGAAACCTGACAACATCTAAGGGTCACCCACATGGTACAGGCAACTGACAACATCTAAGGGTCACCCACATGGTACAGGCTCTGAGAGCAAGAGAGGCAAGGTTGAAGGGGACTAGAGAGCAGCTGAAGCTAAGCAACATCCAAGAGAGGCCACTGGTGAAGGTCTAATCTTATTTTCAGTGGACGCCGGGATACTGGAGACCTCAGGCCTGTGGAGTACCTGCCAAGGTCAATGGCAAGTGTGGAGCAGAGCTGGCCTGCGCCTACAAGGCAAGCTGTGTGTGCCGCAGAAGGCACAGCTGGGGGAGCGGGGCTGCCCAGGCTTTTGGGAACAGAGGATCATGAATGAATGCCAAATATTGGGTCCTGAGCTCCACAATCTAGATTCTGGGTTTGCCTTGATCTGACTGTAACGATGCCCCAGTTCTCTTCGAATAAGAAAGTAAATAATTTAGTTTTTGTTTTACTGAAGCCCACAGTTTTATGTTAATTGCCATTTCTTTTCTCCTGACTTTATTTGTACAACTGTAAAGAGAGGTCATTAAAACACAGAACTTGGAAAAGGACTAAAACTGCACACAAAATAAAACAAATAGGACGATATGAAATTAAAAGACTTCTTTTCAAAGCCTACAGAATCAGAGAGGAAAATCTGCGCCAACTACCTATGAGACAAGGGATTGATATCCAGAATATAAAAGGAACTGCAAAAATTAAAAACCAAATTCAACCAATAAATGAGCTACTAGACTGGATAGTGGGTTCCAAAGAATTACAAAAGACCAAGAGACACGTAAACAAGCATTCAACATCCTTAGCCATCAGGTAAATGCCAATTAACACTGCTCTGAGATGAGTCCCTTTAATTCCAGCGCTCTGGGGGCAGAGGCGGGTAGTGAGTTCTGTGAGTTCTGGTCTACATAGTTCCAAGACAGCCTGAACTACCTAGTGAGAACCTGTCTTAAAGAAACAAAACAAAACCAAAAGCGAACTAAAACCTCAGTCCCATCTCAGACAGAATGGCTGCCATCAAGAGGACAAATGAGGACAGCAAGAAGGCTTAGTAGGTGAAAGCCCTTGTCATGGGGCCTGAGAACCTGAGCTTGGTCCTGGAGATCTACAGCAGACCTGAATTCTAAGAGCTGTTCTCCAGCTCTGCACCTGCACTATAGGTTCTCTGACACACGAGAGGTCATGTACACACACACACACACACACACACACACACACACACACACACGCGCGCGCGCGCGCGCACACACATTAACTTTAAAAAGACAACAAATGCTAGCGAGCATGTAGCTAAAGGGCAAATCTTACTCCCTGCTGGTAGAAATGTAAATCTGTGTAGCCACTATGGAATTCAGTATGGAAGGAGGTCTTTAAAAAAAAAAAAAATAGTAGAACTACCATTTGATCCCGCTTGGGTCTACAACCAAATGACTCCAAATTAACATAACACAGAGATACATGTACATTCATGGCCATTGCTACTCGGTTACAATAGCCAGGAAATAGAACCAATCTAGAAGTCCATTAGATGAATGGATATAGATGTGGCCCATGCCTGACACGAGGTGTGCACCTTTAATCCCAAGCCCTTGAGAGACAGAGGCAAGTGGATTTCTGAGTTCAAGGCCAGCCTGGTCAAGTTCTAAGCCAGATAAAGCTACACAGTGAGATCCTATCTTAAACATAACAAAAATAAGTGGAAAAGAAAAGAGAAAGAAAAAAAAAAAGAGTGATCCACATATACCGTGGAATTTTACGCACCCAATAGAAAATATATAATCATGCCATTTGCAGGAAATGCATACAATTGGAAATCACCATATTAAACAAAATCCAAGACCCAGAAAGACAAATATTCCAAGTTTTATAATTGTATGTGTTTGTGTGTGCATATGTGTGCATACAGTTCATGATACTAGAAAGAAGATCATGAGAGGGGAGGAAGAGACCCTAAGGGAGACAAGAAATCGGGTGAAGGAGTATGGGAAACAAGAAAGCAAAGGGGTTCTAGTTAGGGAAGAAAGGGAGTCAGAGAGAGAGGGAGTCAGGGGCAGCTGAATGAATGAGAGCAATGACGTCATCGAGAAACTCACTGCTTTGTATGCTTATTTTAAAAGTTGATACTTGCTGCAAGCCCTTCTAAGAGCTTCCCAAGTTTCTCTAATATAATTAGAAATCATTTTCATTTTGGTGTGTCCTTTCAGTCTACAGCCTTAAGGTGTAATCACATACTCTACCCTTTCCTGTTCTCATAAATCTCTCCCGTTACACTGTCTTTTCTTAAGCATTTCCTATTCCCTATCCTTTTTAAAACCACACAGCAAGGAACTGAGATAACGGCTCAACAGTTAAGAGTACTGGCTGCTCTTCCAGAGGACCAGGGATCAATTCCCAGCATTCATATCAAGACGCTCACACCTGCTTAAAACTCCAGTTCCAAGGATCTGATGCCCTCTGGCTTCCTGCACACATGTGGTGCACATAAACTCACGCACAAACACATAAATAAAAATGAGTAAATCTTTTTAACAAAAAAAAAAAAGCGCACAGAGAAAAACAAATTCAGCACAGACATATGGAAATGGGGTTTTAAGAACACTTTAGAAACCGGTACCATTTCACATGAGTTTAACTGAGCCCGTGTTACAAAAGTTGGCAGCGCCAATGCCAAGATCAAAATTCATGCCTTTCGACTTTACGCTACGCATCTCCGAATGTAGAATCTGCAAGGACGTTCCAGCATTGTTTTGCTATTCTTAGGCAAGAAGAATCCTGACTATTGCGAGTGTTTAGCCTGAAATTACTCCCAAAAAGACTTTAAAACGCATTAACACGTTGTAATAACTTCTCGAAAAATTCATTTGCCAGGTTCTTGCGAACCCGAGAAGCAACCCTGGCTTGTTCCACAAGCAATTGCGTGTGTGTGCCTTAAAGGAGATGGAATTGTTTATTATCCGTCTATTTAGCAACGCTGAACATTGAACCCGGGACCCTGAGCTAAAGAACTCAACCACTGGGTTACATCGCCAGTTCTCCACCAGCAATTCAATTGGTAGTGAGCCCTTTCCCGGTACTGCACTCGCGGGTGCTGAGGCTGCACCGTCTCAGTCCACGGGATGGGAGGAAGAAGTGCCGCAGCCTCCCGGACACCCTCCTCGGCCATCCCATGCGGCTCCGGCAGAACCACCCGAACCCCGGAGCGAGCTCGGGCCCGGGAGCCTCGTACCCACCGAGCGCAGCCCGCGAACGCCAACGCACTTCAGCCCGGTGCAAACCCGCCACAGCGGTTCTCCGGCTGGGTCCTCTAGGCAGCAGCGTGGCCGGGAACTCACCCAGCGGCGGAGCTTCTCCTCCAACTCCTCCGAGCCGGTGCAGCCGCCTGGGAGCAATGCGGGGCGGGAGCGGAAGAAAAAGGCCGCGGAGGGGCGGGCGCGGCCCAAGTCCTGGTGAGGCTCCGCCCATATCTCGCCGGGCACGCCCACATCACGTTCTCATTGGTCGATGATGACACCGGCCCCTCAAGGCCACGCCCCCGCCGGCAGTCGCCCCTGCCCAGGAAGAGAGCCGTCTGTGTAGAAGCTTAACTGGGAATCTCAGGCTCTCACTCGCTGCCACCTTAGAGCCTGCAGTCTGTGAAAGAGAAACCGGGAAGTCACAGAGCCAAAGAACTCTTTTCCAGAGGCGTTTCTCTGTGTCTCCTGGAGCCTCCGCCATCGCAAAGACATCATCTTGCACTTACTATTTCTACCCTTGAACTTTATAATTTGAGACGTGAACTGAGAACCTTTTACTCAGAGTCACCAAACGCTAGCGTTTCGCAACACTTGAGTTCTTTCTGGCTGTCTATTCCTCCCACACCGAACTCTTGAAAAGTTGCCACTTATCACATACAAGAAACGAAACTGAACACGTTTTCCGTCATATCCCATATAATACCACGTTTATATCTCCTTTGCTGTCTCAAAAGGTCGTAGACACATGCACACATTAAATTCAGGAACTACTGAAAATTAGCCCAATGCGTTTGAATTCACCCCTCGTAAACGTCTTAGTCTAGAACTGTGCTCTAACTTTTCTAAGTTCTTCCTGACTTTGGCATATTTGCGGTCCAGAACAATTGTCTTGTCATGTTCTGGATTCACGGGATTATTTTCTCATGATTACAGTCAGAAACATTTAGAACAAAGGCGGGTACTCACATCACTTCCTTCACTTCCGGACATGCACACAGCCAGTTTGACATAATTGTCCACCAGACCAAGATGCAAAAAGCCACCACTTGCTCAAGACTCCTCTCTCCTCAACAAAGCCAGTGGAGATAAATGTCTCCCAGAATAAGCTGAAACCCGGTGAATATTTTCTCTCCAACAATACCCTACCCAATAGATACAGCACACACTGATGAATTCTTACCGCAACAGTAATAACTATATTGCTTTGCAATTCTAGCACCCTTTTCTGTATTTTCTGGCTGGTATTCGTGTCTACAGAGCAAGTACCTACCTCTGCCTCCTCTAATCCTTCCTTTTCCAATCATCCTCCTCTTTGCTTTGAGTCGTGCGGTATGAGGACTGGATTTGTTCTTAATTCAACTGCAAAACCAGATACCAGTACAATTCTGGTGCTCAGATTGCTCACCTCTGGACATTGGGGGCCCCCTCACTTTGCTCCTGTGTCCTGGGGATGTTTTGTCTTTCAGCGCTTCTTGCTCTCTAGTACAAAGTCCACCTACCAGTTCTCACATCATCTCCCTTTCTATCGCACTCGGAGACTGTAACATCATAAAGTCCTTTTACATTGTCCTTTTCCCTTTTATATTGTATCACGTGACATAAAACAGTATGGTTGGGTTCTCTTTAGGAATAGAGCCAACATAATGAGTATATATTAAAAGAAAATCTATTCAACCACCTGGGTAGTCCGAAGCCTGAATGCCTCAGCCCACCAGCCTGAATGCCTTAGCAGTCCCAATCGAACACCAAAGGTCTGGAAGGCTTCTATAGACACAGTCTTTCAGTCCATGTTGGAAAGCCAATGGAGCTGGGCTCTGGTGCCAGCAAAGGCACTTAGAAGCAAAGGCAGAAGCACTCACCAACAAGAGGTTAAGGCAAGCAGGCAAAACGTTTTTCCCTTGGGGCTCCTTGTATCCGGACTGATGCTGAAATGTGTTGCTCACATTCAGGGTAAGTCTTCCCCCTTCAGTCTCCCTACCCAGAAACATTCCTCACGGGCACCCTAATCTAGAGAATGCCTCACGAGTGTCCAAGGAGACTTGATTCTAGATCTGTCAAGCTGACAACCAGTATTAATCTCAAAAACAATGTGCCTTCTAGTCACATATTTTAAGATTTATTTATTTATGCATACAGATACCGGAAGAGTACACCAGATCGCAATACAAATGGTTGTGAGCCACCATGTGGTTGTTGGGAGTTGAACTCAGGACCTCTGGAAGAGCAGCTGGTGCTCTTAACCTCTGAGCCCTCTCTCCAGCTCCACCAAAGATATTTATTTTAATTATTTTTAGATCTATTTTTCAATGTATGTGTATGAGCTTTTTGTTTACGTGTGTCTGTGCACCACATGGATACCTGGTGTCCACAGAGATCATCAAGAAGACATGAGATCTTCTAGAACTGGAGCACAGACGTTTGTGAGTGGCTGTGCGAATGCTGGGAACTGAGCCCAGGTCAGTCCTCTAGAAGAGCAACAAGTGCTCATAACCACTGAGCCACCTCTCCAGCCACCCTGATACTTTTAAATCATGAATGATAGACATCTCTAATGTAGACACCTGTACCACAGGCTTCATTCTGTGCTATAGAGATTTGCATTGGTATGAGTATTGCTCTATTTATACAAGTTTTAGGTCAATTTTGTGATATGTATATTTCTGTTTTTGATTAAGGTATTGTGTTTGTGCAGCTCATTAAAAAATGTAATGTATAATTAAGAATTATAGGTTGCCCAGCAGTGATGGCACATGCCTTTAATCCCAGCACTCAGGAGGCAGAGGCAGGTGGATCTCTGTGAGTTCGAGTCCAGTCTGGTCTACAAGAGCTTGCTCCAGGACAGGTTCCAAAGCTACAAAGAAACCCTGTTTCGAAAAAACAAATATAAAAATTAAAAAAATAATAATTATAGGTTAATAGATAATCATCTATAATGCTCAAGCTTGTAGTCATGTTAGTTGTGTTTTCTAGATGTACAGAGATATATTTCAGATGAATAGGCATTTTTCAAACCTTTCAAAGACTACAGAATATAGCATTTAAAACGTTTTTAAAACTTAGGGCTTATCATGACAATGAGACACATCTGCTCCTGGCAGCGTCAATTACTTCAAGAGGAAGATGGGTGTAGAGAGCTGTGTAGTGCCGCGCCTTAAAGATGGCACTGGTTTTGGCCTTCCACCTTCCCGATGGTGAGTGCTCTCGGTCATAAACAACTCCATATATGGCTAAGGCTAAGGATCTGGCTTGCTTCCGCGTTTCTGGACCTATCTGCATTTCCCACGTAGCATGCTGGGGTTGGCTACCCGGAGGCTATTTAAGCTGTGGGCTGGCTTTCCCCAGGGTCAGAAGATTGTTCAAGGTTCCTGAATAAACCGCAGTTAGAAGAGTCTGTGTTGCATCGTCCTTGCTGGCGAGGCGGTTGCTACAGATAGGCATCGAAGAGGCTCCTTATGGAGTTGGTTAGCTATTTGGGCAAGAAACTGTGCTTGCCTGGACTGCTTGACTGGACTTGCAAAACCCACAGAAAAAATGACTGCTGAACTTGTCTAAAGGTGAGACAGTCCTTCGGGGTTCCTGCTTCATAAAAGAGTCTGCCAGACATTATGCAGGACACAGAAAAAAAGTGACTGACAAACTTCCAATATAACTAAACTGTCTTTGAAATTTCCTGCCTCATGGAAAAGTCTGCCAGATACTGTGGGTCTGTAGGCTGAAGATGGATGCCCCAATGGTACAGAAGAACTTTGGGTGACTGTCCAAGCAGTGAGATGTCTCTGTCAATTCTAGAGTTTTGGAAGTTGCTTACAATGAACTTATTGTTTACTTACGTAATATTATAGCCTTCTGGAGTCTTTGATGGAGTTGAAGAATAGGTAGATAATTACAGTTACAGTTTTTCTTAGTTATGATAAAAATTAAGTAGATATAATATTGTAACTGTAATTATTGCATGATACCTGTTTTGTTATATGTAATTTTACTATGTTGAAGTTAAAACCTTCCTTTTCATTTAAACAGAAAAGGGGAGGTGATGTGGGATTCCCCTCTGTATGCTGTGATTACCATTAATGAATAGAGAACTGCTTTGAGCCTATAACAGAGCAGGGCGGGGTGAAGCAGAGCTAGGCAGGGAGGACTGTACTGAATGCTGGGAGAAAGAAGGGCAGAGTCAAAGAGAAGCCACGTAGTCTGCTGGAGACAGATGCTGGTACATTACCAGGTAAGCCGCGGCCACATGGCAATACACAGATTAATAGAAATGGTTTAAATTAATATATAAGAGTTAGCCAATAAGAAGCTACAGCTAATGGGCCAAGCAGTGACTTAATTAATACAGTTTCTGTGTGATTATTTTGTTTTTGGGTGGCTGGGACGAACAAGCAGCCTCTGACTACAGTTTTGGCCTTCTCTCTCCCTCTGTGTCTTTCCTCCAACCATAGTAAATTCTCTCATTCCACCAGCATTAATACATTTATTGATTTGTTATATTCTTTAATATACACGAAATACTTGATTCTGTGCCAGGAGTGGAATTTAACGGGCTGGTGGCACGTAGGCTGTGAATGAATTCATCAAAGACTGAAGGCAGAAATAAAGTTTATTCAAACATACTTCAGAGAAGCCACTGCAGATGAGACAGTGGGGAGAACTTCCTCCACAGAGGCTTTCTAGGCAGCTGATCCTAGAGACGGGAAGTTGTCTGCAGGTGACCAGGCGGTGATTCAAAGTCACAGTGCAGGGGAATAATTGCAATAGAGGCTTACCATGGTTTGCAGTAACCTGACCTTGAAGTTGCATTGGCCTTGCCTGAATCAGCTAGCCATACTCACCAGTCCTAACCGGCATCCTCAGTTTGCAGCTAAGGCTTGTTATGATTAACTCTTTCTGCCAGGATAATAGCCCTGCTTGGAGGCAGCAGTGACCTTGTCCCAAGTTCAGCCTGCTCCGTGGCAAAACAGCCTCATTCTGAAGTTAGAATTGCCCTCATCTGTCTCAGAATGAACACAACCGAGACACACGGTAGCACCACCTGCCACAAAGTCACTAGATTTGAGACTTCTTATTTTAGTCTTTATAATCCTTTAACTATGATTCAATTAATGTACAGTGCTCCAAAGTTCTTGAAATAATATACTTTTCTCCTAAAACTTTTTTACATTAATTTCTGGTGT